GCTGATGGTCTCGAAGGGGTAGCCGCATGGATCCGTTGACGACAGCGCTGAAGGTGGCGGGCTCCGGCCTTCATGCGGAATCGTCGCGCCTGCGCGTCGTGTCCGAAAACATCGCCAACGCCAATTCGACCGGCGACACGCCCGGCGCCGATCCCTATGCCCGCAAGACGATCGCCTTCCAGAGCACGGTCGACCGGGCCACGCAGGCCGCACTTGTCGGCATCAAGGACATCGACACGGACAAGGCTGCGTTCGTCCAGAAATTCGACCCGTCCCACCCGGCCGCGGACCCGGACGGCTATGTGAAGCTGCCGAATGTCAATCCGATCGTCGAAATGGCCGACATGCGCGAGGCCAATCGCAGCTACCAGGCCAATCTTCAGGTGCTCAAACAGGCACGTGAACTGATTTCCATGACCATCGACCTGATGAGGGCGCGCTGATGATCGAGCAGCTTCAAGCGGTCGCCGGTGCCGGTTCCGTCCGCACCGAACTGGCCCGGCAGGCTTCCGGCGCCGAAACCATCGAAATCGCCGGCGCCGGATCGTTCGGCGACATCCTGCGCGATCAGATCGCCGCGACCGTCAATTCGGTCAAGACCGCTGACAGCGCCGCGATGGCCGGCATCAACGGCAAGATGGACACGCGCGCGGTTACCGACGCGGTCATGGAGGCCGAGCGCAGCCTGCAGGCCGCCGTCGCCATCCGCGACAAGATCGTCACCGCCTATCTCGACATGACCCGCATGGCCATCTGAGGAGTATCGCGTATGAAAGCCCTTGCCATCGCCGCCACCGGCATGAACGCGCAGCAGACCAATCTCGAGGTCATTGCCAACAACATCGCCAATGTGAACACGACCGGCTTCAAGCGGGCGCGGGCGGAGTTTTCCGATCTTCTCTACCAGGTCGAGCGGGTGGCCGGCGTGCCGAACCGGGCCAACGAGAACATCGTGCCCGAAGGCAGCCATATCGGTCTTGGCGTGCGCACCGCCGCGATCCGCGAAATCCACCTGCAGGGTGCTTTGAATTCGACCAACAACAAGCTCGACCTGGCGCTGACAGGCGAGGGCTTCTTCCAGATCGAGGGCGCCGGCGGCGTCACCCACTACACGCGCGCCGGCGCGTTCAACACCAACGCCGAGGGCCAGATGGTTACCGTGGACGGCTACACGGTACAGCCGGAGATCGTCGTTCCGGAAAACGCCGTCGAGATCGTCGTCAACGAGAGCGGCCAGGTCTATGCGCGCATCGCCGATCAGCTCCAGTTGCAGGAGCTCGGTCAGATCACGCTTGCCACCTTCTCCAACAATGCCGGCCTCAAGCCGCTGGGCGGCAATCTCTACGCCGAGACCGAGGCCTCCGGCGCCGCCGTCGTCGGCGTGCCGGGCGATCCCGGCTTCGCGACTGTGCGTCAGGGTTATCTGGAGCAATCCAATGTCGATGCGGTGCGCGAGATCACTGAACTGATCGCCGCCCAGCGCGGATACGAGATGAACTCCAAGGTCATTCAGGCCGCCGACCAGATGATGTCGACCGTCTCCAACGGCTTGAGGTGATGAAACGTGCGACCGGCTGGCTTGATCGCAGCACTGGCATTTTTTCTGCAGGCGGTGGCGCTTCCCGGTGCCGCCGCTGATGCATCGTTCGACTATGCGGTTGTCGAGCGCATCGTCTATCCCGGTCAGACCATCGGCATGGACAATGTCGCCGTGCGCCAGCACACGCGCGCCATCCCCGACGACTACCCGGTCGTGCGCACACGGGCGCAACTGGCCGGCATGGTCGCCACGCGAACCCTCTTGCCCGGCCGCGCCATCGCACCCGACATGCTGCGCGCCCCGTTCGCGATCGAGCAGGGCGAACTGATTTCCGTCAGCCTTCAGGAAGGCCCCCTTTCCATCGTCATGAAGGCGATCGCGCTGTAGGACGGCACGATCGGCGAGACGATCCGCGTGCGCAATGCGCATAATGGCCGCTCGGTCTGCGCCATCGTACGCTCGCCATCACTTGCCGAGGTGTGCTGATGATCCGCACGCTGGTCTGCGCCCTGTGTCTCGTCGTCGTGGCGGCGGTCGATGCGGCGGCGACATCGCGTATCAAGGACATCGCCATCCTCCAGGGATCGCGCGACAACCAGCTGATCGGCTATGGACTTGTGGTCGGCCTTCAGGGGACCGGCGACAGCCTGCGCAACGCGCCCTTCACCGAACAGTCGATGCGCTCCATGCTCGACACGCTGGGGGTTGCCACGGCCGAAGGGCGGGCGCGGCTCAAGAACATTGCCGCCGTGATGGTCACCGCCAACCTGCCGGCGTTCGCCACCTCAGGCGCACGGATCGATGTCACCGTCTCATCGCTGGGCGACGCCACTTCGCTGGGCGGCGGACAGTTGGTGATGACGCCGCTGCTGGGGGCCGACGGGCAGATCTATGCGGTTGCACAAGGCTCGGTCTCGATCGCCGGATTTTCCGCCGAAGGGCAGGCCGAAACGGTGAGCCAGGGCACGCCGACAGCCGGCCGCATTGCCGGCGGTGCGATCGTCGAGCGCGAGGTTCCGGTCAATTTCAGCCAGGAAGGCGCGTTCCTTCTGCAGCTGCGCAATCCCGACTTTTCGACTGCCGTCGCCGTCACGGACGCGATCAACGCCCATGCGCGGCAGGCCTTTGGCGCGCCGGTGGCCAAGGAACTCGATTCGCGCACCGTACGGCTCAGCAAGCCCGACGGCATGTCGCCGGCGCGTTTTATCGCCGCGATCGAGAATTTGAGCGTGCAGACCGATCAGCCTGCCCGCGTGGTGCTCGACGAAAAATCCGGCACCGTCGTCATCGGCGCCGATGTGCGTGTCTCGCGCGTCGCCGTCAGCCATGGCGCGCTGACCGTGCGGATCACCGAGGCGCCCACAATCATCCAGCCCGCACCCTTTTCCGATGGGGTGACGGCGGTCGAGCCGTCGACCTTCATCGATGTCGACGAAGAGGGCACGCAGATCGGCACGATCGACGGCGTCGACCTTCAGAGCCTTGTCGAGGGGCTGAACCGTCTGGGCGTGCAGCCGCGCGATGTCATCTCGATCCTGCAGGCGATCAAGAGCGCGGGCGCGCTGAACGCGGAACTGGTTGTGCAATGAGGACGCCATGAGAAAGAGACGCCCGGCCAAAGCTGTGCGCACACTGGTCATCGTCTGGGCCGTTGCGGCGCCGGCGGCCATGCCCGTTGCCGTCAACGCCCAGGACAGGGCGCCGGCAGACGTCCAGAACTTCTGTGCCAACATTGTCGATGATGCGCGCGAGCGGCGCTACGCCATCCAGCGCGAGGAATTGGAAACGCTGCGCGCCGATATCGAGGCCAAGATCGTCATCCTGGAAGAACGCCGCGCCGCTTACGAGCTATGGGCGCAAAAGCGCGAGGAGTTCGCCGAAGCGGCGAATGAGGGCCTCGTCGCGGTCTATGCCAACATGCGGCCGGACGCTGCGGCCGTGCGCATGGAGGAACTGCCGGCCGAACTGTCGGCCGCGCTGCTGACCAAACTCAAGCCCCGCGCCTCGGCGGCCATTCTCAACGAGATGTCCACGCAGGACGCCGCGCTGATCACCCAGATCATGGCCGCCGTCGGTGATGTCGGCCTTCCGGATGGGGACGGCTGATGACGATGGCCCGAACCCGTCTGCGCCTGTTCGCCGCCTTGGCCGCGGTGTTTTTGGTCGCCGGCTGCAGCGCCACCAAGGACCTTGGCAGCCCGCCGGCGCTGTCGCCGGTCGGCTCGGGTATCGACAACCAGTTGCCGCCATCGATGATCGAATCCAAATATCCCGGCCGGCCGCTCAACAAATACTCCACCTGGGACGACCGAACCGCGAGCCTTTTCACCGCGCGCAAGGCGCTGACGCGCGGCGACACGCTGACCGTCCTCATCGACATTGCCGACCGCGCGCAGCTTCAAAGCGATTCCGAGCGGTCGCGCAGCTCGTCCCGGTCGTGGAACCTGGGCGCTTCCGGTAACTGGAACGGCACGAGCGGTGCCGCATCCGGCGATGCCAACTTCGGCGGCGACACCGATTTCTCCGGCGAAGGCGCCACGTCGCGATCCGAGCGGATCGATCTGCGCGTTGCCGCAACCGTCGTGGACGTCCTGCAGAACGGCCATCTCGTCATCCGCGGCACGCAGGAAGTGCGCGTCAATGCGGAGGTCCGCATTCTGACCGTGGCGGGCATCGTGCGGCCGTCCGACATCGATCCGTCGAACACGATCGCCTATGACCGCGTTTCCGAGGCGCGCATATCCTACGGCGGCACGGGACATATTTCCGAGGTCCAGCAGCCGGCTTACGGCCAGCAGTTCATCGACCGCATTTCACCGTTCTAGGGCACCAGCAACGTGGCCGACGCTATCGCCGACGACGAACCGGAAGAGGAGGAGAAGGGCTCATCGCCGCTCATGGCGGTGGTGTTCATTCTTGTCGCCGCGCTTCTGGCCGGCGGTGTCGGGTTCGGCGTCGGCCAGACGCTTTTCGCGCCGATGATCGCCGGTGCCGACGCGCCCGTCGCCCAGGAGACCGGGCCGCAAGCTCCCAATGCCGCCGACGGCAGCCATGGCTCCGATGACGGATATGGCGCCGATGAGGACGGCCACGGCGCGGACAGCGAAACCTCGCTGCGCGGCCTCGACTTTGCCTCGCTCGAAGTGCTCGAACTCGAACCGATAACCACCAACATCGGCGTTCCATCCGACGTTTGGGTGCGCATGGAGCTGTCGTTGGCCATCGAGCCGGTCGACGAGGAGGAAGCCATCGATCCGGTGATGATCGAAGCCATTCATGCCGATTTCCTCGCCTACATGCGCACCACGCGGCTGCAATCTCTGGCCCTTCCCAGCGGGTTCCAGCACATGGTGACCGACCTTGAAAGCCGCGCCGCCCTGCGCAGCGGCGGCATTGTCAAGCGCGTGTTCGTCAAGGCGCTGTTGCTCGAATGATCCGGATCGCGCCCTTTGTGCTGGTCATGCTCGTTGTCCTCGTCCCGGTGCCGGCCGCTGCGCAGGGGCTGGGCGGATTCGGCCTGCCCGACGACATCGGCGGGCTGACCAGCGCCAACATCATCCAGCTGTTCGGCCTGATCACCGTGCTGGCGATTGCGCCCGGTCTGTTGATCATGGTGACGAGTTTCACGCGCTTCATCATCGTGTTTTCGATCCTGCGCACCGGATTGGGACTGCAATCGACACCCGCCAACATCATTCTGATTTCGCTGGCGCTGTTCATGACCTTCTACGTCATGGCGCCGACCTTCGACCGCGCCTGGCAGAACGGCCTTCAGCCGCTTCTCAACAATGATATCCAGGAAGAGCAGGCGCTGTCGGAGATCGTCGCGCCGTTTCGCGACTTCATGCTGGAGAACACGCGCGACGAGGATCTCGACCTTTTCACCGGGCTCGCGCGCGAACGCGGTCAGGACGTCGTGGTCAACGGCACGATCGACATGCGCGTTCTTATCCCGGCCTTCATGATCTCGGAAATCCGACGCGGCTTCGAGATCGGCTTTCTCGTCGTGCTGCCGTTTTTGGTGATCGATCTGATCGTTGCGACCATCATCATGGCGATGGGCATGATGATGCTCCCGCCCTCGGTCATTTCTTTGCCGTTCAAGATCCTGTTTTTCGTCATGATCGACGGTTGGAACCTTCTGGTCGGCAGTCTGGTGCGTTCCTTCGTCTGACCGGCCGCATCATTGTCCGGCGCGAACCCGCGCCCTGCAAAAATCTGCGGGGCGCGGGTTTCAGCGCTTGTTAAGGTCTGGCGGCATATAACCCCCTCAACAGCAGGCGCCGCCATGCGCGGCCGGCATGATGCCCCCCTGCCGTACCGGCCTGTCCGGAATGTCCCTTGTTTGTTTTGAGTAGAAAGGGACACTCATATGTCCAGCTTGATGACCAACGTATCTGCAATGACGGCGCTGAAGTCGCTGCAGCAGACCAATTCCGCCCTCGAAACCACCCAGTCGCGCATCGCCACCGGCTTCCGCGTCGCCGAGGCTTCCGACAACGCCGCCTACTGGTCGATCGCAACCACCATGCGTTCGGACAACAAGGCTCTTGGAACCGTTCAGGACGCTCTGGGTCTTGGCGCGGCCAAGGTTGACGTCGCCTACACCGGTGTCAACAGCGCCATCGAAGTCGTCGACGAGATCAAGTCCAAGCTCGTTGCGGCCCGCGAGCCGGGCGTTGACCGCGCCAAGGTTCAGGCAGAAATCTCTGAACTGCAGAACCAGCTGACTTCCATCGCTTCGTCGGCCGGCTTCAACGGCGAAAACTGGCTGAACGTCGACTCCAGCGTCGCCGGCTACTCGGCCACCGAAAGCATCGTCGCATCGTTCGACCGCGATGCCGCCGGCGCCGTTTCGGTTGGCACGATCTCTGTCGACAAGTCGACAACGGCTCTGTTCGACGGCAACGCTGCCGCGACCGGTATCCTCGATACCGAATTCACCACGACGGGCGCCGGTGCGGTGACGGTCACGGTCGCCAACCTCGACCTGACCGCTGCCAACGTCGACGAAACCGACATCGACGACATGATCTCGGGCGTCGAAACGGCGCTGCAATCCATGACCACGGCCGCTTCGGACCTTGGTTCTGCCAAGAAGCGCATCGATCTTCAGAGCAACTTCGTCGGCAACCTGATGGATGCCGTCGATCGCGGCATCGGCCAGCTCGTCGATGCGGACATGAGCGCCGAATCGAGCCGCCTGTCGGCCCTGCAGGTCCAGCAGCAGCTCGGCATTCAGGCCATGTCGATCGCAAACGGCAACTCGCAGGCCATCCTGTCGCTGTTCCGCTAACACCAAGCGAGCTCCGCTTGTGGGAGGGCCGCCTTCGGGCGGCCCTTTTATGCTGCGTGCGTGAGCCTCGGCACGTTCATGCCGAGCGGGCGTTCAGCCCATAAGTATCTGAAAAAAAATGACTCTCTGCTGCCGCTGGCCATCTGGCTTGCGGCCGCTTGCGCATGCGCCGTCGCCCTGATTTTCCGCGGGTCGCCCCGTTTAGCTTTTGTTAGCCATTCCTGTTTACCTTAATGAAGTGACAACAGACGTGCGTCGGCATTTCCGAGCCGGCGCGGCATGAGGCTACGTCGTCGTACCGGTCGAAAGCCGGGATGTCGCAATGGTGCGGAGTGTGAGAAGGGGCCTTGTATGTCCAGCTTGATGACCAACGTTTCTGCGATGACGGCGCTGCGCGCCCTGCAGAACACCAACGATTCGATTGAGACGACGCAGGCCCGGATTTCCACGGGTTTTCGCGTCTCCGAGGCGTCCGACAACGCAGCATACTGGTCGATCGCGACGACGATGCGTTCGGACAATTCCGCGCTTTCGACCGTTCAGGACGCGCTCGGCCTCGGCTCGGCCAAGGTCGATATCACCTACACCGCTGTCGATTCGGCCATCAAGGTCGTCGACGAGATCAAGTCCAAGCTGGTGGCGGCCCGCGAGCCCGGCGTCGACCGCTCGAAGATACAGACCGAGATCGACGAACTGCAGAACCAGCTCACCTCGATCGCCACCTCGGCCGCCTTCAACGGCGAGAACTGGCTGAACATCGATTCGAGCGCCGCCGGCTATTCGGCCACTGAAAGCATCGTTTCCTCGTTCAACCGCGACGCCAGCGGCGCGGTTTCCGTCGGCACGCTGACCGTCGACAAATCGACCATTGCGCTGTTCGATGCCAACGCCGCTGCGGACGGCATTCTGGACGATGACTCGGTCACCACCGGTGGCGCCGCCAACGTGGCCGCTTCCGTGTCCAACCTCGACCTGAACACCGCAAACCTGAACGATGCCGACATTGACGGCATGATCACCATCGCCGAGACCGCGCTTCAGGCGATGACGACCGCCGCCTCCGATCTGGGCTCGGCGCAAAAACGCATCAAGCTGCAAAGCGACTTCGTCGGCACCCTGATGGATTCCATCGAGCGCGGCGTCGGTCAGCTGGTGGATGCCGACATGAGCGCCGAATCGACGCGCCTTCAGGCCCTGCAGGTGCAGCAGCAGCTGGGCATCCAGGCGCTGTCGATCGCCAACGGCAACGCCCAGTCGATCCTGTCGCTGTTCCGCGGATAACCGCGCAGCCATCCCACAATCGTCCTGATCGCGGGCCGTCCATGGGGCGGCCCGTTTTCGCTTTCGGTTCCGCAGCCGGTGGGCCCCTCATCACCTTCGCGCAAGTTTGAACCGGTAGGCTGGGCCCAGTCAGTTCCGGGGATGAGCCGTGCCAGAAAACCTCAAGATGCTCGCCGCCAATCTCAGCGCGCTTGGCCCGCGCCGGCTCATGTTGATGGCCGGCGTCTTCGTTCTTGTCCTGATGGCCGTCGGCATCGGCTCGGCATTCCTCAACCGCCCGGCCTACCAGCCGCTCTATGTCGGTCTTGAGCGTGACGATGTCACGCGCATGGGCATGGTGCTTGGTGAGGCGGGCATCGTCTACGACGTCAACGCCGAGGGAACCACGCTGATGGTGCCGGCCGGCATGACCGGCCGCGCCCGCATGATTCTCGCCGAGAAAGGTCTGCCGTCCAGCGCCGGCGCCGGCTATGAGCTGTTCGACAATCTCGGCTCGCTCGGCCTGACATCCTTCATGCAGGAGGTCACGCGCGTCCGCGCGCTTGAGGGCGAGATCGCCCGTTCGATCCAGACGATCAGCGGCGTCAAGGGCGCCCGCGTCCATATCGTGATGGCCGAGCGCGGCAATTTCCGCCGCGCCGAACAGGTGCCGACCGCCTCGGTCATCATCCGCTTCGATCGCGCCGGTGTTGAAAGCCGGGCCAACGCCGTGCGCCATCTGGTCGCCGCCGCCGTGCCGGGCATGGTCGCCGACAATGTGACGGTGCTCGACTCCGCCGGCCGGCTGCTGGCAGCGGGCGAGGACCCGCTGACCAACTCGGCATCGAGCGCCATCGGCATCGAGGCGACGGTCGAAAACCAGGTTGCCGACGGCATTCACCGCGCGCTCGCCGCAACGCTCGGCGCCGCCAATTTCCGGGTCAGCGTCCAGGCCGACATCAACACCGACCAGCGGCAGATCGAGGAGACGATCTTCGACCCCGACAGCCGCATCGAACGTTCTGTCCAGATCGTGCGCGCCGAGGATGCGGCGACCGAGCAGCTTGCATCCGAGCCGGTGACCGTCGAGCAGGACCTGCCCCAGGACGCGCAGGCCGGCGCCGGCGGCGGCAGCACGAACGAGCGCAGCGAGCGCCGTGAGGAAACGACGAACTATGAGTTGAGTTCGACGAGAACTGCAACCATATCAAACGGTTACAATGTAGACCGGCTGTCGATCGCCGTCGTCGTCAACCGCGCGCGCTTGGTCGATGCCGAGGGTCAGCCGCTCAATCCCGCCGCTGTCGAGGAGCGGCTGGCGCAGATCCGGACGGTCGCGGCCGCAGCGGCGGGCATCGTCGAGGATCGCGGCGACGTGCTCAACATCACCGCGTTCGACTTCGTGGAAGGCGTGGCCGCCGAGGGCTCGTCGGCGCCCGGCGCGATGGCATCGCTCAACGAGCATCTTGGCACGGCCATCAACGCGTTTGCCTTCATCGCCGTCATTCTGGCGGTGATCTTCCTGGCGGTTCGTCCGATGATCAACGTGTTGCGTTCGGGCGAATTTGCCCAGCAGGTGGCGCGGGTCGAGGCAGGCGAAATGCCGCTTCTGGCCAATGAGGGCGCGGGCGGAATTGGCGATGGCAGCGGCGAGGCGCTGGCCGACATGGCCGCCGAATCCATCCGCTTGAAGCCCGCGCCAGAAGAGCGCCTGTCGCGGATCATCGACATGAACGAAGAGCGCGCCGCGCAAATCCTCCGCCGCTGGCTGAACAACGAGGCTGTGTCCAGCGATGCGTGAGGCGTTTCACGCCCTTCTGCCCGATTTCGGCGACAATGCGGTCCCGGCCCATGGCGCGCCGGCCGCCGCGCCGGCCGACGGGTTCGTGCCTTTCATCGGGGCATCGCGGCATCCCGCGGCTTTTGACGCGTTCGATGGACCGCATGTCGATGCGCCGCCGCGGGCACCGTCCCCCGAGTTTGCGGAGCCGGACACGCCGGGTGTGCCCGGCGATGCCGCGGCACTTCAGACCATGCTGTCGGCAGCCTTTTCGGCCGACATGGCGCCGGCGGCGGATGGGGAAACCATCGCCGGGCAGGCGGCGGCGCCGTCCGATACCGTTGTCTTGACGGAGCCGGAAGCGTCTGCCGTCCAGGATGCTCAGGTCGCGCCGCCGGCGGCCGATCCCGAACTTCTTGCCCGTGACGAAAGGATCGCCGAACTGACCGCGCGGATCGAAGCGCTGGAAAGCGCTCATGCGGCGGAAATCGCGCGGCTTGTCGAGCAGGCGGTTCCCGCCATGGCCGACGGAGTGTCCGCGGCCGTCCGGTCATCGCTCGGTTCGGTTCTCGCCCATCCGCTGATGGGCGTCATCGAGAAATCCTCTGTCGATCGTTTCTGTACGGAACTGGCGACGATGGTGAAAGCCGGCGAGGGGGTTGCCGTACGCCTGAGCGGGCCGGAGCGCCTTCTTGAAACCGTGCGCGAGGGTTGGCCGGAAGGTCTGGCGGCGCCGCAGATGCAGCCGGCCGAAACGGCCGAACTCGTGGCCATCGCCGACACCGCCGTCTTGTCTACCCGGCTCGAGGAAGCCCGCGCCCTGTTGTTCGGAGGTGGCCGGTGAGCGCCGCGCAGGACCATCAGGAAATCATCATCATCAAGCGCGGTCATGACGATCACGACGATCATCATGGCGGCGCCTGGAAGATCGCCTTCGCCGACTTCATGACGGCCATGTTCTGTCTGTTTCTGGTGCTCTGGCTGGTCAATGCTGCCAACGAGGAGACCAAACAGGCGGTCGCCAGCTATTTCAACCCGGTCAAGCTGGTGGACCGAAACCGGTCGGTGAAGGGCCTTTACGACGCCCAGGGCATCCAGGAGGTTGAAGTCATCGACGCCGAGGGCACCGGCTCGGGGGGCGGCGGCGAGACCGACGCGTCCGGCAGCGGGCAGGCCGAAGAGCAGGGCAACCCCACCGGCGATGCCGCCTTCTTCGCCGATCCCTATGAGGCGCTTGACCAGATTGCCAGCAGCTTCGAGGCGGGCAGCACCAGCGGGCTGGAACCGCAGAGCGGCGCCCGGTCCTGGTCCGCCGAGCAGACCGACGCCTCCATCGAGACCTTCTTCGACCCGTTCGCGCCCGAGCGCTGGTCCGACATGCCGCGCGAACCCTTGTCCGACGCGCCGCTTTCCGAAACCGGCGCACCGCCGGCGCCCGCACCCGGCGGGCAGACCGAGACGGCGCTGGCCGATATTGCCGCCGAGACCGAGATGCAGCCGTCCGAACCCGCACCGGAAGGTGCGCTTCAGGCGGAGCCGGAAGTGGCGATGGAAGCAGCCGAGACGGCCGAATTGGTCGCCGAGACCATGGATTCGCCCCAGGCCGATTCCCTGGAAGCCGAAATGCCGGAAACGGTGCCTCCAGCCAGTGAGCAGGCAGCCGAACAGTTGCGTACGGCGCTGACCGAGGTTTTGACAGAGGCGTTCGGCGCCGACAGCGTGCTCGTCGAACAGCTGTCCGTCGAGGCGCAGCCGGACGCGATCCTGATTTCGCTGACCGACAATCTGCAGATCCCGATGTTCGAGATCGGCTCGGCCGTGCCGTCGCCGCCGCTCGTCCTGGCGCTCGAAAAGGTCGGTTCGGTGATCGGCGAAAGGGCTGGCGGACTGCGCATCGAAGGTCATACCGATGCGCGGCCTTTCATCTCGGGCAGTTCCGACAACTGGCAATTGTCGGCGTCCCGGGCGCAGGCGGCCTATTACATGCTCGTGCGCGGCGGCGTCCCGGAAAATCGGTTCCGCGCCGTGACCGGCCGCGCCGACCGCGATCTGGCCGTGCCCGACGATCCGTTCAGCGCCCGCAACCGGCGCATCGACATCCTGCTGGAGCTTGGCTCGTGATGGCGCTCGGCACGACACGTCCCGCCATGTGCCTGCCGCTGGCGGCCGCGATACTGGCCGGCATCGGTCTTCCGGCCCTTGCCGACCTGCCCACGCGCCCGCTCGGCGCGGTGCGGTCGTTGCACCACATACAGGACCAGATCGCGCGCGGCGATCCGTCCGCATTCCAGCTCCAGTCCAGTACGTTGCGTGTCATCGACGAACTGTTCGCCTCGCTCGACGCCGACGCGCTGGCCGATCCGGCCGAACGCCGCGCGGTGCTCGCCTATGCGGTCAGCGGCGGAAATCCGGCGACGTTCGCCCGGCTCTATGACACGCTGGCCCGGCAGTCAGATGAAGACGAAAAGGCGCTCGCCGCCGCGATTGCCGGAGCGCTGCTGGACAAATCGGTCAGCGACGAGGCGGCCGCCAGCCCGATGGTGCTCGGCGGCATGCTCGGCGCCGGTCTTGCCCTGATCAACGGCATCAACGCCGAAACGCCGCAGGAGCAGATCGGCTATCTCCAACAGGTCACGCTTCTGGCGCCGGGTACGCTGATCGAGGAATCGGCGCTCAGGCGCTTGATGCCGATCTTGTCGCAAGGTCATGATCACAAAGAGTTTTTGACGGCTGCCAGCCGCTATGCGCGAACTTTCGTCAACTCGCCCTACGCATCGGACTTCGCCGTCTCGCTGGTCAATGGCGGCATCGCGCTGACCCGATCGTCGGACCAGATGCGGTTGGCCGAGATCATCCGTTTCATGCCGCCGGCCCATCGGCGCAGCATCGTCGCCCGGCAGATGCGGGCTGCCACGATCGATGGCAATTTCGCACTCGTGCGCTTTCTGGAAGCCGAGTTCGTTGAAGAGATCAAGGCCGGCGAGGCCGCTGCGGCACGCCGCCGGGCGCCTGCCGCCGATCCGGTCGATGCCATGCGCCAGCGTCTTTATGTGCTGATGGCCAACATCGCTTCCGCCGACCACGAGGCGGTCGCCGCCGAACTCGACGCGATCGATGCCGGCCAGTTGTCGCCGGCTGACCGGCAACTGCTGGCCGTTGCACGCAATGTCATCCGCGAAATGACGCGATCCAACCGGCCCGAGCCCGCGCCATCGGCGCCGTCCGGTCAAGATGCCGAAACGGCGGCGACAGACACCGATGAGGGCGGCGCGCAAGGCGGCCTCGGCCTGCCGATGCAGCCCGATGAGACCGAGGGCGTCAGAACCGTTCTGCCCGGTTATGGCAGCGCCGCACGGCCCGTCGAGCCGGCCGCGCTTCGGCCGTCGCCCGAGGCCGCGCCGGCGCGCCGCGAGAACGTTGCCGGCGATGCGGCGGCGTCGGGCAATGGTGAAGTCGAGGCGCTGGGCGACGAACATCGTGCGTTCATGTCCAGCACGCGTGACGTATTGCTGGAAATCGATTCAGTCTTGGAAGGAAGCGGCGGGTGACCCAGATTGCTGCCAATGCAAAAGCACCCCTCGATGCGGCGGCGATTGCCGAGCGCCAGGGCAACGCCAGGGGGCGGGACAAGGGCGAGGCCGACGGGGAGTTTGCCAGGCTCGTCAAGGATGCGGGAACCGGAACGCGCAAGCCGGCGCCGGACGCCGCGCACGAAAAGGCCGGGCGCATCGTCCAGAAAACGGGTCAGCCGGAGGGCCATGGGCCCGATGTGAAGACCGCCGGTGCGGTCGGCGCGCGCCCGCGCGAGACCGCCAAAGAAGGCGAACACGTCGCAGCCGACACCGATCGGACAGCGGACGGTCTATCCGGTGCGGGTGGATCCGAGACCGGAAACGGGCAGCCGATCCACGTCCCGCGTCCAGCCGGATCGTCGGCCGCTGCCAGGGAAAGCGAGGCGGCAATAAAACTTCAGGGCTCCGAACAGGCGCCGGAAGCGCAAGCGGCCAGACCGGCTGAGACGAACGGCAATGGACAGACCGACAAGGACGCCGAAACCGTTCAGTCTCCCGCCGCCGGTCCCGCGCCGGTCGTCGCGGTGATGGCCGTTGCACCCTATCTGACGGCGCGCACCATCTCGGCCGATATCGCGGCCAGGCCGGCAGCGCCACAGCCGTCGGCCATCGAGATCGATCGCGTTGCGAGCGCGGAGACCATCGACATGCCGGCGGGCAAGGGGCAGGCGGCATCGTCGAGGGCGGAAACGATCGACATGGCATTCGCCGCCGGCAAGGGCGGCAGGGAGGGCGGCACCGGCTTCGGCAACGCCCGGACCGGCGCCGGTCAGGCGCCCGCGGTCAAGTTGGGCGCGGCGTCCGGCGAAGGCCCCGCCATTCCGGCCGCCGGCAGCGCCGCTGCGCCGGCGGGCGGCGAAGCGCGGCCGTCGCAGCCCGTGGTCGTTCCGCTCGATCTCGGCCGGGCGCTTGCGGGCGAGGGCGATCTGCCCGCATCCATGCGCGAAGCTGTCTCCTCGCACGTCGCCCGCGTGATGGCCGCGCCGGCCACCGCCGGGCAGCCGGTTTCCGTCTTGCGTATCCAGCTTCAGCCGGCCCATCTCGGCCAGATCAATGTGACAATGCGCATGTCCGGCGAGCAGATGACGGTCACCTTAACGCCCGACAGTGCCTCGGCGGCCCGCGCTCTCGGGTCCGATCAGGAGACCATCGCCACCGTACTTCGAGCGGTTGGCGGCTCGTTCGCGGGCGCCAACATCGAGATTGCCGGCGAAGGACAGATGCGCACCGGTGGCGACGACACCGCGTCGCGCAGCTTCGAGGGCCGTCAGGGCGACCGGTCCGGTGAGGGCGGTCGTGGCTCCGCATCGGGTGGTGCGGGCGGTTCGAGCGACGGCATCGAGACCGGCCCCGCCGGCGCCCACAACGGCGCACACCCGTCAAGCGCCGAGGGCCGAATCATTATCTGATGGTTAACAGCTCGTTAACGCGATCGTTAAGACTTGTCCGAGCCTTGCGGTTCAACGGCTTTTTGCCTTCAGTCAGCCCGTTTTTCGATTCGTTCCTGAAGTGCAATAGGCAAAAAACAGGGGGGTGAGAGGGGTTTCGGCTGGCCATACCAATAAGTCATCGTTTGGGGACTGATTTGGCGGGCAACACACATGATCGTAATTGTCGACGACCGGCGCGCCGTGCTGGACGCGTATCGGAGCATGTTTTCGCGTATTGGGTATTCCGTTTACGGGATGAATTCATCGGAAATACAGGACTGGCTTGAGTCGTCACCTTCGGAAGAAGTGCAAACGATCCAGTCTTTCTTGGTTGGACAAACAAACGACGAAGACACGCTGATCAATGCGCTGCGTGCCAAGACGCGCGTGCCGATCATCGCCATGCTCGAGACCGGCTCCCTTGACGAGACCCTGCAGCGCTTCGACATCGGCGCCGACGATGTGGTGCGCAAGCCCGTCCATGTCCGCGAGATACTCGCGCGCATCTCGGCCATCCGCCGCCGCTCCGAGCAGAGCAAGACCTATATCGACTGCGGCCGGCTGCGCGTCTTCATGGACGGGCGCGATCCGCTCATCGACGGCAAGCCCTTCCCGCTGCCGCGCCGGGAGCGCCGCGTTCTGGAGTATCTGGCCGGCAATGGCGAGCGCCGCGCCTCGCGCACCCAGGTCTACAACGCCGTCTACGGCGTGCTCGAAGACCATGTCGAGGAGTGCGTCATCGAGAGCCACATCTCCAAACTGCGCAAGAAACTGACCCGCATTCTCGGCGTCAACGTCATCGATTCGCGCCGTTATCTCGGTTACCGGCTTTGCATGGATTCGCTGCGCACGCCGGTGCCGACCGCCCAGCCCGCCGCAGAGCAGCCTCAGGCAAGTTTGGTCGTGTAACCTTTCTCGCACAATCGCGAGAAGGGGGTCCGCCCATGAGTCTTTACGGTATGATGCGCACCGGCGTGTCCGGTATGCAGGGGCAGGCAAGCAAGCTTTCCACGGTCGCCGACAACATCGCCAACTCCGCGACGACGGGATACAAGAAGCTCGGCGTCGAGTTCTCGACGCTGGTCGTCAACAATCTTCCCAACAGCCACAATTCTGGCGGCATCGTCACCAATGTCCGCCAGCACGTCTCCCAGCAGGGCGTGCTGCAGTTTACCAGTTCGGCGCTCGATCTGGCCGTCGATGGCGGCGGCTTCTTCGTTGTCAAGGATCAGAACGGCAGTTCCTTCATGACGCGCGCGGGCGCTTTCGTTCCCGATGCCGAGGGCCGTCTGGTCAATTCGGCCGGCTATTTCCTGGCTGGTTACAGTTACGAGAACGGCGAACCGGCCGTGACCGCCAACAGCCTCGAAGGCACCGAGATCGTCCGCCTGGACAATACGGCAATGGACGCAACTCCATCCCAGTTCGGCACATTCCAGGTGAACTTCCCGTCCGGCGCGCCCGTCGTCACCGGTACGCTGCCGTCGGCCAACGCCGCCACCTCCGAATTCTCGCAGAAAACCTCGATTCTCGCCTATGGCAATCTGGGCGACTCCCAACTGCTCGACGTTTACATGACCAAGACCGCGGCCAATACGTGGGAGATCGCGGTGTTCGATCAGTCCCAGGCGGCCGCCGGCACCAACTTCCCCTATGGCGCCGGCCCGCTGGCGACCCAGACGGTCACCTTCGACGGCACGACCGGTCAGTTGAGCGGCGCGACCAGCTTCACCGTACCGGTCCCCAACGGCCAGCCGCTAGAGTTCGACATGACCAACTCGACGCAGCTTGCCACCGACTTCACGGTCGCCGAAGTCAGTGTTGACGGCAATGCGCCCGCGACCGTCAAGCAGCTCAACATCGGCGCCGATGGCACCGTCTATGCGCAATTCGAGAACGAGACGCTGCGCGCCCTGTTCCGCGTGCCGCTCGCCAATGTCGTCAGCCCCGACCGGCTGACCTCGCTTTCGGGCAACGTTTTTGTCGCCAATCAGGAAAGCGGCGATGTGCGCCTCGGCTTCCCCGGTGAGGACGAGTTGGGCACGCTGGTCTCCGGCGCGCTCGAATCCTCGAACGTCGATATCGCCGAGGAATTGACCGAAATGATCCAGGCGCAACGCAACTACACCGCCAACTCCAAGGTATTTCAGACCGGATCGGAGTTGATGGACGTCTTGTTAACACTCAAGCGTTAACCTTTGGCGTGTCGCGCTTTGTTGCGCGGCTTGCCGGCACATATGCCGCTCAATGATTGGGATGGGACGACGCCCGAACCGGGAATGTCTGGCAGGTAGATGAAATGACGCTGACAGCGGCCATCAAGATTGCGCAGTCATCGCTGTTCAACGTGTCTCAGCAGACACAGCTTGCCTCGCGCAACATCACCGATGCCGGCAACGAGGATTATGTCCGTCGCCAGGCGCATGTGTCGACCGCGCCCTACGGCGCCCGCACCTACTCGATCGGCCGCGCCGAACAGCCAGCCCTGTTCAAGAGTTCGCTCGCCGCCCTGTCCGACAGTGCCGGCCAGGGGGTGATCGGCGATGCCGCCTCTCGGCTCCAGACGGCGGTGAACGGCGTCGACAACCAGAATTCGGCGTCGGTCAAGATCGGCGCGCTGCGCGACGCCCTGCAGATTTACTCCGCCGATGCGTCCAATCCCATTCTCGGGTCATCGGCGATCGATGCCGCCCGCGACCTTGCGCGCTCGATCAGCAGCGCATCGCAGGGCATCCAGTCCTACCGCGCCGAGATCGACCGCGACATCGGCGCCGGCGTCGATGATCTGCGCAGCCTGCTCGACCAGTTCGAAACCGCCAACAGCCTGGTCGTCCAGGGCACCCAGCTTCGCACCGACGTCAACGACGCGCTCGACCAGCGTGATGCGCTGCTCAAGCAGATGTCTGAATATGTATCGATCTCGGTGGTGCAGCGCGACAACAACGACTTCGTGCTCTACGCCGGCCAGGGAATCACGCTGTTCGAAACGGTGCCCAGAAACATCAGTTTCGACCCGCAGACGGCCTATTCGCCGACGACGACCGGCAATCCCTTGCGGATCGATGGGGTTCCGCTGACCGTCGGGCAGGGCGCCAACACCTCCGCTTCCGGCAAGCTGTCCGCGCTGATGCAGGCGCGCGACAGTGTCGCCGTGCAGCAGCAGTCCCAGCTCGACGAGATCGCGCGGGGCCTCGTCGAGACCTTTGCCGAAACCGACCAGACCGGCGGCGGCGCGCCGGCGCAGGCGGGCCTTTTCACCTATGCCGGCGGCCCCGGCATCCCGCCGGCGGGCACGCTGGTGCCCGGCATGGCCGCCTCGTTGACCGTCAGCGCCGCCTTCGATCCCGAGCAGGGCGGCGATCCGACGCTTCTGCGCGACGGCGGCGCCAACGGCGCGGCCTATGTCGCCAACACCACCGGCGGCGCGGCCTACTCCGACAATCTGCTGGCCCTTGTGCAGGGTCTCGACACGCCGCGCGCGATCGATGCGGCCGCCGGCATTGCCGGAGACCGCTCTGTCAGCGGCTACGCCGATGCGTCGATCGGCTGGGTGGAGAATCTGCGCTCGACCGCGAACATGGCCTCGCAGAGCAAGAAGGCGCTACACGACAAGCTGTCGGGCGACTATCTGGCCAAGACGGGCGTGTCCATCGACGAGGAAATGACCAAGCTGATCGCGCTCGAACAGTCCTATGAGGCGTCGGCCCGGATCATGAGCGTGGTCGACCGGCTGTTCGACACCTTGTTCGCGGCGGTGAGGTAACCCCATGAAGGTCACGCCGCACGTCGCCACCTATTCAATGTTCAACTCGGTGCGCAACGCAACCGCGTCGATGCAGATCGATCTGGTGCGCCTGCAGCAGGAAGTGGTGACCGGCAAGCTCGCCGACAGCGGGCTGGTCCTGGGTGCCCGCTCGGAGAACCTGGCTTCGTTCAAGTCGGACATTGCCCAGCTCAAGCGCATCATCGACACCAATGGCGTGACCGCTTCGCGCCTCGACATGACGCAGACCGCGCTCAGGCAGCTCAACGCGATCTCCGACGATCTGGTCAACACGCTCGGCCTGTCGCTGGGCGACGAGGCGCAGAAGAACGTCGTGCTGACGGAGTCGCAGAACGCCATCGAACAGATCACCAGCCTGCTTAACACCCAGGTCAACGGCGTGCACATCTTCGGCGGCGTGAACACCGCCAGCGCGCCGATGGCGGCCCATACGGGCGGCGCCGGGGAGGCCGCTTTCGACACCGCCTTCGCAGGCCATTTCGGCTTTGCCAAGACCGATGCCGCCGCTGCCGGCATCACCGCCGCGCAAATGACCGACTTCCTCGAAAACGTGCTCGAGCCGCAATTCATGGGCGCCGGCTGGACGACCGACTATTCGTCCGCCACCGACGAGACGATCAACGCGCGCATCGGCATCGACACCGTGGCCAGCGCTTCGGTCTCGGCCAACGAGGACGGGTTCCGCAAGCTCATGCTGGGCGCGGTCGTCGCCAAGGAGCTTTATGCCGCGCCGCTGTCGCAGGAGGCGCGTGACACGGCGGCCCTGTTCGCCATGTCCAGCGCCAAGACCGGCGGCACGGGCATCACCGGTCTCGAGAGCAGCGTCGGCCTGATGGAGAACCGCATCGACCGGCAGAACAAGACCATGACCAGCCAGATGGATGTGTTGACACGTCTGTCCGACAATCTCGAAGGGGTCGACCAGTATGAGGCGTCGACCGCGCTGACCAATCTTCTGACCCAGATCGAGGCGTCCTACGCCACGACCGCCCGCATCCAGCAGATGAGTATTATGCGCTATCTGTGACAAGAGCCAGGAAGGCCATCATGATCCGAGTAAGTTACGCCGAAATCGAGTCCGATTCCCTTGTTGGTTCGCGTGAGCGGGAACAGCAATTGCTCGACCAGTCCATTGCCCTGATGGATCAGGCGCTCAAGGACGGGCCCAACTCGATGGCGACGGTCGAGGCGATGCATTTCACGATGCGGCTGTGGACCCATCTGATGCAGGACCTGGCCGAACCGGAAAACGAACTGCCCGACGATCTGCGCGCCAGCCTGATCTCGATCGGCATCTGGATCCTCAAGGAGGCCGATGCGGTGCGCATCGGCGAACAGGGATCGATTTCGGAAATCCGCGACATCACGGCCATCATCCGGGACGGGCTGAAATGAAGGGCACGTTCAAACTTTTCCTCAAGGCCAACGAACGCGTCTTCATCAATGGCGCGGTGCTGCGGGCCGACCGCAAGGTCGGCATCGAACTGCTCAACGATGTCGACTTCCTGCTCGAAAACCACGTGCTGCAGGTCGAGCACGCCGACACGCCGCTCAAACAGCTCTATTTCATCATCCAGATCATGCTGATGTCGCCGTCCGAAAAGCCTGCGGCAGCAAAGCTTTACAAGGATTCGGTCAAGGCGCTGCTGGCGACTTTCGACAGCGCCGAGGTGCTCAACGGCCTCAAGCAGATCGATGTGATGATCGCCGAGGAGCGCACCTTCGAGGCGCTCAAGGCGCTGCGCGCCCTTTTTGAGGTCGAGGCGGGCATTCTTGCACGCAAGCGTGGCGAAAGCCTGGGATGCGATAATCCTGCCCAAGAGGACCGACACGCAGCGGCAGGATGAAGCCATGACCGACGTCAGCGCAGTTACAGGTGTCCAGGGAACGACCGGCACATCGCAGACCGGCAGTGCCCAGACGGTGGACTATGACGCCTTCCTGAAGCTGCTGACGGCGCAGATGCAGAACCAGGACCCCACCGAGCCGATCAGCGACACCGAATACATCGCCCAGCTTGCGTCCTTCTCCAATGTGGAGCAGTCGACCAAGCTCAATGACAAGCTTGACTACCTGATCCAGATGACATCGTTCCAGCAGGCCGGCTCGCTGATCGGGCGGACGGTGACATCCGCCGACGGCCTGACCTCTGGCACCGTGGCCGAGGTGAAGATCCTCAGCCAGGGCACCGTCGCCATTCTCAGCGACGGCACCGAAGTGCCGGTGAGCGCGGGCCTGACCGTCAGCTGACCGCTCTGCGGCCACAAAAGGCATCAAGATGGCCGAGGCCGACGTCATTGAAATCGTCCAGCTTACGATCTGGACGACGCTGGTCACCGCCGGCCCGTCCGTGTTCGCGGCGATGTTTGTCGGCATTGCGATCGCGCTGTTCCAGGCGCTGACCCAGGTTCAGGAAATCACGCTCACCTTCATCCCCAAGATCGTCGTCATCCTCGTGACGATCTCCTTTTCCGCCGCCTTCATGGGCGCACAGATCGGCCGCATGACAGAGGTGCTCTACGGCCGCATCCAGACCGGCTTCTGAGCCCGGATTTCCGGCTTTTGGGCAGCAGTTGACCGGCTTGCCGCCAGCCCCGTGCAAGCCCCGGATTCGATGATCGCGGATATGACCGGCGCACGGGTCACGCGCGCTGGACCTCTCGGTCTCGGAGACGGCTTTGGCCAACGTGCAAATCCCGGCGGCATCGGCGCCATCGTCCTACGGCAACGACATCACCTTCGCCATCGGCATCATGATGGTGCTGTCGCTTCTGTTCCTGCCGGTCCCGGTCTTCATGATCGATGTCGGACTGGCCGTGTCGCTGGCTTTTTCCGTCCTGATCCTGATGGTCGCGCTGTGGATCCCGCGGCCGCTCGACTTCTCGTCCTTTCCGACGATCCTGCTGATCTCGACCATGCTGCGCCTGTCGCTGAACATCGCGACGACGCGGGCGATCCTGTCGGACGGCCATGAGGGCGTCGATGCCGCCGGCAGCGTCATCGCCGGCTTTTCCAGCTTCGTGATGAGCGGCGATTTCGTCATCGGCTTGGTCGTCTTCCTGATCCTGGTCGTCGTCAACTTCGTCGTCATCACCAAGGGTTCGACCCGCATCGCCGAGGTGGGCGCCCGGTTCACGCTCGACGCCATTCCCGGCAAGCAGATGTCGATCGATGCGGACCTTTCCGCCGGTGTCATCGACGAAGCCGAGGCGCGCCGCCGGCGCAAGGAGCTCGAAGAGGAAAGCTCCTTCTACGGGTCGATGGACGGTGCCTCCAAGTTCGTGCGCGGCGACGCAATCGCCGGCCTTCTGATCACCGCCATCAACATCGTCGGCGGCATCATCATCGGCGTTACCCGCCACAACATGTCGATGGGCGAGGCGGCCGATGTCTTCACCAAACTGTCTGTCGGCGACGGGCTCGTTTCGCAGATCCCCGCACTTGTCGTGTCGCTCGCCGCGGGCCTGCTGGTTTCCAAGGGCGGCAACCAGGGCTCGGCCGACAAGATCGTGTTCGACCAGCTCGGCAACTATCCGCGCGCCCTGTTCGTCGCCGCCGGCCTTCTGACAATCCTCGGCCTGATGCCGGGCCTTCCGGCCGTACCGTTCCTTATGCTCGCCGCCGGCATGACGGCGATCGCCTATCTGCGGCCGCTGTTCCGCTCGGTCGAAGCCCAAAAACAGCAAAAGGTGATCGACGACGAGGAAGAGGCCAAAAAGCGCGAGACCCGCGATTCCGTCAAGAGCTCGCTCGCCGTGCCGGAAATCCAGCTTTCGCTGGGCAAGCAGCTCGCAACGCAGCTTCTGCCCAAGCAGAAGGACATGGCGCACCGGATGAAACAGATGCGCAAGCGCTTCGCTCAGGAGTACGGGTTCGTCGTGCCGGACGTGCAGCTTGTCGACGAATATGACGTGCCGCCCAAGGCCTATCGCATCAAGATTTACGGCACGACCGTGGTCGAGCATGAACTGCGTGTCGGCGAGCTTCTGGCGTTCGCCGATCCGCAGGCGATCCGCGGCATCCCCCACACGGCCGTGCGCGAGCCCGCCTTCGGAGGCGAGGCGCTGTCTGTGATGGAAACCTTCCGTGACGATCTGCGGCGCATGAACATCGCCACCGCCGACAATGTCAGCGTCATCCTGACCCATCTGAGCGAGGTGGTGCGCAACAACCTGCCGCAGCTCTTCTCCTACAAGGCGATGAAGACGCTGATCAACGACATGGAGCCCGAATACCGCAAGCTCGCCGACGAGATCTGCACCACGCATGCCACCTATCCCGGCTTCCAGGCGGTGCTCAAGCTGCTTCTGGCCGAGCGGGTTTCGATCCGCAATCTGCCGCTGATCATCGAGGCCGTGGCCGAGATCGCGCCGACCACGCGCAAATCCGAGACCATTGTCGAGCATGTGCGCGCCCGCATGGCCCAGCAACTGTGCGGGGATCTGACCGTCGACGGCGTGCTCAGCATCGTCCGGCTCGGCAATCGCTGGGAGCTGGCCTTCCGCGAGGCGCTCAAGCGCGACTCCACCGGCGAGATCGCCCAGTTCGACATCGACCCCCGCCAGCTCGAGGAATTCGGCACCGAGATCGGCAGGGAGATCACCGAGCAGAAGGCCCGCCACGACCGGATCGCCATCGTCACCACGCCCGAGGCGCGTCCCTATGTGCGCATGATCGTCGAACGCATGCACCCCGATGTCGCGGTCATGTCGCATCTGGAGATCGGCAAGGGCATCGAGATACGGATCGTGGGCACGCTGTCGTGAACGCGCTGATCGAAGCCAACCTGATGGCGGGCTTCCTTCTGTTCTGCCGCGTCGGCGCCGTCCTGATGATCATTCCGGGCTTTTCGAGCGCCCGCGTGGCGGTTCGGATCCGCCTCCTTGCCGCCGTCGCGCTGACGGTGGCGCTGTTCCCGCTGATGGCGGGCGATCTTCTGGGGCGGGTCGATCCCGACAGTCTCGACAATGTCTCCCGCGCCATTGTCTCCGAACTGATGATCGGCGCGGCCATCGGCCTCGTCGCGCGCATCTACATTCTGGCGCTCGAATTCGTCATGTCGGCGGTCGCCATGTCGGTCGGCTATGGCGGCATGCTCGGCCCCAACATCGAGGGGCAGGAACCGCAGGCCGCTTTGACGACGCTGGTCTCGTTCACCGCGCTCCTGATCCTGTTTGCCGCCGACTTCCACCACATCGTCCTGCGCGCGGCGCTCGCCTCCTACGACATCTTCCCGGCGGGAAGCTTTCCCGACCCCGCGGTGCTGCTGGCCGATCTGGTCGACACGCTGGCGGTGACATTCTCGATCGCGCTGCGGCTGGGAAGCCCGTTCATCGGCTTTGCGATCATCGCCAACATGCTGGTCGGCGCGCTCAACAAGCTCGCGGTACAGATCCCGATCTATTTCGTCGCGCTGCCCGCCATGCTGCTGGGCGCGCTGGCAATGCTCTATTTCAACCTGCCATTCATTCTCAGCGTCTTTGGCGGCAATTTCGCCGCGCTCTACACGGGCAACTGACATGAAGCGATCCTCGTCCGACATCAAGCGGCTGATCCGCGCCCAGGAGGCGATGGCCGCCATGGCGCGCGTCGAGCATGTCGCAACCGCCGGCGCCCTCGATGCCAAGTCGGGCGAGATCGCCTCGCTTGAGCGCTGGGCCGCCGAGCCCGACGCGCGTACGCTGCCGCTGCTCGACTTCTATGTCGAGCGGGCCCGGTCGCTGAATGCGGAAAAGGCCGCGCTGGCCAGGCGCGAGCAAACGGCTCGCGAACGGCTGGCCGGAGAAACCGCACGCGTCAGGCCGCTCGAGCGCGCGGCCGCCAAGGCGCGCCGGGCCGAAGAGCGCTCGGCGTCCGAAAAGCAGTTGGGCGAGATGCTTGACCGGCAGTTTTCGGCAGCGAATCAAGTTTCCCGCAAGCCTCGCCGTCCATAGTCGACATCATGGATGTTGCTCCCCTGACACCAGCCGCCGCCACCGGCGATGCGGCCCGTCCCGATTCCGCCGCAGCGGCGGTAAGGCAGGCGGCTTCCGCCGGCGATGTGGCGTTCGCCAGGGCGGTCGATCAGGTCGCGGCGCAGGACGCGGCGTCAGGCGCCGAAACGGTTCGTGCGCAGCCGGCGGAAAAACCCGGCTGGAAGCAGCTTGAAACGCTGCTCGTCCAACAGATGCTGCAAAGCGTGATGACCTCCGAGGAGGGCGGCTTCTTCGGCGAGGGGCTTGGCAGCGACTATTACGCATCATTCATGGCCGAACAGTTCGGCGCCCGGATTGCCGAAGGCATCGATCTGGGCATCGCATCACAGCTTGAGGGGCATTATGGATCGGGAGATGGGACATGATCGCTGAACAGGCGGCGCCGGGCGGGGGCGCCGACACCGAGACGGTCCTGCGCATCGTTGCGCGGCTGACCGGGATCATCAGGGGCGAGTGCGCCGCGATCAGGGACAATCCCGCCGCCGACCTGTCGGGGTTCGTCGAGGCCAAGAACCGCTGTCTCTACGAATTGGAGCTTGCGGTTGGCGACGATCGCTCCATTCTCACTCACGCCCATGCCAAGACCGCGTTCGGCCAGTTGCGCGAGGCGGTTGCGCTCAACGAATCGCTGCTCCAGGCGCACATCGTTGCCGTGGGCGACGCGATCGGCGTCGTCGAGGAGCTGTCGGGCGCCATGCCGTCGGACGGAACCTATGGGAATCCGGCGCGCGCCAAACCGGCTGCCTATCTGTGATCGCCCGGTTCGCCGTCGTTGCGGTCGCAACCACCGCCTCGCTCGGCGGGCTCTATGGCGGCGCCACAATGGCGCCGGGCACCGATGGTGCCGTCAACGAAAAACACGCCGAACAGGCCTCGACAACGCTGCGCACCGACCTGATCGCCACGCCGCTGATCCTGCCCGGCCGGATCAACGGCTACATTATCGGCCGTTACGTGATCTCCTATGACGGTGCCATCGTCGACGAACGGCAGCTTCCGCTGACCACGGTGGTCACCCACGCGGCCAACATCTTCTTCTACCGCAACGCTGCCGAGACTTTCTGGGTCGGCGGTCCGATGGGGGTGGACGAACTGGCGGACGGGCTGAAAGTGGCGATCAACGAAACGGCCGGCGCGCCGCTCGTTAGCGCGCTTTCGGTGCGGCAGCTCGACTATCTGCAATCGCCGGAAATCCGGCAGCCGGTGATTTCCTTCGACAATTGATCGGATCGGATCGTCAGGACGCGCCGGGAACGGCACGCACGGTCTGGAAATATTCAGACTTGACGATCGTGTAGGCGTCCGGCGCCTGGTCGAGTTGCGCGGCGCAAAGGGCAGGAACGTCTTCGCCGACAGCCACGACCGACAATTTGCGCAGCATGGAGTCGGCGACGCTGGTGACCGCCATCTGGAAATCTTCATCCGAATAGCCGTTCGGCAGGTCCACCGATGCGGTTACCACGCAATAGCCGACCCGTGCCCGGTCTTGATAGATGGGAACCGAGACCGGCGGCAGTTCGACGGTTCGCGTCAGGGCGATGACCGGCGCCGGCGCGCCGCTGTCACCGAACAGATTGTCCCAGAAAGCGCCGAGATAGGCGCCGCCCACTGCGAGAAGGGCAACGGCAATCCCGGTTCCGATCGTGCTGACGGCCTGCATCGCCACTCCGCATCCTTTGACGGTGCGACCATGGCGTACCAGCCTTGCGCGGGGCGGGTGGCGGGAGCGCGCCTCACTCCGCCGCGAGCGGCAGTGCCGACGTGTCCTTCACCGTGTTGAGCACGATCGCGGTCTTGACGTTCTGCACCGCCTCGTGGGCGAGCAGCGTGCGGTTTATGAAGTCGGACAGCGCGTGCAGGTCTTCGGTGACGACCTTGATCGAATAGTCCATCTCGCCGGTCAGCGCGTGCGCTTCCAAAATGTTGGGCGAGGCCCGGACCAGCCGCGCGAAGCGCTCCGCATTGCCCTCGGTATGTGTCGCAAGCGTCACCGATATGATCGAGACCAGCGCAAAGCCCGCGCGCTCCCGGTCGATGACGGCATGATATCCAGAGATCAGGCCGGTCTCCTCGAGCCGTGCGCGGCGCCGCGAGCATTGCGACGGCGACAGCCCGATCTGGTCCGCCAGTTCGTTGTTGGTCAGCCTTCCGTTTTGCTGCAATGCCGCGAGAATTGTGCGGTCTTGGCGATCGAGTGCTGGATCGTTCACGCAATTTCTCCAATTCATGCAAACATCGTGCGTATTCTTATGCCTGGACGCGAAGTTTGCAAGCATCTTGCATCCCGATTGCGGTAGACTGGAGCAAAACAACCATTTGGGAGAAGTGTCATGGGTCCGTTTCCGCACGACGCGCCGACAGCCGAGATCACCGAGAAGAACCCCGCCGGCACGGACGGCTTCGAGTTCGTCGAGTTCGCTCATCCCGATCCTGCCGAACTGGAGCGCCTGTTCGCCAGGATGGGCTATCAGCCCGTGGCCCGTCACCGGTCCAAGGCGATCACCGTCTGGCGTCAGGGCGACGTCAACTACATCGTCAACGCCGAACCCGGCAGCCACGCCATGCGCTTTGTCGGCGAGCACGGTCCGTGCGCGCCGTCCATGGCCTGGCGCGTGGTCGATGCCGAACATGCCTTCGCCCACGCCGTCAGTCTGGGCGCGGAACCGTATACCGGCGATGACAAGGCGCTCGATGTCCCCGCCATCGTCGGCATCGGCGGATCGCTGATCTATTTCATCGACCGCTATGGCGACAAGGGTTCTGCCTATGATGCCGAGTTCGAGTGGATCGGCAAGCATGACCCCGCGCCCGAGGGGTTCGGCTTCTATTATCTCGACCACCTGACCCACAATGTCTATCGCGGCAACATGGACAAGTGGTGGGCTTTCTACCGCGACCTGTTCGGCTTTACGCAGATCCACTTCTTCGACATCGAGGGCAAGCTGACGGGGCTTGTCAGCCGCGCGATCACGTCGCCTTGCGGCAAGATCCGCATCCCGCTGAATGAAGGCACGGACGACAAGAGCCAGATCGAGAGCTATCTGCGCAAGTACAAGGGCGAGGGCATCCAGCACATCGCCGTCGGCACCGATGCAATTTACGATGCGACCGACCGGCTGGCCGACAACGGCCTTGAATTCATGCCCGGCCCGCCGGAGACCTATTATGCGATGTCGCAGACCCGCGTGAACGGCCATGACGAGCCGGTCGAGCGGATGAAGAAGCACGGCATCCTGATCGACGGCGAGGGCGTGTTCGACGACGCCAATGGTGACAGGATGACCAAGATCCTCTTGCAGATCTTCTCGAAGACGGTGATCGGTCCGATCTTCTTCGAGTTCATCCAGCGCAAGGGCGACGAGGGCTTCGGCGAGGGCAATTTCCGCGCCTTGTTCGAGTCGATCGAAGCCGAGCAGATCGCGACCGGCGAACTGGCTGTGGAAGCGGCCGAGTAGCGCCCAGGGTCAAACCGCCAGCTCGTTCTCGTCAAAAAAGTGCAGGTGGGCCGGATCGAACGCCAGGCCCACCGTCTTGCCGCGCAGATCGTTGTTGGCGCCGGTGGTGCGCACGACGATCTGCCCGAGTGCGCCGCAATCGACATAGAGGAACGTGTCGGCCCCCAGATATTCGGTCACTTCGACCCGGCCCGTCACGGTGCCTTCGGCGGCCCCGACGACCTGGATGTGCTCTGGCCGCACGCCCATCTTGACCGCGCTTCTGCCCGCCTCGCGCTCGAACGGTCCGGTGCCGTGGCCGTCGAGATGGTACAGATTGCCGTCGGTCTCGCAGTCGAAAACGTTCATCTTGGGCGACCCGATGAATTGGGCGACAAACAGATTGTCCGGCTTCTCGTAGAGGTCGCGAGGCGTGCCCACCTGCTTGATGACGCCGAAATCGAGGACGACGATCTTGTCGGCCAGCGTCATCGCCTCGACCTGGTCGTGCGTGACGTAGATCATCGTCGTGCCGAGCGTCTCGTGCAGCTTGGCGATCTCGAACCGCATCTCGACACGCAGCGCCGCATCGAGGTTCGACAGCGGTTCGTCGAACAGGAAGCCGACCGGCTCGCGCGTGATCGCCCGGCCGATGGCGACGCGCTGGCGCTGGCCGCCCGACAGCGCCTTGGGCTTGCGGTCCAGATAGTCTTCGAGCTTGAGGATGCGGGCCGCCTCTGCAACCTTATGCCGGATTTCGGCACGCGGGGCGCCTGCCGTTTTCAGGCCGAACCCCATGTTTTCGCCGACCGACATGTGCGGATAGAGCGCATAGGACTGGAACACCATCGACAGCTTGCGCTCCGACGGCAGCTTGGAGGTCACGTCTTCGCCATTGATGAAGACCTGTCCGCGCGAGGCCTCCTCAAGGCCTGAAATCAGCCGCAGAAGCGTGGACTTTCCGCATCCGGACGGGCCGACGAAGATGACGAACTCGCCGTCGCCGATCTCAAGGTCCACGCCTTTGATGACCTGCAGTTCGCCGAACCACTTTTCCACCTTGTGCAGCGTGATCGAACCCATGGTGCGTCTCCTATGCCGCCGCGGCCGCGCCGAATTCGTGCTCGAGCGCCAGGTGGATCGCCGCGGTCCAGGTGAACTCGGGCCCGCCCAGCCCTTCGCCCGTCAGCGGGTCGAAATATTCAAAAAAGCCCGACTGCGCGACGAGCTTCCGGCAATCGTGCCGCAGCCGCATCGCCAGATCCTGATGGCCGTTCATGTCCAGACCCGAGGCAATCATCCAGTTCATCATGTTCCAGACGGGCCCGCGCCAGTAGCGGCGGGATTCAAAACTGTCATGGCGCGGATCCCAGCTGGGAAAGGCGAACTGGCAGATGTCGAAAATGGCGCGCGCCTGATCGGCCATCTCATCGCGCTGCTCTCTTGTGCCCGCGCCGGCATACCAGGCCAGCATGGATGCATTGGTGATGGCGGTCGACTTGTACCCGCCATTGCGCAGATCGACCGCCACAAAGCCGCGCGCCTCATCGCTCCACATGGCCTGAGCGCCGTCGAAATCGCGGGCGATCCACTCCCGGATCATCTTCATCGCCCGGCCATGCTCGAACCGTTCGGCCAGCTTGAGCAGATCGCGGTCCGCCCGCATCAGGACGAACTGCACGCACGGATCGGCCATCAGGAACGGGCCGTCGCGCGTGATCTTCTCGTGGTCCCAGCCGCACTCGCGGCCGAATTTGACGATCGTCAGATAGCGGTCATAGGTGATCTTGGTCGGCCGTTCGGACGGATCGACCCAGTCGGTGTCGCGGCGGTGATATTCGCCCAGATCGTCCGGCACCGTGATCCGGTTCATGCCGATGTCCCAGTCCGGGCAGTTGTCGCGGCCTGATTCCCACGGATGGACGATGCCGACCAGCCCCGTGCCGTCGGGATCGCGATAGCGGTGCCACCAGTCATGCCAGGCCAAAAGCCGCTCGAACAGGTCGTGGGCGCGCTTGTCGTCGTCGCGGTCGCCGGTCTCCACGAGCCAGCGCATGACGGTTGCCGCGACCGGCGGCTGAGAGTGGCCCGATGTCTGCGGTACCGTGTCGGACTGCCACACATCGGGGCCGGGAAAATAGCTCGGATCATGGTTGCGGAAAATGATGTGCGGCACCATCCCGTCGTCCCATTGCCCCTCAAACAGCGTCTCGATCTCGCGCCACGCCCGGTTCCGGTCGAAGGCGGCAAAGCCGAGCGCCGCGAACGCCGAATCCCAGTTCCACTGATAGGGATAGAGCCCCTTGGTCGGCACGGTGTAGCCGCCCCGGTCGTTGGCGTGGAGGATCGCGATGGCGTGTTCGGAAAGCGATGGCGCCATGATCAGCCTTTCACACTGCCGGCGGTCAGGCCGGACACGAGGAACCGCTCGAACCACAAAAACAGCACCAGCACCGGCACGGTCGCGATCACCGCGCCGGCCATCAGATGCTGGCGCGGGACCTCCGAGGAATCGAGTGAGTAGACGCCGCGCGCCAGCGTGAACAGGTCGATATTGTCGAGGAACATGAAGGCGAACAGGAACTCGTTCCAGGCGATCATGAAGACGTAGAGCGCGACCGAAGCGAGCGCCGGCAGCGACAGCGGCAGGGTGATCTTGCCGATGACGCCGGCGCGCGTCAGCCCGTCCATCAGACCCGCTTCCTCGAGCTCGGACGGAATGCCGCGGAAATAGCCCTGCAGCATGTAGAGCGCGACGGGGATGGTCGTCGCCGGATAGACGATCAGAAGTCCGGTCAGCGTGTTGCGCAACCCAAGCTGCGAGAAGACGGCGTAAAGCGGAATCACCAGCACGATCGCCGGCACCATGTAGATCATCAGGATCGAGCGGGAGAGGAACTCCTGGCCCGGAAAGCGCAGCCGCGCCACCGCGTAGGCGCCGGGGACGGCAAAGGCGAGCGTGATGATCACAGTGCCGACCGCGACAATGGCTGTGTTCAACAGGAAGGTGCCGAAATTGTAGATGGTGAACAGTTCGATGTAGGAGCGGAACAGCCCGGCAAAGCCTTGGCCCAGGTCAATCGAGAAATCGAGCGGGTTGGCAATCAGTTGCGCCTGGTTCTTCAGGCTCGTCATCACCATCACGTAAAAGGGCAGGGCCACCAGCACCGTGAAGAAGACCAGCCCCAGCCCCTTGGCGAGCCGGATCACGATCACCTCGAACTGGTAGCGCGTCAGCCGTCCGGACGGTTGCCCGTGCACGCTGGAATGAACGCCCAGCCAGGTCAGGCCGACAAAGGCGGCGAACGCGGCCAGTTGCGCGATCGGCGCCGTGCCGAGCGGCAGGCCGAGCGGAGCACCGAAGGTGAAGACGACCAGCACGATCCCGACCGTGGCGATCGCGGCGATCGTCAGCCCCGGCGTGCGTGCATCGGTCCGGAACGCCATGATCAGCGCGCCGCACGCGGCACCCGCCAGCATCGCCGCGCCGACCGGTGGCGCCGTGATCGCTCCGGAGACCAGCATGAAGGTGACCGCGATCACGATCATCCAGACAAGGCCCCAGATGGCGCCCGCCACGAGTCCCGTCAGTGTGCCGAACCCGAGCGCCATCAGCCCTCGTCCTGCGGCGAATATTTGAAGATGATCAGCGAGAAGCACAAAAGGACGAGGAAGACGACGACCGCCACCGCCGCGCCGGCGCCCAGGTTCGAGACCGCAAAGGCCTGCTCATAGACATTGACCGTCATGGTGCGGGTGCCGGCCGCGCCGCCGGTCAGAAGGAAGATGTCGTCGAAATTGTTGAACGTCCAGATGAAACGCAAAAGGAACAGGATCGCCAGAATGCCGACAAGCTGCGGCAGCGAGATGTACCAGAACTGCTGCAGCGGCGTCGCGCCGTCCATCTCGGCTGCTTCGTACATGTCGGACGAAATCGACTGCATCCGCGCCAGGATGAACAGGAAGGCGAGCGGAAAGCTGCGCCAGGCTTCGATGCCGATCACCGCCGACAGCGCGACGGGGAAGTTGATCGTCAGGCCGAAGAAATCGAGCGGCACCGCCCGCTGGCCGAGGAAGTTGATCGGTGTGTCGAGCACGCCCATCTGGCGCAATATGGCGTTCAGCGTGCCGGAGAACGGATCGAGCAGCAGCACCCAGGTGAAGGCGACGGCGATCACCGGCGCCACATAGGGGAACAGGAACAGGCCGCGCAGCACGGTGCGCCCCCGGAAGGCGGTGTTGAGCATCTGCGCGGCAAACAGGCCCAGCACCAAAGCGCCGAGCGTGGCGAAGATCGTGTAGTAGATCGTCACGCGCAGCACGTGCCAGAACTCGGCCGCCGAAAACACCTTGGTGAAATTCTCGAACGTGAACTCGGGGCTGGTCAGCACATTGTCCGATGTGGCGCGGCTGGCCGCTTCGCTGTCGCGCGGTCGGACGGGATCGTCGAAGTAGGCTTGCGTCGCCGTCACCTCGATGCGGATCCGGTCGCGAAAGCGCGGTTCCACCTCGCCGAGTGCACAGTCCAAAAGCCGGTCTTCCAGCGTGCATCGCGGATCGAGATCGCCGGTTGGCGTGAGCCCCTCGGGGATCGTGTCGGAAAAGCCCGCATCGCGCAGCGGCGCATCCTGCGAGGAGTTGCGGACGCGATATTCCAGCGTCGCCACATCGCCCGCCGCCTCGAGATCGCCGCGCAGGCGCTCATTGACGAACAGGCTTGCGGGCCGCAGATCGCCCAGCCCGACCGGTTTGAAGGATATCCAGAAATTGGCGAGCAGCGGCATGAGCACGACCGCCATCACGATGCCGAAAGTCGGCAGCAGCATCGAATAGGCCAGATTCCGCTCGCGGCGTGCTAGCGGCCCGAGCGTTTTGGGCGGCGCTGCCGCTGACGATGGCGCTGCGGTCGTCACCTGATCGGCGTGGTCGGTGGTTGCCATGGCTGGGCTGCCGGCGAACGGCCGGGCGGATTCTGGTCCGCCCGGCTTTGAACGCGCTTAGTCGATGGCGCCGAGCTCTTCGTTCATCTGCGCGACGGCGGCCGCGCCGTCGAGCTCGCCGTCGATGTACTGGCGCACGATGCGGTTGATGATTTGGCTGTTGATCATCTTGGACGCGAGCGACAATTGCCCCTCGGTCACGCCCCAGCGCGCCGCGGTTTCAAGTCCGCCGGTGATCCGCGCCACCGTTTCGGCCGGATAGACGTCCGACAGCGGCGCCTTGCGGTCGACGCCGACCGGCAACTGCGCCCAGCCGTCGACGAACTTGTTGGGGTCGTCCGCAGTGCCGGTGCGCACCGGAAACTTGCCCTCGGGCGCGATCGACAGCGTGTCGAGATAGCCTTCGTCCATCGAGAACTTGACGAACTCGGCGGCGACATCGGTGTTTGCGTCGGCCGTCACGCCGAAATAGCGTACGTCGGCCCATGCCGCGCCGTCCGGATTGGACGGGCCGGAGAAGGTCGTCACCACATCGGTTTTGGACGCCAGCTCGGCCGAGGTCGGATCGTCGTTGATCGTCGGCGGCGCCGAATCGCGCAGGCCGGCGAGCTCGTCCAGAATGAAGGGCGACCAGATGATCATCGCCGCATTGCCGGAAAAATAGAGTTCGCGCGACTGCTGCCAGAACAGTTCGCCCGGCGGGGAGGCTTCGGCCAGCGCCTTGTAGAAGTCGAGCACTTCCAGCGTCGCCGCCTCGTCGAGCGGTGCGAAACCGTCCGCGCCGACCGGCGAGACGCCGTTGGCCAGGAACACATGCTCGAGCACCTGGCTCATGAAGTTCTCGTCCACCTTTGTGGCCGCAACGAACCCGTACATGTCGGGCGGGTTGTGCAGCGCCTCGATGGCCGCGGTGATGTCGGCATAGGAGTCCGGCGCTTCCAGACCGGCTTCGTCGAACAAATCCTTGCGGTAGACGATCATCTGCGTCCAGCCGTCCACCGGCACGGCGGCGGTGGACCCGTCGAACTGCGCCATCGCAACGGCGCCGGCCTGGAACGTGTCGGCGCCCAGCTCCTGGACGATCTCGTCATTGGTCTCGACGTCCAGAATGCCCGCTTCGGCCCATGGCAGCACATATTGCAGCGTGTGATAGATCACGTCGGGCAGGTCGTTGGCGGCAAAGGCGGCCGTAGCGCGGGTGCCCAACTCGGACTCCGACACCGGAATGACTTGCACTTCATGGCCGGTCTGCTCGGCAAAGGTCGCCGCCATCTGTTCCTGGATCGCCAGCCGTTCGGGCTGCTCCTCGGTCGTCCAGAAGCGGATCGTGTCGGCACTCGCCATCGCGGTCATCGAGACCGTGACGAGAAGGGCTCCGGTCAGTGTCGTCAGGTTTCTCATTCGCTTACCTCCCAGTGCGAAAGGCCCGTTCGTCAGCGCAGCAAAAGGCTCTGCCGCGTCTTCGTCGGGGCTGGACAGCTCAAATCGTGGATGCGGGAGAAACATGTGCGGCTCGACCGAACGGCCCGGCAAGGCAGGCAACGGCGCTGCAGCATATTGTCATCCTCCCAGATAGCCATTTTGTATACTTAAAGCGCTTTGGAAATCAAGGTTCGATAGCCCCGATGACCCCGGATCGGGTGGTGAATACCGGTCGTGATCCTTGCCACGCAGCGCTTTGCAGGCGCCCCGAGGCGTGACACAGTGGGCGTGAACCAATGACGAAGAGGCCGCCGATGAATGCCGAAATCCGCGACACGCTCAAGCCCTGGCAGGACAGCCAGCGCGATCTTGTCAATGTCGCCATGGGCCGCAAGCCGGCCGATCTGGTCGTGCGCGACGGGCGCTGGGTGAATGTCCATTCCGGCGAGATCATCGACGGCACGGATCTGGCCGTCATCGACGGGCGTTTTGCCTATAGCGGGCCCGATGCAGGCCATTGCATCGGTGAGGACACGGTCGTGGTCGACGCGGGCGGACGTTATCTGGTGCCCGGCCTGTGCGACGCGCACATGCACATCGAGAGCGGCATGCTGACCGTGACCGAATTCGTCCGCGCCGTGGTCCCGCATGGCACCACGTCCATGTTCGTCGATCCGCACGAGATCGCCAACGTCCTCGGGCTCGACGGCGTGCGCATGATGCATGACGAGGCGCTGGACATGCCGGTCAACGTGTTCGTGCAGATGCCGTCCTGCGTGCCGTCGGCGCCGGGGCTCGAACATGCCGGCGCGTCGCTCGGCCCGCAGGAGATCGCCGAGGCCATGGCATGGCCGAACATCATCGGCCTTGGCGAGGTGATGAACTTTCCCGGCGTCGCCGCCAACGACCAGACCATGGTCGGCGCGATCGCCGCCACCGTCGGCGCTGGCAAGACCGTCGGCGGGCATTACGCTTCGCCCGATCTCGGCATCCCGTTCCACGGCTATGTTGCCGGCGGGCCCGAAGACGATCATGAGGGCACCCGCGCCGAAGACGCCATCGCCCGGGTGCGTCAGGGCATGAAGGCGATGCTGCGGCTTGGCTCGGCCTGGTACGATGTCGCTGAACAGATCAAGGCGGTGACCGAACACGGCATCGATCCGCGCAACGTGATCCTTTGTACCGACGACTGCCATTCGGGCACGCTGGTGCATGAGGGGCATATGGATCGCGTCGTGCGCCATGCGATTGCGCAGGGTCTGAACCCTGTCACCGCGATCCAGATGGCGACGCTGAACACGGCGCAGCATTTCCGGTTGGAGCGCGAACTGGGCTCGATCACGCCGGGCCGACGCGCCGATTTCCTGATCGTTTCGAACCTCGCAGACCTGGCGATCGACGAAGTCTGGGCCCGGGGTGTGCAGATGGCCGTGGACGGCAAGCTGACCGGCGAGATCGCGCCCTATGACTATCCGGCGGCGGCCAAAAACACGGTCCGCCTCGGCAAGGACCTTTCCGCCGACGACTTTGTCGTCGAGGCGCCGGTCAATGAGGGCACCGTCGATGTGCGTGTCATCGGGGTCATCGAGAACCAGGCGCCGACGCGGGCGCTCGAAGCCACCCTTCACGTGAAAGGTGGCGTGGTGCAGATGGACCTGCCGAACGATGTCTGCCAGATCGCGCTGGTCGAGCGCCACAGGGGCACCGGCGCGGTCACCAACGCCTTCGTCTCCGGCTTCGGCTATGCGGGCGACTGCGCCATGGCGTCGACCGTCGCCCATGACAGCCATCACATGATCGTCGTCGGCACCAATCATGACGACATGGCGGAAGCCGCCAATGTTCTCGGCGAAGTGGGCGGCGGCGTGGTCATGGTCTCGAAAGGCGAGGTTCTGGCGCTGGTCGAGCTTCCGATCGCCGGCCTGATGAGCGACGAACGCGCCGAGACCGTCGCCGCCAAGGCCGAAAGGCTCGGCGAGGCGATGCGGCAGATGGGCTGCACGCTCAACAACGCCTACATGCAGCATTCCCTGCTGGCGCTCGTCGTCATCCCCGAACTGCGCATCTCCGATGTCGGGCTGGTGGACGTGCGCACGTTCGAAAAGGTGGGTGTGTTTGTTTGAGGCATGAGCTGTTTCGGGCTGCCGTGACCGGTCATTGGACAACCAGGCAGCTCAAGATAGGCTTCATTGGCGAATTAGTTTAGAGAGAGCCACGATCGCTTGCCACTTCCTTGGGATAGATATGCATGGCGGACGAAGAAGATCTGAAGTCGCTACACAGTGGTAGTTCTGATTTAGTTCGGCATGACTTTAAGAACGCCGATCTGCGAGGGTTGAATCTCTCCAATCGAGATTTTTCGGGGGCGGTGCTCGAGGGCGCCGACCTTTCGACCGCAAATCTCTCACAAAGCACGCTAAGTAAGGCAAAATTGATCAATATGCAGTTCGTCGATGGGGTGTTCGAGCGTGGATCGGCGCTCTCAACAGTCTTCCTTCGCGTAAATCTTCGGGGGACCGACCTGAGGAACTGTGATCTAACAAAATCACACTTCACTAAGGTCGATCTCACAGATGCCGACCTACGTGGAGCCGATTTCAGTGACGCCGTGTTCCACGAGGCTGTGGAATTGACTGGCGCAATTGCGGATGAAACAACGCGTTTCGACGGCGCGTCAATGCTGCGACCACTGTCAAGGGAAGCGGTCTTCCGCCACTACCGCTACGAGCGTGGCATGCTGACTAGAAACGACGAAGCTTCTGGCGAGCCAAAGCAAAAGGCCAGCGAGGCCCCGACAGACCGCCTCGGCGAAACACGTCGGGACATTGATCGGTTGTTTCGTGAACTTGAGCGCATCAAGAGCGAGCTATCAAGCGACTCGCCGCCAATTGGACCAGGCCATAACAAGCCGCCCTATGATGCGCCTTTGACGGAGGCCGACTTCGACGAAGTCATTGATTCATTGGATCGAACTAAGTTGGAGTTAGAACGAGAAGAGCCTGGAGAAGCGACGATCGGCAATACGGTTTCGATCCTGCGCAGAATGGCTGCTCAGATCCTGAAATGGGCATCAGCGAAGGCGGACCTGTTGTTAAACGAAGGGGCCAAAGAGATTGGGAAGTCGCTTGGAAACACGAACCGTTGGATGGTCGTCTTCTTAGCTTTGTCCACGCAGATGCAAAAGGTGGCCAACGGACTAGCAAGTCTCATGCAAACAAATCTGCAATGACCGCTCCCAAAGTTGGCGCACCAACCCAATCGGGACCTTAACCTCAATCCCGCCAGAACGCCGGTGACAGCAGCACCAGGACCGTGAACAGTTCCAGCCGGCCCAGCAGCATGCCGAAGGCGAGGATCCATTTGGCGCTGTCTTCGAGCGGGCCGAACGTGCCCGTCGGGCCGATCACGTCGCCCAGGCCGGGGCCGACATTGGAAAGCGCGGTCAACGCGCCCGAAAAGGCAGTGACCAGATCCGCGCCCGTCATCGCCACCAGCACCGTGCCGATGCCGGCCAGCATGAAGAAGGTGCCGAAATACATCATCGTCACATATTGCGTCTGGTCCGGGATCGAGACCGAGCCCGAGCGCACCGTGCGGATGGCGTGCGGATAGATGAAGGTCTCCAGCGACCGCTTGATGATGCCGAACAGGACGATCCAGCGTGTCGCCTTGATGCCGCCCGTCGTCGAGCCCGCGCAGCCGCCCAGGACGGTCGCCATGAGGATCAGCGCCACCGTGAAGGCGTTCCATTCCATGTAATTGTCGACCGCATAGCCCGTCGTCGTGACGATGGAGACGACGGTGAAGACCGCCTTGGTGAACCCCTCCCGGAACTCGATCGTGTCGGAGATGTCGAGCTGCATCGACAACAGGATCGCCAGGAAGAGCGTATAGCCGAGAAAGACCAGCACCTGATTGTCGCGGAACGCATCGAACCGCGCCCGCAATGCCAGAAGGATCAGTGCGGTGAAGGGCAGGGCGGCGATGATCATGAAGACGATCGCGACCCAATGGGTCCATGGGTTGGTGAAAAAGGCGAACGACCTGTCGTGGGTCGAAAAGCCGCCCGACGCCATGGTGGTCATGGCATGGTTGATCGCGTCGAACCCGCTCATGCCGGACCATGCATAGAGCGAAGCGCACAGCAGCGTCAGCGCCGCATAGATGCCCACCACCGAATAGGCATAGGTGGAAAAACGGGCAAACGGCCGGTCGTAGCGGTCGGACGATTCGATCTTGAAGAAGCTGGCGCCGCCGATTTTCAGGAACGGCAGGATGAACAGGCCCAGGACGATCACGCCCAGACCGCCGATCCATTGCAGCATGGACCGCCACAGCAGAATGCCCGGCGGCATCGTGTCGAGGCCGGTCAGGACGGTCGACCCCGACGCCGTGGCGCCGGAGACCGCCTCGAAAAAGGCGTCGGCGATGCTGATGTCGATGGTGGCGAACATGAAGGGCACGGCGGCGGCCGCCGAAAAGGTCAGCCACAACAGGTTGACGACCAGGAATGTGAAGCGCGTCGAGACGACCGGCGGGCTGGAGCGCGTGGCCACGGCGACGAGCGCGGCGATGCCGCCGATCATCGCTGCCGAGGATGCGAAGACCTTCCAGTCCTCATTGTCGTAATAGAGGTCGACCAGGCCGGGGATCAGCATCATGGTCGCCAGATAAAAGGCGAAAATCGCACTCACATGCACCGCGCTGCGCAGCATGTTGGCATTCATTGGGCCGTTTGCTCCCCGGTCCGGTTCCCGCCATGCGCCCCTGCCATTGGCAAAGCGCGTCTGGCGCGTATACACGGTGCTTCGCGCCAATGCCAAAGACTTTCGGCGGCGCACAAAGGGGACAAGGCGCCATGCAGATCGACGACCCGGCCCATTTCGAAAGCGGCGTGCGTGCCGCGCGCGATGCCATGCGCGCATTGTTTCCGCCGACGCCGCTGCAGGAAAACGCCTTCCTGTCGGAGCGCTACGGTGCCCGCATCCTGCTCAAGCGAGAGGACCTGTCGCCGGTACGCTCCTACAAGATCCGGGGTGCGTTCAACTTCCTGCGCAAGCACATGGGCGCCGATGCGCCGTCGCGTTTCGTCTGCGCTTCTGCCGGCAACCACGCCCAGGGATTTGCCTATGTCTGCCGCCATTTCGGCCGCCGGGGCACCGTCTTCATGCCGGTCACCACGCCGCAGCAGAAGATCGACAAGACCCGCGCCTTCGGCGGCGATTTCGTCGAGATCGAGCTGGTTGGCGACATTTTCGATGTCTGCAACCAGGCCGCGCTCGACTATGCCGATGCCAATGACGCGATCATGGTGCCGCCCTTCGATCATCCCGACATCATCGAGGGGCAGGCGACGGTGGCGCTGGAGATCGTCGAGCAATTGCCGGCAGGCGCGACACTCGACCGCCTTCATGTCGCCGTCGGCGGCGGCGGGCTGGCGGGCGGCATGACGCTGCTGTTCCAAGCCCTGGATGTGGCGCCGAAGATGATGCTGATCGAACCGAAGGGCGCGCCGAGCCTGAAGACGTCCCTCGCGAAGGGCGAACGCGTCCGTCTCCCGCGGATCGACAGTTTCGTCGACGGCGCCGCGGTGGCCGAGATCGGCGCGCATACGCTTGACGTGCTCAAGCGCTACCGGCCGGACGATGTGACGCTCATCGACGAGGACCGGCTGTGCGCGACGATTATACAGATGCTCAATGTCGAGGGCGTGGTTCTCGAGCCGGCCGGCGCGCTTTCCATCGACGCATTGCAGGACGTGCCCGCGCGAGACCTGCGCGGCAAGACGGTGGTCTGCGTGGCATCGGGCGGCAATTTCGACTTCGAGCGGCTGCCGGATGTCAAGGAACGGGCGCTTCGTCACGCGGGGCTGAAGAAATACTTCATCCTGCGCCTGCCGCAGCGGCCGGGCGCGCTGCGTGACTTTCTCGATCTGCTGGGACCCGACGACGATATCAGCCGGTTCGAGTACCTGAAGAAGTCCGCGCGCAATTTCGGCTCGATCCTGATCGGCATCGAGACGCGCGACGCCGTCAATTTCATCGGCCTGATGGCGCGCATGACCGATGCGGGCTTTGTCTGGCAGGACATCACCGACAACGAGTTGGTCGCCGGCGTCCTGGTCTGACCGGGGAGCCTATTCCGCCGCGTCCCGGTCGGGCAGGATCAGATTGTCGCCGGGCGCGCCGGGCTTTCCTTGCACCTCGTCGCGGATCGGCCTGTCGTGGCGCTTGGGCGGAATGCGCCCGTTGCGCGACAACAGCACCGCGACCGGCCGCGTGCCGTCGAACTCCGACAGGATGATGACGAGGATCGCCATGATCGGCACCGACAGGAGCGCGCCCGCAATGCCCCAGAGCGACGCCCAGCTGGCCAGCGACATGAGGATGACGAACGGGCTGAGATTGAGCGAACGGCCCATCAGCGAGGGTTCGAGCACGCTGCCGACGAAGATCTGGCACGCGGTCAGGGCGAGAAAGATGCCCAGAACCGTGCCCCAGTCGCCGAACTGGACGATGGCGATGGCCACCGGCAACAGGACACCGAGAAACGAGCCGACATAGGGCACATAGTTCATCAGCGCGATCAGCACGCCCCAAAAGGCGGCGAAATCGAGCGCCATGAAGGCCATGATGAGGTAGCACATCAATCCCAGGATGAGATTGATCAGCGTCTTCGTCGCCAGATAGTCGCCGATGCGGGCATTGATCACCGAAACGATCTCGACGACGCGGCGCGAATCGTCGGGATTGTCCGTCATCCGCATCGACTTGCGCTCGAAAGCCTGCCGCTCGGCCAGCGCAAAGCCGGTATAGACGAACACCACCATCATCGTGCCGACGAGCACGCCGACCGACGTAACGGTCGAGCCGATCAGCGATTGCAGCGATACCCCGCCCAGAATGTCGCGTCGCAGCGTGTCCCAGGTCGGCTCGGTCTCGAAGCCGAACTCCTCGCCGAAGCTGCGCCACAGTCCCTGGATGATGCCGAGCAGGCGCTCCTGATAGATCGGCGCCAGCGCCAGAAGCTGGTTGATGTTGGAGATGATCAGCCAGACGAATGCGCCGACGATCAGCAGGATGACCAGGATGGAAATCGCAAAGCGAAGCGGCGAGGGGATCAGCGGCCCGATCGCCGGAATACGTTTCATGTATTGGGCGAGTGCCGTGACGATATAGGCCAGAATGATGCTGGCGATGACCGGGATGATGATGTTCTGGCCGATATACAAGATCCAGCCGATCATCAGCGCGAGCGCGAGCCCGAAGACGAAGTTGCGGAACCGGTCGTGGCGTTCTGAGATCATGGATGCTCCTGCACGATCATCTTTCCAGATCGCCGCCTCTTTGTGCAAGTGCACAATCGTATCGCCCGCGCGGCCGCCGCGCGGGCGAACCGGTGGATGCCGCCCTGCGCTTGCCAAGCGCCGGCCAGACCCATAAGGGCGGTGGCTCGCGGTGGGAGGAATGAAGATGGCCGGACTGGCGGCACTGTGTCTTGCCTACGTTTTTTCTCAGTTCTACCGCAGCTTTCTGGCGGTGCTCACACCGGCATTGGGTGCCGATCTTGGCATGACCAAGGCGGACCTGTCGCTGGCGTCGGGCGTCTGGTTCGCGGCGTTCGCGCTGATGCAGTTCGCCGTCGGCGTCGCGCTCGACCGGTTCGGTCCGCGCCGCACCACGGCGCTCTTTATGCTGGTCGCGGCGGCGGGCGTGGCGCTGTTTGCTGTCGCATGGACGCCGACGGCCATCGTCGCGGCCATGGCGCTGATCGGCATCGGCTGCGCGCCGGTCCTGATGGCGTCCTATGTGATCATCGCGCGCGGCTACGATGCGGCGCGATTCGCGCTGATGGCCTCGGTCTTCATCGGTCTTGGCAATCTGGGCAACATCATCGGCGCCGCGCCGATGGCCACAGCCGCCGAGGCGTACGGCTGGCGCCCGGTGGTCGGCCTTCTCGGCGCCGCCACCGTGCTGGTCGCGCTGGCGATCCTTCTTCTGGTGCGTGATCCCGAGCGGATCGACGATCCCGACGGTCCGCCCGGCTTTGCCGGCTTTCTCGCCGTGCTGCGCATCCGTGCACTGTGGTTCATCATCCCGCTGACGCTCGTCTACTACGCCACCGCCGGCGGCATTCGCGGCCTGTGGACCGGTCCGTTTCTCGCCGAAGTCTATGACGCCGACACGATCCTGATCGGTCAGGTCACGCTTGCGATGGCTCTTGCGATGGCGATGGGCAGCTTTGTCTACGGCCCGCTCGACAACTGGCTGAACACGCGCAAATGGGTGCTGTCGGCGGGCGTGATCCTGGCCATCGGCGCCTGCATTTTTCTCGCCGCCGCGCCGCAGAGCGGGCTTGCCGCCGTCACCGCCGCACTGGTGCTGATCGGCGCGGCGTGCGTCGGCTACGGCGTGATGACCGCCCATGCCAAGAGCTTCATCCCGCCGGCGCTGATCGGCCGCGGCGTGACGCTGATGAACTTCTTCTCGATCGGCGGCGTGGCGCTGATGCAGTTCCTGACCGGCACGATCGTCACGGTCACCGCCGATCCTGCGGCGCCCGAGACAGCCTATCAGTGGCTGTTCGGCTTCTACGCGCTCACGCTGGCGCTGGCGCTTGCCGTCTACCTCTTCTCGCGTGATGCCAGGCCGCGCCCGGATGCGGTCACAGCGCGCTGACCCAGCGCGCGATCGTGTCGGCCATCATCTGGTTGTTGGAGGGCGAAAGCGCGTCGCCGGCGATGACGTGGTTGTAAGGGTCGTCCGATTCCGCAACGGCGACGATCTCGGCAGGTCCGCCCCACCGGTCCGCGATCTGGCGCGTCACCGTGTGATCGACCACCCGATCATCGTCCGAGAAGACGAACAGCGCCGGAATGTCGGTGTTCTGGTAGAATTGCGCATTGGCATGGGCCACCGATGCTGCCATCGGCAGCAGCGCGACGGACGGGTAGCGCTCGGTCCAGAACTTGGCATGCAGTTCGTTCTCGGGCTCGAAACTGCGCTCCGCACCGGCGACCAGCGGCACCAGCTGGCGCGCGAACGGCGCGGTCAGGATCTGGCTTCCGCTCGCCTGCACCTTGAAGTTGGGCGATACGAAGACGATGCCGGCGATCCGGTCCTTGAGGTCCGGATGAAGCGCCGCGATGGCCGCGAGCGTTCCGCCGGTCGACGTTCCGATCAGCACCACCCGTTCGCCCAGACGCTCGCCGATCGCAATCGCTTCGGCCACATCGTCGAGCCAGTCCTGAACGGTCGGTTCGGCCATCGCCTCGTCCGAGCGCCCGTGTCCGACGAGCCGCGCATAGAACAGATTTGCGCCGAGAGCCTCGGCGGCCATGTCCGGCGCGGGCCGGATTTCGCCGGGCGACGCGGAAAAGCCGTGAATGTAAACGAGCGCCACCGGCGTCTTGGCCTTCGATGCGGGAAATGCCCAGATGAGCTGCATCTCGGCGCCCTCGACAATGTCGTCGAACTGGGCTTCATGCGCGGCCACATAGGCGTCGATGTCCTCGCCGATCGTCGCCGGATTGAAACGCAGCGCCGTATCGACCGGTTCGCGCGGGCCGAACACCCAAAGACCGGCCAGAACGATGATCAGGGCGATGATGATGTAAAGCACGGTCTTGATCCGGGAGCGCTTCCTGGGCGGCCTGTCGGCGCGTGGCGCCGGCTGCGGCGTGTCTGTCATGGCGATGCGGCTCCCTTGTACCGGTTTTCGGCTCCGATGTGGTAGCGCCGCGTCCGGCGCTTGGCAATCGCGCCCGGACGGGCGCGGCCCCCGCGTTGACAGCGGCGCTCCGAAACCCGATCTTCGCGCGCAAAGGGAGTATGAAATGGCGGGTTTGTTCAAGCGCCTGTTCGGCGGCGGCGAAGCGACGGACGATCCGGCGGGCAGGGCGCCCGACGAAGAATACAAGGGCGTCGAGGTCCGTGCCGCGCCGGTCAAGGAAAGCGATGGCCAGTGGCGTATTGCCGGCACGCTGACCCGGACCGCCGACGGCACCACGATCACGCGCCGCTTCCTGCGCGCCGATCTTCTGGCCTCGCGCGATCTGGCGGTGTCATCGACGCTGGCCAAGGCACGGCTGATCATCGACCAGAACGGAGACGATCTGTGGAAGGGCGACACGGACCGCCCCGCCTGACCGCCGCTTGACGGCACGGGCGCGGGTCCTCAAAAGGACGCCACCCATTCGCTGTGCCATCCGGTTCCGTCCATGCCCGACCATCTCGCCGCCGAACGCCTGACCGTTCACCCCGTGAACGCGCCGCTTGTCGGCCGCGCGGCGGTCCCGGGCTCGAAGTCGATCACCAACCGCGTGCTTCCGCTCGCCGCGCTCGCCAAGGGTGTCAGCACGATCACCGGCGCGCTCAAGAGCGACGATACGCACCATATGGCCACGGCCTTGCGCGCCATGGGCGTGACGGTTGAAGAACCGGATTTAACCTCTTTTCGCGTAACGGGAAATGGCCGCTTGACTGCGCCGCCTCAACCGCTGTTTCTGGGCAATGCCGGCACGGCGACACGGTTTCTGACCGCGCTTGCCGCGTCGGTCGACGGCACGGTCGTCATCGATGGCGATCAGCACATGCGCAAGCGGCCGATCGCCCCGTTGGTCGACGCGCTGCGGTCGATCGGTATCGACGCCGAAGCGTCGACCGGCTGTCCGCCCGTGACGGTGCGCGGACGGGGGATGCTGCCCGGCGGGCGGATCGCTATCGATGGCGGCCTCTCCAGCCAGTATGTCTCGGCGCTTTTGATGGCCGCGCCGCTGGCCGATGCGCCCGTCGACATCGTTCTGACCGGCGATGAGATCGGCGCGCGCGGCTATATCGACCTGACGCTTGCGGCGATGGCTGCCTTCGGCGCCAGCGCGGAACAGATCTCCGAAGGCCATTGGCGCGTCTCACCGACTGGCTATGCGCCAGGCGACCATCATGTCGAACCCGACGCCTCGGCCGCGACCTATCTGTGGGCTGCCGAAGCCTTGACGGGTGGCGCCATCGATATCGGTACGGCGCCGGGGGCCTTCACCCAGCCTGACGCCAAGGCACATGCCGGCATCGCCCGCTTTCCGAACATGCCGGCGGAAATTGATGGATCGCAGATGCAGGACGCGGTGCCGACGCTGGCCGTCCTCGCCGCCTACAATGAAACGCCGGTGCGCTTTGTCGGCATCGGGAATTTGCGCGTGAAGGAGTGCGACCGCACCGCAGCGCTCGCCCAAGGCCTCAATCGCATCAGGTCCGGTCTGGCAACGGAGGAGGGCGACGATCTGGTCGTTTACGCCGATCCGTCGCTGCGCGGGGCAACGGTAGCCGCCGGGATCGACAGTTTCGCCGACCATCGCATCGCCATGAGCTTCGCGCTGGCGGGTCTTGTCACCCAAGGGATCACCATCCTCGACCCCGGCTGCGTGGCGAAGACGTTTCCCGCCTATTGGGATGTGCTGGAAGGGCTTGGCGTAACGCTGAGCTAGGGCACCGCAGCTACGCCAGCGCGGGATCGATCCCGACATTGGGCCGGTCGATCACATCGCGCAGCGCGAACGAAGAGTTGATCTTCACCACATGGGGCAGGTTGGACAGCCAGTCCCGGTGGATGCGCTCATAGTCCGCCAGATCCTTGGCGGCGATGCGCAGCATATAGTCGTATTCGCCGCTCATCAGATAGCAGACCAGGACGTTCGGGCAGCGTTTGACCGCATCCTCGAACTCGCGCAGCGTCGTCTGGAACTGGCCCGACAGCGAGATGTGCACGACCGCCGTCATCTGGTGGCCAAGCGCCTTGTTGGACAGGCGCGCGTGATAGCCGCGGATTGTGCCGGATTTCTCCAGCGCATCCAACCGCCGCGAACAGGCAGACGGCGACAGGCCCACCTTGTCGGCCAATGCCGCATTGGGCATCCGGCCATCCTGCTGGAGTTCGGTCAGAATCGCACGATCGATCGCATCGAGAGCCATGATTGCAAAAATATCCATTCGAACATCGGTTCGTTTGGATATTATTGCGCGAGCGTTCGCACGTCCAGCACTCTTTGCACGGACATTGCGCAACGTTTCTGCGATGCTTGCATTAACACGAAAGTGGGAGGTTTCGCGATGCGTGTCGGCTGCCCGAAGGAAATCAAGAACCACGAATACCGCGTCGGACTGACGCCCGGCTCCGTGCGCGAATACATCGCCCACGGCCATGAGGTGATCGTCGAGACCGGCGCAGGCCTTGGCATCGGCGCCGATGACGGCGCCTATCGGGCGGTCGGCGCCAAGATCGCCGACACCGCCGCCGAGGTGTTCGAAAAGTCCGACATGATCGTCAAGGTCAAGGAGCCGCAGCCTTCCGAATGGGTGCAGCTCCGTGAGGGACAGATTCTCTACACCTATTTGCACCTCGCTCCCGATCCGGATCAGACCAGGGGCCTGGTGGAAAGCGGCTGCACGGCGATTGCCTACGAGACCGTCACCGACGATCATGGCGGCCTGCCACTGCTTGCGCCCATGTCCGAGGTCGCCGGCCGTCTGGCGATCCAGGCGTCGGCCACCGCGCTGCAGAAGGCCAATGGCGGCCGCGGCGTCCTGCTCGGCGGCGTGCCCGGCGTCAAGCCGGGCCATGTCACCGTCATCGGCGGCGGCGTCGTCGGCATCAACGCGGCGCGCATGGCGGTCGGCCTTGGCGCCAAGGTCACCATGCTCGACCGGTCGCTGCCGCGCCTGCGCGAACTCGACAACATTTTCCAGGGCCGCGTCGAAACCCGTTACTCGACCGTCGAGGCGCTCGAGGAGAGCGTGTTCGAGTCCGATGCGGTCGTCGGCGCCGTGCTGATACCCGGCGCTGCAGCGCCCAAGCTTGTCACCCGCGAAATGCTCGGCGGCATGAAAAAGGGCGCTGTCCTGTGCGATGTCGCCATCGACCAGGGCGGCTGCTTCGAGACGTCCAAGGCCACCACCCATGCCGAGCCCACATACGAGGTGGACGGCATCATCCATTATTGTGTCGCCAACATGCCCGGTGCCGTGCCGGTCACCTCCGCGCACGCGCTCAACAACGCGACGCTGCGGCAGGGTCTGGCGCTCGCCGACCATGGCCTTGAGGCGCTGACCGACGACCCGCATTTGCGCAACGGGCTCAACGTCCATCGCGGCCGCATCACCAACGGCCCGGTCGCCGAGGCGCTGGGCTACGATCTGGCGGCGCCGGAAAGCGCGCTCAAGGTCGCTTGAGGACAAGCATGATCATCTGCGCCGCGGTTCCTCCCGCCGCGGTGTGAGAAAGGGGCCGGTCACGCCATGCGTGCCGGCCCCGTTTCTTCCGGTTGTTGTCAGTAGCCGATGACGAGATCGGTGACGCGGCGCAGCGTCACGCGCCGGTTGCGCCAGTCGGCGCGCTGGGTCGGCACCAGAAGGTCTTCCTCGCCGTAACCGATCGTCTCAATCGCATTGTTTGGAATGCCGGACCGGGCCAGTTCATCGGCGACCGAGCGCGCCCGCGCCCGCGACAGGCGCAGATTGGCCTCGTTCGAGCCGACCGCATCGGTATGCCCTTCGATCAGGAACAGCTCGCGTCCGCGGCGGCGCAGAAGCTGGCGCATCGCGCTGGCGATCTCGTCGATCTTCCAGATCTCGCGTGGCGGAATGCGGGCCGAACCGAACGCGAAATTGATCGACTGGACATCGACCGACGGCGCGATCCGGCGCAAATCACGCCGGCGGGTGAGTTCGCGCACAGATACGCGTGCGTCCGGCGCGATCACCATGGATGGATCGGCGCCCAGCCGTTCGAGCAGTTCGGCGGCCGTCGGCGTCGATTGTGCCAGCGCCTGGGGCAGGGCGGTGAATGTGGCGGCGCCGCCGGCGAGGATGCCAAGGACGGCGCGGCGATCGAGAATGCGGGTCATGATCGTTCCCTTCACGAAAGACTGTGTCGGGAGCGAATTTCGACCATTGTGGCTGAATTGCCGATGAACGCGCCGTTCAGCCACCGGGCGCGCTAATGCCGTGCTGGGCGGCGAGGGCGGCACGCTCATTGGCCGACATCGGGCGCACGCGTCCCTCCGAGCGCCGGTACGGCCGGAAACCCATTTTCTGGTAGAGCGGCAGCGCGGCAGGATGATCGAGCGTGCACGTGTTGACGGTGACGCTGTCGGGACCGGCCGACCAGGCCGCCTCGACAGCCTGGCCGAGAAACCAACGGCCCAGGCCCAACCCGTGCACATGCGGCATCATGCCGAAATAGGCCAGATCGCTGAGCGTGGCCGTCTTGCGGTTGATCTCGAAGAAGCCGGCCGGCGCGCCGTCCACATGCAGCACGGTGATCTCGCATGTGTCGGCATGGACGGCCTTACGCAGGTCCTTGTCGTTCATCCGCAGCCGCGCTTCCCAGTTCCAGTGAATGCCGACCTGGAAATAGAGATAGCGGTAGAAATGCAGCGGCGGGGTAGGGGCAGCCAAAAGTGCCGCATGCACATTGGCGGGTTTTGCCGGGTAGACGGCGGGCGGGCTTTCCATCCGCAGATAGGTGATCGTCGTCTCAAGCGCCTGGTCAGCGTTGCGCAGCGCCGTGCGGCCGGGAGAAAGCCAGCTCATCGCGTCATGCGTCCGCGGGGCCGGTGACGACCGGCGTGTCGGGCCTGCCGCCCCATTCGCTCCACGAGCCATCATACAGCCGGTGGTTCGCGGCGCCGACCGAGGCCAGCGCCAGATTGATCACCGCCGCGGTCACGCCCGAGCCGCAACTGGTCACGACCGGTCTGGCCGGATCGATCCCCGCCTCGGCAAACGCGGCGCGCAACCCGTCCAGGTCCTTGAGATAACCGTTCTCGGACAGTGCGCCGAAAGGCAGGTTGCGCGCGCCGGGCATATGGCCCGACCGCATGCCCGCCCGCGGTTCCGGCTCCCCGCCGGTGAACCGGCCGGACCCGCGCGCATCGGCGATCTGCGCCGAACCATCGGCGACGATGGCCTGCATCGCATCGAGGGAGACGAGCTGGCCGGGGTCGAAATGCGGCACAAAGGCGGTGCCCGCAATCTTGGTCGGTCTGTCAGTGACCGGCCGGCCATCGGTCTTCCAGTTGTCGAACCCGCCGTCGAGCACGAACACCTTGTCCGCCCCCATGACACGGAACATCCACCAGACGCGCGGCGCGGTGAACATGCCCGGACCGTCATAGACGACGATCGTGTCGGTCCGGCCAATGCCCATCGCGCTGGCATGGCGCTCGAACTCGGTCGGCGAGGGCAGTGTGTGCGGTAGCGCGCTGTCAGGATCGACCACCGCGTCCTGATCGAAGAAGATAGCGCCGGGAATGTGGGCCGCATCATACTCGGCGCGCGCGTCGCGGTTCTGCGCGGGCAGATACCAGGAGGCATCGACCACCGACAGGCCCGGATCGTGCAGATGGGTTTCCAGCCAGTCGGGCGAGACGATGAAGGGGCTCTTTTCGGCCATCAGGGCTCCTCGGCGGCGGTCAGGCTTGCGGCGGTGCGCCGAACCTTATCCGGAAGCGCCGGTTCTCGCGACCCTTCTTCTCGATCTTGCCGATATGGATCGGCCCGATTTCGCCGGTCATCTTCACATGGGTGCCGCCGCATGGCTGGCTGTCGATGCTTGCATCGTCGCCGATGCACACCAGCCGGATGCGGCCGGTGCCCGTTGGCGGACGCACATTCTTCGATTTGACAAGGCCCGGATTGGCATCGAGCGCCGCCTCATCGATCCATTGCGCATAGACCGGATGATCGGCCTCCACCATGGCCATCAGCGCGGTGGTCACCTCCGCCTTGTCGATCGTTTCGGCCATGTCGAAATCGACGCGGCTTTCGGTTTCGCCGACCGCGGCGCCGGTGATCGGAAACGGGCAGGCGACCGTCAGCAGATGGCAGGCCGTGTGCATGCGCATGAGATTGTGCCGGCGCTCCCAGTCGATGGCCAGCGCCACGGTTTCGCCGGCTTCCGGCAGTGCCGAACCTTCAGCCGGCACATGGACGATCTCGTCCTTGGTCTCGCCGGTCACGGTGGTTGCGATCGTGATGGTGCTGCCGTCGGCCCGGCTGAGCGTTCCGCTGTCGCCCGGCTGCCCGCCCGATGTGGCGTAGAAGACCGTCCGGTCGAGCACGATCCCGCCGCGATCGTTGACGTCCAGAACCGTCGCTTCGGCCCCGGTCAGATAGGCATCGTCGCGGAACAGCGCTTCGGTCACCGATGGCACGTCAGGCGTCCTCGAACGGCACGTCGATGTCGGCCGTGCGCTCCATCCATTCGGGCACCGGCAGGCCCTTTTGGCGCAGGAAGGCGGGGTTGTAGACCTTGGACTGGTAGCGGTGGCCATAGTCGCACAGGATCGTCACGATGGTGTGGCCAGGGCCCAGTTCCCGTGCCAGCCGCACCGCGCCGGCAATGTTGATGCCGGTCGAGCCGCCCATGATCATGCCTTCCTCCAGCGCCAGCTTGAAGACCAGGTCGAGCGCCTCGGCATCGGAAATGCGCCATGCAAAGTCCGGGGCAAAGCCTTCCAGATTGGCCGTGATCCGTCCCTGGCCGATGCCTTCGGAGATCGAGCTGCCTTCGGACTTGAACTCCCCGGTCGTGTAATAGGAAAAGAGCGCCGCGCCATGCGGGTCGGCGAGGCCGATCTTGATGTCCGCATTCTTGGCGCGCAGCCCCTCGGCGACACCGGCGATCGTGCCGCCGGAACCGGCCGCGCAGATGAATCCGTCCACCTTGCCGTCCGTGTCGCGCCAGATTTCCGGTGCCGTCGTTTCCACATGCGCCTGCCGGTTGACCGCGTTGTCGAACTGGTTGGCCCAGATCGCCCCGTTCGGCTCGGTTTTGGCGAGTTGCTCGGCGAGGCGGCCCGAAACCCGCACATAATTGTTCGGGTTCCGGTAGGGGACCGCCGGCACTTCGACCAGTTCGGCGCCGCCCAGCCGCAGCGCATCCTTCTTCTCCTGGCTCTGGGTTTCGGGGATCACGATCACGGTCCGGTATCCCAGCGCCTGCGCCACCATGGTCAGCCCGATGCCGGTGTTGCCCGCCGTTCCCTCGACGATCACGCCGCCTGGTTTCAGCGTGCCCCTGCGCTCGGCATCCCGGATGATGGCCAGCGCCGCCCGGTCCTTGACCGATTGGCCCGGGTTGAGAAACTCGGCCTTGCCGAGGATCGTGCAGCCGGTTTCCTCCGATACGCGCCTGAGCTGCACCAAGGGCGTGTTGCCGATGAGATCGATGATCGATGAGTGCATGAAAATAGGCTCCAGTCTTTGCGCAAAGGCTAAAGGCGCGTCTCTGGCCCGGCAAGGTATTTGTGCTTTCGGATCAAGGCGGTTGACGAATTGTTTGCCATAAACCAATGACAATCGAAATTCGGTTTCGCCGGTGATCCGGATTGTGTCAGCCCGCGTAGACATGACACAAGAGTGACACGAAGGCGACGGCGGTCGCCCATTGGGGAATTTGATGTATCAAGGTCAATTCAGTTCGCTGGACGCGCTGGTGAGCGGCTATGTGGCAGGCAGCCTGCCCAAGCCGGTGCACGTGCTGATGGATGCCCATCTGGAACTGTCGCCGGACAACCGGGCCATTGTCGGCGGCCTGGAAGTCGCCGCCGGCGACGCACTGGAACATATCGCACCCGAGGCGATATCGGGCCGCGACGCCGCGCTTGCATCGATCTTTGCCAGCGATCCGGCGCCGCTCTCCGCCGGCGATGCGGTCAGGCGCTGCGGAACCATGCCGCGCGCCCTGCAGGACTTCGTTGGCCACACGGCCGATGAGATTCCCTGGAAGACGAAAATGCCGGGCTTTCGCGAGTTCGACATGGACGATGTCGATGGCTGTCACGTCTCGATGTTCTGGATCAAGCCCGGCCGGACGGTGCCCGCCCATACGCACGATGGCATGGAACTGTCGCTGATCATCCAGGGCGCGTTCAGCGACGAACGCGGCCGGTTCGGCCGCGGCGACATCTCCATCGCCGATCCGTCCGTCGACCACCGCCCGACCGCTGAGAACACCGTGCCGTGCATCGGCTTTGCGGTCACCGACGCGCCGCTGCGCCTGACGGGGTCGCTGCGGCAGAGGCTCGGAGACATTCTGTCGATCTGAGCCTTCTTTCGGCTCGAAGGTGTTGCAGGGCAACCGATTGACCCTCTGATGCGTAGTGCATCAGAGGGTTTTTTGTCAGCCGGGCCGTGCTGCCCGGCATCACATGGAAGAAATTGATGGGACTTTACAGGGTCAGAGCCGGCGACGGCGTCGTCTGGATCACCGGCGCGAGCGCGGGCATCGGCAAGGCACTGGCGCTGCAGATGGCGCGCCAGGGCTATGAGGTCGTCGCAACGGCGCGCAGCGCCGACAAGCTCGAAGCGCTGGCGGCCGAAAGCGCGGGCATGGCGGGCACCATCCATGCCCGGCCGTGCGATGTGACCGACCGCGATGCGATGGCCGAGGCTGTCGCCGACATCGAGGCGACGCACGGCCCGATCCGGCTTGCCGTGTTCAATGCCGGCAATTACTGGCCCGCCAGCGGTGCGCGGCTCGAGATCGACAATTTCGCCAAGACCTACGAGATCAACCTGTTCGGCGTGCTCAACGGGCTCGTGCCGGTCGTCGAGCGCATGAAAGATCACGGCCGCGGCCAGCTCGTGCTGGTTGCGTCCGTCTCCGGCTATTCGGGGTTGCCGGCGGCTTCGGCCTATGGCGCCTCCAAGGCCGCCATCAACAACATGGCCGAGTCGCTCAAATTCGACTTCGACCTGATGAACATCCGTATCCAGGTGGTCAATCCGGGCTTCATCGACACGCCCCTGACCGAGAAGAACGACTTCGAGATGCCCGCCCTGATGCCGGTCGACAAGGCTGTCGAACAAATGATCAAGGGCATCGAGGGCGGCGGGTTCGAGATCACCTTCCCGCGCCGCTTCACCTATCTTCTCAAACTCCTGCGCATGCTGCCGCATCCTGTCTATTTCGCGCTGATGAAAAGGGCGACGGGCTGGGACCGCAAGAATTTGAAGACCGGCAAGGCGCCGGACGAGGCCGGGTGATCGGTCATTCCCGCTCGATCGAGGCGCGCAATTCGGACTGGCGCGTTTCGTCGAGCGGGAAGTTCCACATCAGCGCAATGGCGCCCGATTTCAGCGCAACGGGCACGAGCGCGTAGGTCACCGCCAGCGCGGACAGCGCGCCAGGGTCTTGCGCCGGCCCGGCGCCAGCCTCGAAACCGAACAGATCGAGCAGCGGGAAGGCGAGGCCGACGGCCAATGCCAGCGAGAGCTTGGTCGCAAGACTCCAGGCGGCGAAATAGATGCCCGAGCGCTGTTCGCCCGACGCCGCCGTGTCGACATCGATGACGTCGGCCTGCATCGCCGGCGGGATCGCCAGATCGAAGCCGACCAGCAGCCCGGTTGCAGCACAGATGACAGCGAAGGCGGCAATGTCGCCCTCCGACAGGAGCGGCACGGTCGCAAAGATGATGCAGGCGGCGATCATGCCGAGCGCCCAGGCGCGGTGCTTGCCGACGCGCCGCGAGGCCCAGGTGGCAAGCGGAACGCCTGCGACGCCGCAGGCGAAATAGAGAAACAGAAGCGGCCCCTGCAGCGCTTCGGCACCCAGATAGTCGCCGACAAAGAACAGGAACAGCGTCGCCGGGATGCCATTGGCCATCCCGTTCACGAAGAAGGCCGCGATCAGCCGCAGGAAGGGTGTGTTCTGCCGAAGATGGCCGAGGCCCGCGCGCCAGTCGACCGCCTCGCGCGTATGCTCGTGCGGCTCGGGCACCGCAAACACCGTGACCGCGCCGAGCGCCGGAAGCGCGATCGCGATCGCAACCCCGAGAAGCGCCAGACCGTGAAAGCCCGACGCATCGTCGAAGCCCAGCGTGAAGGGAAGGGCGATGGCGATCAGCGTGCCGGTCAGCGTGAACCCCTCGCGCCAGCCGGTGATCGTCGACCGGCTGCGATAGTCGCCGGCCATTTCAGCGCCCCAGGCAAAGAACGGGATGACGGCCGCCGTGTAGCCAAGCGACAGCAACATGCCCCAGCCGGCAAGATAGAACGGGCCGGCGTCGACGGGCGGCCAGAACAGCATGAAGGCGGCAAGCGCGCAGACCGGCAGCGACAGCGCGAACAGCCGGCGCCTGCGGCCGAACGGTGTGCGCCACTTGTCGGCGACAAGGCCGATCAGCGGATCGTTGACCGCATCGAAGATACGCATGGCGACCAGCGCCGCACCGGTTGCGGCCAGCGAAAGGCCCACCGCCTCGCTGTAGAAGGCCGGCAGCAGGATGTAGAGCGGCAGCGTCAGCGCCGCCAGCGGGATCGCCGGCAGGGCATAGGCAACGACGCGCGCAAGCGGCGTCTTGTCAGAGGTGCCCGACGGGTCCGGCGCGCGCATGGAACAGCTTTCGGCTGGAGGAGCGATATCGGGGTTACGCATCGCCGCGGGCAGCGGTTCAGCACGGCGACTGCGGCGTCAGGCGGCGCGTTGGTAGGTCAGTTGCCGCACATCGATGAACTCTGCCCGGAAACCGGCCTCGCAATAATAAAGATAGAAGTCCCAGAGCCGCTTGAAGCGGTCATCGAAGCCCATCTGGCTGATTTGCGGCCATGCCTGCCAGAACCGTGCGCGCCACTCTGCGAGCGTGCGGGCGTAATCCTGCGGGAAGATGCGCTCGCCGAGCAGCGACAGGCCATGCCGCTCGCCCAGATCGTGCAGGGTCGAGGGCGGCGGCAGCATGCCGCCGGGGAAAACGTAGCGCTGGATGAAGTCGGGCTGCTTGCGGTAGATCGGAAAGGCCTTGTCCTCGATCGTGATGATCTGCAGGCCGGCCTTTCCGCCAGGTTTCAGGACATCGTGGACCTTGGAAAAATAGGTCTCCCAATACTCCTCGCCGACCGCCTCGAACATTTCGATCGAGACCACCTTGTCATAGGTGTGCTTCTCGTCGCGATAGTCCTGGAACTTGATCGTCACCTTGTCGCCGAGACCGGCCAGCCGGATGCGTTCGCGGGCGAAATCGAGCTGTTCGCGGCTGATCGTCAGGCCGGTCACCTTGCAGCCGATCTCGCGCGCGGCGAACTCGGCGAACCCGCCCCAGCCGCATCCGATCTCCAGCACATGGTCGTCCTTGGTGATGCCGGCTGTCTGCGCCAGCGCGCGGTACTTGGCCGCCTGGGCGCTTTCCAGATCGTTGGCCCCGGTCTGGTAGAGCGCCGACGAATAGGTCATCGAGGGATCGAGCCACAGCCCGTAGAAATCGTTGCCCAGATCGTAGTGCGCGGCGATGTTCTTCTGCGCGCGCGTCTTGGTGTTGCGGTTGAACCAGTGCCGGACGCGCGAAAAGAACCGCATGGTCGCTCCGGCGGTCGCCAGCTTGTGCCCCAGTTCCTCGTTGACGACGAAAAGTTCGAGAAAGGACGTCACGTCCGGGCTGTCCCAGTCGCCGGCTATGTAGCTTTCCGCAGCACCGATCGTCCCGCCGGAGATGGCCATGCGCGGCAGGTTCCAGTTGTGCAGGATCACCACGCCGTCCGGCCCCGGCGCCTTGCCGTCGATCTTGACGACGCGCTTGTCCGGCAGCCGCAGCGTCAGCGTGCCCTTGGGCAGGTGCAGCGCGGCGCGCAGCGCCAGCCGCGCCTTGAACGGCAGGCCGCGCACATGACGCCCGATATTGTTGGGGGTCAGCGGTTCGGCGGCCGCGATCAAATCGCGCACCAGCTTGCTCGATCCGCCCATCGTGTCCGTGGATGCCATCTTACTCGTCCGCCTCAACAGGGTGCAGGCCATCGGCCTGCGCGCGGGTACCAACTGGCCGGCCGCGCGTTCCGGCCATCATTCGGCGGGGCCGGGCGCTGCGTCTTCATAGGAGACCGGATGCGGCGGCGTGCCCCGCGAGATGAATTTCGCGCCCTTGAGCCATAATTTCAAGGCTTGCCAGTGAATTGCGGCGACAACCCGAAGTGTCATGAACGGCTGACGCGCGATGAGACCTGCCAGAACCGGTGTCGAAAATGGTTTTGCCGAACCGGCGAATGTCGCCGACAGGAGCGGATCGGCGCCCTCGGTCTCGAGAATGCGCAGCCGCACATTCTCGCCCGGCGGCACGATGCGGAAATGATAGCGCATGCCCAGATCGATGAACGGCGAGACGTAGAAGATCTTGGTGCGTTCCTGCCGCAGGCCGGCCGGGCCGAGCTGTCCGTCCTCGACCGCACAGACATAGGTGTGGCGTTCGCCGAACGTGTTGCGCACCTCGTAGACGGCGGCGGTCAGCGCACCTGCATCGTCATAGCAGAAATACACCGACAGCGGATTGAACACGAAGCCGAACATGCGCGGATAGGCCAGCAGCAGGATGCGGGCGGGCCGGGCAACGCCCGCCTCCTCGGCAAGTGCCGTCGCATGGGCGCGTAGTGTGGTGTGGCTCGCATCCCTCGGCAGATGGTCGGCTTCACGAAATGAAACGAGATTGCGCCGGTTGACCGAAAACAGCGCCGACAGGCGGTCGGCCTCGTCCAACCGGTCGAGATCGAGCAGCGCCGTGAAGACGCGGTAGGTGAAGCGGTGGCCGAAAGGCTTGAGGCGCGCATGCATCACCGTTCCCGGATAGAGCAGGGCAGGTTCTTCCGGCGGCGCGAACATCGGGGCGCCGTCTTCGATATGCCGTTCTCGAACGTGCAATGTCATGGCCAGAGCCTACTCCGCCGCGATGGGCAAGGGCAATTCGTCAGGCCCGGCTGCTTCGTCGCCGCGCCACGGCACGACCGCGCCCAGCGCTTCGGCGGCGTCGAGGCCCGAGCGCAGCCCGTCCTCGTGAAAGCCGTACCCGGTCCACGCCCCGGCGAACCATGTGTCGCGCCGGCCCTGGATCAGCGGCAGACGGGCCTGGGCCGAAAAGGCGGCGGCATCATATTGGGGGTGATCGAACGACCATTCGCCGAAGATCGTGCCCGGTGCCGGTTCGCGCGTCGGGTTCAGCGTGACGAACAGCGGATATTGCGGATCGATGTTCTGCAGCCGGTTCATCCAGTATGTGACGCAGATCTCGCTGCCGTCTCCGCTGCCGCTTTCGCGCAGATAGTTCCACGCTGCCCATGCGCCGGGGCGTTTCGGCATGAAGCTGGGGTCGCGATGCAGGATGACGCGGTTCGGCTTGTAGGGGATCGCCGACAGGATATCGGCCTCGTTGGCGTCCGCGTCGGCCAGCATGGCAAGCGTCTGGTCGGAGTGGGAGGCAAGGACGACGGCATCGAAATGCTCGGCGGGGCCGCCCTGGGCCTGAACGATCGCCCCGCCGGTCGCCGGCCGCTCTATGCGCGTCACGGGCGCGCCGGTGCGCACATTGTCGCCAAGCGGGGCCATGAGCTTTTCGAGATACGTTCGCGATCCGCCCGACACGGTCTGCCAGACCGGCGGCCGGGTTTCCAGCAGCCGGTGGTTTTCGAAGAACTGGACGAAGGACCGCGCGGGAAAGTCGAGCATCTTGATGCGCGGCGTCGACCAGATCGCGGCTGCCATCGGGATCAGATAGTCGTCCCGGAACCGTCGCGAGAACCGGCGAAATCGCAGATAATCGCCGATCGACAGCCGGTTCAGCACACCCTCGTCACGGTCGATCCTGGCCTGCTTGTTGAACCGGAAGATCTCGCGCAGCATCCACAAAAAGCTCGGCGAGACGAGGTTCCGCTTCTGCGCGAAGACGGTGAGGTAATCCTGCCCGCACCATTCGCGGCGGCCGGCATCCAGCGACATGGAAAAGCTCATGTTCGTGGTTTCGCGGGCAATGCCGAGATGATCGAACAGGGCGCACAGGTCCGGATAGTTGCGCTCGTTGAAGACGATGAAGCCCACATCGACCGGAATATGCGTGCCGTCATGGTCGACATCGACCGTGCAGGTGTGCCCGCCGGCCCGCTTTTCAGCCTCGAACAGGGTGACATCGTGCACCGGTGACAGGGCCCAGGCGGCGGAAACGCCCGACACCCCGCTGCCGACGATTGCCACACGTTTTCTCTGACCGGCGGCTGAAAACTGCCCCGGAGCCGGTTTGATGTTCACGCGGCTTGCCCCTTCATGGTCTGGTAGGCGTCGAGCGCGCGGTTGCGCGCCTGCTGATGATCGACAATAGGCGCCGGATAGGTGCTGCCAAGGCTAACGTTCGATTTTTCAAGCACTTTCTCGGGTGCCGCCCACGGTTTGTGGATGTATTTGGTGGGCAGGCCGGCGAGTTCGGGCACATAGGTGCGGACATAGTCGCCGTCCGGATCGAACTTCTCGCCCTGCAGGATCGGGTTGAAGATGCGAAAATAGGGCGCGGCATCGGCGCCCGACCCGGCCACCCACTGCCAGCTTGCCGTGTTCGAGGCGGGATCGGCATCGACGAGCGTGTCCCAGAACCAGTCTTCGCCTTTGCGCCAATCGGTCATCAAATGCTTGATCAGGAAGGAGGCGACGACCATCCGCACGCGATTGTGCATCCAGCCGGTCTGCCACAATTGCCGCATGCCCGCATCGACGATCGGATAGCCGGTCAGGCCGCGCTGCCACGCCCGAAGCTGTGCATCCGTGCCGTCCCAGGGAAAGGCATCGAAATCGCCGTTGAAATTCTCGCCGCCCAGGTTCGGGAAATTGACCAGCAGATGATAGGAGAATTCGCGCCAGACCAGTTCCTTGTGGAACTTTTCGAGCTGCTTTTCGGGCACACTGTCTGCATTGGCCGCCGCATGCCAGATGTCGGCCGGCGTGATCTCGCCGAACGCCAGATGCGGCGACAGGCGCGAGGTGCCGTCGATTGCCGGCAGGTCGCGTTGCCGGGCGTAATCGGCCAGCGCTTCGTCGCAAAATGCCTTCAATTGCTGTTGTGCGCCCGCTTCGCCGGGTGTCCAGGCCTTGGCCAGACCGCCCGACCAGTCCGGCTTGGTCGGCAACAATGCCCAATCGCCCAGATCGTCGCTGTCGGGCGCGTCCTCCAAGGCGGTCAGCGATCGCGGCACAGGCAGGGGTTCTGCCGGCTCGCCTTCGCCGACGAAGGCGCGCCAGAACGGCGAATAGACCTTGTAGAAGCCGCCAGAACCGGTCTTCAGCTTGGTCGGCTCGTGCATCAGCGCGCCGGCGAAACTGGCGACCGTCAGACCGCGTTCGCCGAGCGACGCCTTGATCTCGCTGTCGAGCGCGATAGCTTCGGGATCGTAGCGGCGGTTCCACAGGACCGAACCCGCACCCGTCCGCTCGATGATGTCGTCGAGCACCGCGCGCGGATCGCCCCGGCGCAGCACGAGCGGGACTCCGAGATCGTCAAGACCCCGTTGAAGGGCTGCCAGCGAATGATGCAGCCACCAGCGCCGCGCGCCGCCAAGCGGGCGTCCCGACGCGCCGGTGTCGTCAAGGACGTAGAGGCAGACGATGGGTTGGCCGGTCTCGGCCGCAGCCGTCAGCGCCGCATTGTCGCGCAGACGCAGGTCGGACCGGAACCAGACGATGATCGGAGCATCGGGCAATTGTGTCGGGCGCATGAAGGCGGCGTCGGGCACGCAGTTGGATCAAATTTGTGAGGGAAATGAAAGCGATAGTAAGCGGTTCATGTGTCGTGCTACGCGCGGCGGTGGCGGTTGGATCAACAGCGGGACCGATAATTCTTGCGCGGGCGCCATCAGCCGATACTTATGAGGAAACCGCACGCAGCAAAGGGGAAATCAGGTGAAGATCGGTGTCGTCGGATCGGGCATGGTGGGCAGTTCGGCCGCCTACGCGATGGCGCTTCGCGGCAGCGCCAGCGAGATCGTCCTGGTGGACCGCAATGCGGACCTTGCCTCGGCGCATGCGCAGGATATTTCCCATGCGGTGCCCTTCGCCGATCCCATGGTCGTGCGCGCCGGCGATTATGCCGATCTGGCCGGCGCCGGCATCGTCGTGATTTCCGCCGGCGTCAACCAGCAGCCCGGCGAGACGCGGCTTGCGCTTCTGGGCCGCAACGCGGCGGTCTTTCGCGAGGTCGTCGGCGCGCTGATGAAAGTCGTGCCGGACGCTATCTATCTCGTCGCCTCCAACCCGGTCGATCTGATGACCTATGCGGTGCAGCGCTTTTCGGGCCTGCCGACCGAGCGGGTCATCGGCTCTGGAACCATTCTCGACACGGCGCGCTTTCGGGTGCTTCTGGGCGATTATCTGGGCATCGCGCCGAGCTCCGTGCACGCATACGTCCTGGGCGAGCATGGCGACAGCGAAGTGGCGGTCTGGTCGAGCGCCATGGCCGGCAACGTGCCGATCGCAGCCTTTGCCGCGCAGACGGGCCAGCACCTGACCGACGACAAGCGGACGGAAATCACCGATGCGGTGCGCAACGCGGCCTACACCATCATTTCGGGCAAGGGTTCGACCTATTACGGCATCGGCGCCGGTTTGGCCCGCATCGTCGAGGCGATCGCCGGCGACGAGCGCGCGGTTCTGAGCGTGTCCACGGTCACCGAAGAGGTTGAGGGCGTCAATGCGGTTCCGCTGTCGCTGCCCCGCATCGTCGGCGCCAAGGGCATCATGGCCGAACTGCGCCCCGATCTCGACGAAGGCGAACGGGCCGCCTTGCGCAAGAGCGCCGAGACGATCGCCGGCCTGAAGGGCGCGATCGACTCGGCCTAGTTTCTATTCGGCTGCGTCCTGGTACTCGGCCACCGGCGGGCAGGTGCATACAAGGTTGCGGTCGCCGTAGGCATTGTCGACGCGGCCGACCGGCGGCCAGTACTTGTCGACCTGGAAGCTGCCGGGCGGGAAACAGCCGACCTCGCGGCTGTAGGGCCGGTCCCACTCGGCGATCAGGTCGGCGGTGGTGTGCGGCGCGTTCTTGAGCGGATTGTTGGCCGCGTCCATCGCACCGCTCTCGATCTGCGCGATCTCGTCGCGGATCGACAGCATCGCTTCGCAGAACCGGTCCAGTTCCGCCTTGGTCTCGCTTTCGGTGGGCTCGACCATCAGCGTGCCCGCCACCGGCCAGCTCATGGTCGGCGCGTGAAAACCCGAATCGATCAGCCGCTTGGCGATGTCGTCGACATTGACCTTGGCGCTGTCGGCAAACGGACGCGTATCGAGGATGCATTCATGCGCGATCCGCCCGGCCTTGCCCTTGAACAGGATGCCGTAGCCGCGCTCGAGCCGCTTGGCGATGTAGTTGGCGTTCAGGATCGCCACCTTGGTCGCCTGGGTGAGCCCGTCGCCACCCATCATCTGGATGTAGGCCCATGAGATCGGCAGGATCAGCGCCGAGCCGAACGCGGCTGCGCTGACCGCGCCGTCGCCGCCCACCGGATCGCCTGGCAGGAATGGCGCCAGATGCGCCTTGACGCCGATCGGCCCCATGCCCGGCCCGCCGCCGCCATGGGGGATACAGAAGGTCTTGTGCAGGTTGAGGTGGCTGACATCGGCGCCGATCTCGCCGGGCTTGGACAGGCCGACCATCGCGTTCAGATTGGCGCCGTCCAGATAGACCTGCCCGCCATGCTCGTGCGTTATGGCGCAGATTTCGCGCACCGTCTCCTCGAACACGCCATGCGTCGACGGATAGGTGATCATGCAGGCCGCCAGCCGGTCGCCGGCTTCGGTGGCCTTGGCGCGAAAATCGTCAATGTCGATGTCGCCATTCCCGCTCGACTTGACGACGACCACCTCCATGCCGGCCATGTGCGCCGAGGCGGGGTTGGTGCCGTGCGCCGAGATCGGGATCAGGCAGATGTCGCGATCCGTGTCGCCCCGCGACTTGTGCCAGGCGCGGATGGTCATAAGGCCGGCATATTCGCCCTGCGCGCCCGAATTGGGCTGCATCGACATCGCGTCATAGCCGGTGATGACGCACAGCTTTTCGGCCAGATCGCCGATCAGCTCGCGATAGCCCTCGGTCTGATCGGCGGGGGCCAGCGGATGGATGTTGGAAAATTCCGGCCAGGTGACGGCCATCATCTCGGCTGCGGCATTGAGCTTCATCGTGCAAGAGCCGAGCGGGATCATCGCCCGGTCGAGCGCCAGATCCCGGTCGGCGAGCCGCCGCATGTAGCGCATCATCTCGGTTTCGGCGCGGTTGAGGTGGAAAATGGGGTGGGTAAGATAGTCGGTCTGGCGCAACAGCGCGGTCGGCAGGCAGACAGCGCTGTAGGCCGCCAGATCGCCGCCCGTGACGCCGAACGCGCCGAGCAGCCGGTCGATCGTTTCCGGGCGGGTCGTCTCGTCCAGCGTGATGCCGATCCGGCCGCCTTCGATGCGGCGCAGATTGATGCGCCGGTCGCGCGCCGCCTGGATGATAACGCCCTGCATCGCGCCGGCATTGACGGTGATCGTATCGAAAAACGCGTCCTGCTCGACATCGAAGCCAGCCTCGCGCAGCGTGTCGGCGACGAAGGCCGTCTTGCGGTGGATGCGCTGGGCGATGGCCTTGAGGCCCTTGGGTCCGTGGAAGACGGCATAAAAGCTTGCCATCACGGCCAGCAGCGCCTGCGCGGTGCAGACGTTCGAGGTCGCCTTTTCCCGGCGGATATGCTGCTCGCGCGTCTGCAGCGACAGCCGGTAGGCCTGGTTGCCGTGACTGTCGATGGAAACGCCGACGATGCGGCCGGGCAGGGCGCGCTTGAGCGCATCGGTGCAGGCGATGTAGGCGGCGTGCGGTCCGCCAAAGCCCATCGGCACGCCGAAGCGCTGCGTCGAGCCGACGGCGATGTCGGCGCCCATCGCACCCGGCTCCTTGAGCAGCAGGAGCGCCATCGGATCCGCGATGACGATGCCGATTGCCTTGTGCTTGTGCAGCGCGTTCATCTCCACGCCGAAATCGCGCAAATCGCCATATGTGCCCGGATACTGGAAGACCGCGCCGAACACGGTCTCCGCGTCGAGCGCCTCGGGCGGACCGGTGACGATTTCGATGCCGAGCGGCTCGGCCCGCGTGCGGATGACGCTGATGTTCTGGGGATGGCAGTTTTCATCGACGAAGAAGGCGCGCGCCTTCGATTTCGATGTGCGCAGGGCCATCGCCATCGCTTCGGCGGCTGCCGTCGCCTCGTCCAGGAGCGACGCGTTGGCGACCGCAAGGCCCGTCAGGTCGGTCACCATGGTCTGGTAATTGAGCAGCGCCTCCAGCCGGCCCTGGCTGATTTCCGGCTGATAGGGCGTATAGGCGGTGTACCAGGCCGGGTTTTCGAGGATATTGCGCTGGATCGCCGGCGGCGTCACCGTGCCGTGGTAGCCCTGGCCGATCATCGAGGTGAACAACTTGTTCTTCTTGGCGATCTGCCGCAAATGCCACAGAAGCTCGTGCTCGGACTTGGCCGGCCCGAAATCGAGCGGTTCCGACTGGCGTATCGCCTCAGGCACGGTCTCGTCGATCAGCGCATCCAGACTGTCGGCGCCGACCGTCTTGAGCATCTCGACCATTTCCTCGGGCGAGGGGCCGATATGGCGCCGGTTGGCGAAATCATAGGGCTCGTAGTCGGTCAGGCTGAACGGCATCGGTCGGTCCTCAGGAAATCATGGCCTTGTAGGCGGCTTCGTCCATCAGCGCCTCGACGGCGCTCGCATCGTCGATCCGCATCTTGAAGAACCAGCCTTCGCCGAGCGGATCTTCATTGACCAGCGCGGGCGCATCGGCGAGCTTTTCGTTGACCGCGACGATCGTGCCGTCGAGCGGCGCCTTGATGTCGGAGGCCACCTTGACGCTTTCGATGACGACGATCTCGTCATCCTTTTTGACGTCGCTGCCGTCCTCGGGCAGTTCGACGAACACGACATCTCCGAGCTGCTCGGCCGCATATTCCGTGATGCCGACGACGAACACGTCGCCATCGGCGCGCAGCCATTCATGCTCTTCCGTGAATTTCATGGCGCAACTCCTTGATTATCGTTTGAAATTTGCCGGCGTGAAAGGAAGATCGGCGACGGTGACGGGCATTCGCTTGCCGCGCACCTCGCCAAACAGGCGTGTGCCGGTTTCGGCCATGGCGGTCGGTACGTAACCCATCGAAACGGGCCGTTCGACGGTCGGGCCGAACGCGCCGGATGTGACGTGGCCGACCGGTTTGTCTGCCGTTTCGCTGTCGAACAGTGGCGTACCGTCGCGCATCGGGGCCCGGCCTTCGGGCAGAAGGCCGACGCGGCGACGTGCCGCGCCATTGTCAAGCTCCGACAGGATGCGCTCGGCGCCGGGAAATCCGCCGGCACGGTCGCCCCCGGTCCGCCGCACCTTCTGGATCGACCAGGACAGGCCGGCCTCCACCGGTGACGTGCCGGTGTCGATGTCGTTGCCATAAAGACAGAGCCCGGCTTCCAGGCGCAGACTGTCGCGGGCACCCAGGCCGACCGGTTCCACATCGTCGCTCGCCAGAAGCGCGCGGGCCAGCGCGACCGCCTGGTCATCGGCCACCGAAACCTCGAACCCGTCCTCGCCCGTATAGCCCGAACGCGAGATCCACACTTCGCCAAACGCGCTGTCGGTCACGATCACGTCCATGAACCGCATGGCGGACACCCCGGGCACGATGTCGGTCAGAACCGCTTCTGCTGCCGGCCCCTGCAATGCCAAGAGAGCCCGGTCGTCCACCACTTCGACCGGGCACGACAGGTTCGCCCGCATGTGTGCGATGTCGGCGTCCTTGCAGGCGGCGTTGACGACGAGGAACAGATGATCACCCCGGTTGGCGATCATCAGATCGTCGAGAATGCCGCCATCATCGTTCGTGAACAGCCCGTAGCGCTGCCGGCTTTCGCCCAGACCGGCAAGACTTGCCGGCACGAGGGTCTCGAGTTGGGCGGCCGCGTCGGCACCGCGCACGATGACCTGGCCCATATGGCTGACATCGAAAAGGCCGGCCGCGCGCCGTGTGTGCAGATGTTCCTTCATCACGCCGGGCGGATATTGGACCGGCATCTCATAGCCCGCGAACGGCACCATTTTGGCGCCAAGCTCCTGGTGAAGCTCGTAAAGGGCGGTGCGTTTCAGGTCCGGCATGCGCGCCTCGTCGGTTCTGCCGGGCACGCCGGCATCATCGTTGGGGCGCGACCCGCGCCCGATGATGCCCTCTCTGTCCGTTTGCCTGAGATCGTTATCCCGTCGGCGGGCCGTAACGGCCTCTCTCCAGAGTCCTATGCCGCGATGGTCCTTGGGCCTGAGAGTTTGCCAGGGCGGTTGCTCCTTCGGCACCGGCAGAGCCGGATTCTCCCAACGCGACGATCCAAGTGCTAGGGCGAATCGGCCATCGCGGTCAAGTTGCAAAGACGGCGCATATCTTGTCCGCCCGCATCAGCGGTCGAGCCTGCGCGGGCCGGCGCCCGTATAGGCGGGCAGAACATCGCGCGGGATCGGGCCCTTGTTGCGCACACCTTCGCCGGTCTGTTCCCAGGCATGGGCGAGGATGCCGACCGAGCGCGACAGGCAGAACAGGCCACGGGCCAACGGCGCGGGAAAGCCCAGTTCGGCATAGATGACGGCGGTCGCCCCGTCGATGTTCATCGGAATGCGCTTGCCCTTGCGGCGCATGAGCTCGTCTTCGACGGCCCGGCCGATCTCCGCGAAGCGTCCCGTAACATCGCCATTGGCGGCTGCCTCATCGACCAGTTCGAGAAGCCGAGGCGCGCGCGGATCGACCGGGTGGAACCGGTGGCCGAAGCCGGGCACATGCTTGCCGCCGGCGTCAGTGAAGGCGTCCAGTTCAGCGCGGGTGGCGTCCGGGACATCCGCGCCGTCCTCCACGCGCGCCGCGATCGCCTGATAGTGGGCAACTGCCTGTTCGCCGGCACCGCCATGCACGTCGCCGAGCGTGTTCAGCGCCGAGGCCATCGCATTGTTGAGCCCGACGCCGCAGGTCGCAGCCATGCGGGCAATGGCGATCGAGGGCGCTTGCGGTCCGTGATCGACGGCGGACATCAGCACCGCGTCGAGCAGTGCCGCCTGCGGCTTCGTTGGCAGGTCTCCACGCAGCATCAGCCAGATCATCTCAACAAAGCCGACATTGCCGATCAATTCCTCGATCGCATAGCCGCGATAGCGGATTTCGCCGGGCTTCATGTCGATGATCGCGGTCGACCACCACTGGGCGGACTTGTCGTCGCCGGCCGGTCCTTGCTCGCTCATATCGCCCCGTCGCTCCTCAGTTTTGCGATGGTCACCTCATCATAGCCCAGTTCGGCGAGAACGGCGCCGGTGTCGGCGCCCAGTTCCGGCGGCGGCGTTGCCGTGGACGGTGCCTCGCCGTCCAGCTTGATGCCGGTGCGCGCCAGCTTCACATCGCGGCCGACACCGGGCGCATCGGCGAACCCGCCGATCATGCCGCGTTCGGCGATCTGTGGATGGGCCAGAATGTCCGGCACCGAAAAAACCTCGCCCGCCGGCACGCCGGCTGCATTGAGGTCCGCGCGCCATTCGGCGGCGCTCTTGCCGGCAAATGCGGCTTCCAATTCGGCGGTCAGCGCGGCGCGGTTCGCCAGCCGGTCCTGTCGCCTGGCAAAGCGCGGGTCGGCGATGAGATCGGAGCGTCCGGCGGCGCGGCACACCGCCTCGAACTGTTCCTGCTTGTTGGCGGCGATGTTGATCGGCCCGTTGCCGGTCTGGAACGTGCCGGACGGGCTGGCGGTGAAATTGTCGTTGCCCATCGGCGCGGGTGTCCGCCCGGCCATCAGGAAGTTGGAGACCACCCAGCCCATGGTCGCGATCACCGATTCGAGCATCGAGACATCGATGAACCGGCCACGTTGGTCCGTCTTGTTTGCGAGCGCGGCGGAGATGGCGAACGCCGCCGTCAGCCCGCCGATCGTGTCGGCGATTGGGTAGCCGACCCGATAGGGTGCCGTGTCGGGCGCGCCGGTGATCGACATCACACCGCTCATGCCCTGGATGATCTGGTCGTAGGCCGGCAGCGACTTGAGCGGCCCGTCCTGGCCGAAGCCGGAAATGGCGCAGTAAACGAGGTCCGGCCTGATCGCCTTGAGCCGCCCGTAACCGACGCCAAGGCGGTCCATCACGCCGGGCCGGAAGTTCTCGACCACGACATCGGCCGTGGCGACCAGCTTCTCGAACACCGCCTTGCCGGCATCGGATTTGAGATTGACCGTCACCGAACGCTTGCCCGAGTTCTGCGCCAGAAACGATACGCCCATCCGCTTTTCGTTGAGCTCCGGATCGGCGCCGAGCTGGCGGGCAAGATCGCCCGAACCCGGCACCTCGACCTTGATCACCTCGGCGCCCAGATGCGCAAGCTGATGGCAACAGAACGGGCCCGCCAGCACATTGGTCAGGTCGAGCACGCGATAGCCGGCGAGCGGTGTTGGGTCGCTCATTCGCCCGCATCTCCCGGCGCCGGCCGGACCACGCGCTGCATGGCGAGCGGGATCAGCACTGTCAGGAACAGAAGGCGCGCCACATGGTGTGCGGCGACGAAGGCCGGATTGACGCCGAGCAGAAGCGCCATCGCCGCCATCGCTTCGAGCCCCCCGGGCGCATAGGCGACAAGCGCCTGCACCAGCGGAACGTCGAGCAGCGCCATCGCCACCAGGCCGGCGAGGACGGCGACGGTTCCCGCCAGCGCGGTGAAGGCGAGGGCCGCGCCGGCCGCCTTGCGGATCAGCGCGAGGCTGACGCCGGAAAAGCGCGTTCCGATCAGCGTGCCCATCGTGACGAAGGCGGGAATCGAGAGCCAGAAGGGCACAAGGCCGGGCCCGGCCTCCGTCAGATGGCCCACCGAAGAGGCGAACATGCCGCCGAGAAGGAAGGCGGCCGGCACCCTGAGCCGTTGAAACAGGAGCGCCGCGGCGATGGCAGCCAGCGCGGTGCCGACAAGCACCGGCGCGGTCATCGCCACACCGTCGGGCAGGGCGTCCTGCATGGGGCGGTCGGTGATTGCCGACGCGACGAAGGGCACGGCCAGCGTCAGCACAAGCACGCGCGTCGACTGGATGATCGAGATCGCCGGCAGGTCGGCCTTGACGGTGGTACTCAAGCTCAGAACGAAGCTCAGATGACCCGGCGCCGCGCCCAGAAGCGCCGTGCCGCGATCATAGCCGAAGCCGCGTTCCAGCAGCAGTGCCCCCAGCGCCATGATGACGACCATGGCGACCAGCACGATCAGGATCGAGACCGGCCATTGCGCGGCGGTGGCGACCATGTCCGGTGTCACGCCCGCGCCTATCGTCATGCCGATGATCGTGAAAATCGCGTTGCGCAGGCCGTTGGGGATCGCAAGGCGCAGGCCCGCAAGCGAGGCGAGGGTGACGAACAGGGCCGGGCCGGTGAGCCAGGGTGCGGGGAACGAGGCGGCGAACGCCAGCGCGCCGCCCGCCGCCCCGATTGCCAGGGCAAGTGCCGTTGCCTTCACGCCATCATCCTCAGTCGCCCGATGCCGAAGTCCCTTCCGCCGCTCTGGCCCGGTATTCTCGGATCTTGCCGGTCAGGAACGGCGCGACCAGGCACAGAGCCGCGATGATCAGGATCGTCAGGGTCAGCGGGCGCTCCCACAGGAACGACCAGCTGTCATTGTTGATCAGCAGGGCCCGCCGCAGATTCTCTTCCATCATGCCGCCCAGGATAAAGCCCAGGATCATCGGCGCCATCGGAAAATCGAGCATGCGCAGGATAACGGCGGCGATCGCGAACAGCACCATGAGCTGGATATCGAACGTGTTGAACGAGACGAAATAGACGCCGATCAGCGAGAAGAAGAGAATCAGCGGCAGCAGGAACCGCGACGGGATCGCGAGCACGCGGGCGATGTAGGGGATCAGCGGCAGGTTGAGGATCAGAAGCACGATGTTGCCGATCCACATCGAAACGATCACCGACCAGAAGATTTCGGGCTGGTCGATATAAAGCCGCGGTCCGGGCTGGATGCCGTAGCCGATCAGCGCGCCGAGCATGATCGCGGTGGTGCCCGAACCGGGAATACCAAGCGTCAAAAGCGGCACGAAAGAGCCGGTGGCGGCGGCGTTGTTGGCGGTTTCGGGCGCCGCCAGGCCGCGCACCGATCCCTTGCCGAACTGCTTGCCCTTTTCGGGGCCGGCAAGGCGTTGTTCCGTGCCGTAGGCGAGGAAGGAGGCGATGGTTGCGCCCGCGCCGGGCAGCACGCCGATCAGGAAACCGAGGACCGAGGAACGGCCGATCACCGGCGCCATTTCCCTGACCTCGGCCTTGCTGACGGCCATCGAACCGAGGTTTTCCGACGCTTCCTTTTCCTTGAGCCGGTCGGCGTCGTCTTTCGGTTTGAGGATCGCCATCAGCGCTTCGGACAGGGCGAAGGTCGCCATGACCAGAAGCAGGAACGAGATGCCGTCGACCAGATCGATCATGCCGAGCGTAAAGCGCGGCACGCCCTGGGTCTGGTCGGTGCCGACCGTCGACAGCATCAGCCCGATCACCGTCATCAGGAGCGCTTTGGCCATGTCGCCCTTGCCGGCGAAGGCGGCGACGGCGACGAGGCCGAGCACCATCAGCGCGAAGTAGTCGGTCGACTGGAAGGAGAGCGACACGCTGGCCAGGAACGGCGCGGCAACCAACAGAAACAGCGCCGCGATCACGCCGCCGGAAAAGGACGAATAGGCGGCGATCGCCAGCGCCTTGCCGGCCTTGCCGCTCTTGGCCATCGGGTAGCCGTCAAACGAGGTGGCAACCGTCGAGGCGACGCCGGGCGCGTTGATCAGGATGGACGAGGTGGAGCCGCCAAAGATCGCGCCATAATAGACCGCGGCCATCAGGATGATCCCGGCGGAGGGGTCGAGCGTCGCCGCGATCGGGATCATCAGCGCGATCGCCGACATCGGGCCAAGGCCCGGCAGCATGCCGATGAAGGTGCCGGCGAGGCACCCCATCATCACGAACAGAAGGTTCTGGATGGAAAGGGCCGTCGTCAGCCCGATCATGATGCCTTCAAGCATGGCTCAGTTCCCTTCGCGCAGGAAGGTGGGCAGCGGTTCGATGAACACGTCGAGCCCTTGCGTCATCAGCACCCAGAACAGGACGACCAGCGGCACGGCAACGGCGATCAGATAGAGCGGGCGGCGTTCGCCGAGCATCCAGAAGCCGATCATCAGGAAAAGCGAGGTCGAGGCTATGAAGCCCATCGGCCGTATGGTCAGCCCGTAGACCGACATCAGCGCCAGAAACAGGCCGACCTTGAGCCAGTCATGACCGGCCAGTTCGACCCGCGCCTTCGAGCCGGGAAATGCGATGACGATCAGCGACAGGCCGATGCCGAGCACCGAAAGCACCTCTGGCATGGTCCGGGCGTGAAAGGCGCTGCTTTCCTGAAACGGCAGCAGGCGGATCTGCTGGCTCAGAAACGCATAAGCGATGCAAAAGGCGAGCAGCAGAAGCCCGCCCAGCCTGTCCTTGGAAATCGGCATGATCGTCCTCCCCGGGGTGCCGCGCGGACGGTTTTGCCCGCGCGGCGTGTTTGCCAAAGGCCGGCGTGAGACCGCCGGCCGTCACCGGGCCGGTATCAGAGGAAGCCCAGTTCGCGCATCAGGCCGCCGATCTGCTCTTCCTGCGCTTCAAGGAACGAGGTAAAGTCATCGCCCCGGTTGAAGATGTCGACCCAGCCGTTGCGGTCGCGCACGGTGGCCCAGTCGTCGGTCTCATACATCGCTTCCAGCGCATCCTGGTAGGCGCTCGCCTGTTCGTCCGAAAGGCCGGGCGCGCCGAAGAAGCCGCGCCAGTTGACGAACTCGGCGCCGCTTGCGCCGGCCTCGTCGCAGGTCGGCGTTTCGGGGGAGGCGTCCAGCCGCTCGGGCGCGGTCACGCACAAAATGCGCACCTCGCCCTGGCGGGCCAGTTCGATGGCTTCGCCGAAGCCGGTCGACAGCCCCTTGATCTCGCCCGACAGGAGGCCGGCCATCGCCTTGCCGCCCGCGTCATAGGGGATGTACTTGACCTGGGTCGGATCGGCGCCGGCCGCCTTCATGACGAGCGCGACCACGATATGGTCCATGCCGCCGGCGACCGAGCCGCCGCCGATGGCGACATTGGTCGGATCGGCGTTGTAGGCGTCCAGCAGGCCACCGAAGTCCTGGATGTCGGAATCGGTGTTGACGACCATCGCCGCATAATCGCCGATCGTGCCGGCAATCGGTGTCAGGTCGCGGAACGATTGCGGGAACACGCCCTGCAGCGAGCGGATGACGATCGGCGTCGAATTGACCATCAGCATGCCGGTGTCATCGGTCTCGATCAGGTGCGCGATGGCCTTGCCGCCGCCGCCGCCGGACATGTTCTCATAGGTCGCCGATCCGACGATGCCGGATTTGGTCAGCGCTTCGCCGGTGCCGCGCGCGGTACCGTCCCAGCCGCCGCCGGCGCCGCCGGGGATCAGGAAGTGGACGTCTTCGAGCTTCTGGTGTCCGTCGGCCTGGGCAGCGCCCAGCGTTGCAAACGACAATGCGGCGGCGCCAAGCGCCGCGGTCAGCAGTTTCAGCATATGATCCTCCCAAAATGCTTCGCCGGTGTGACCGGCTGCGGCAAGCTGACCACACCAAGCTGTCAACACGCTGACAGGTTGCCGGCATAGTGACGTGGCGTCAGCGCTGGCTGAGCGTGTCGTTCCAGCGGTCGATGAAGCGGGCTCGCCGCACCTGGTCGAGATAGACCAGAAGGGCAGGGCTGACCGCGATCGGCCGCAGCTTGTCGCCCGCCTCGGCGCGCAGCCCGTCCGCCGTGTTCGCGCCCGTCAGTTGCGGATGCAGTGCCGGCAGCTTGGCTTCGGCCGCCATGATGTCCTGGCCCTGCCGCGACATCATGAAATCGAGAAAGCGCCCGGCCAGATCGGGCGCCTGCGCGGAGGTCGGCACCAGCGCGATGCGCGACATGATGATCGTGTAATCGGTCGGCAGCACGATGCCGAGATCGGGATTGCGCGCCGCCCATGCCGAGGCATAGGAGCCCAGAATATTGTAGCCGATGGCGAACCGGCCGTCCGAAACGCGCTCGAGGATGGACGAGGAGTTGGAGTAGAGCTTGACGCCGGACCGGCCCATCGCGCGCACCAGATCCCAGATGTCGCGATTGTGCTCGGCATCGCGCGCCAGAAACAGGAAGCCGACGCCGGCGCGCTCGATGTCGTAGGTCGCGATCCGGCCGTAGAACGCATCCTGTTCGGCATCGAGGAACGAAATCAGCGCGGCGCGGGTGCGCGGCACGTCGGCGGCCTCAAAACTGGGCTTGTGATAGACCATCACCGCCGGCTCGTAGGTCAGTGCGATCGCCGTATCGCGCCAGTTGGCCCAGCTTGGCCACACACTGCCGTGTGCCAGCGGCACACGGCGCGCATAGCCGTCATTGGCGAGCTTCATCTGCAAGTCCATTGCCGACGAGATCACCAGATCCGCCGTTGCGCCGTCGCCATCGCTCTCATTGAGCACGCGCTCATAGATATCGACGGTCTGGAGTTCGTGATAATTGACGGCGACGCCGGGATTGTCTCTCTGGAAGGCGTCGATCAGCGGTTCCGCCGCGCTCAGATCGAGCGAGGAATAGATCGTCAGCGTCGATGCGCCGGCCGGCTGCAACGCACCAAACAGTGTCTGCGCCAGGGCGGCCGGCACCATGAACGCCAGCGAGACCACAGCTCCGATCGCGGCGATCCATGTCCTGCGCGTCAAATGCCTCTCCTTGCCGCTGCCGCGCCGGCCTTCACAGCCCGGCTCCCGCGCAGTACCAAGGAGCGCGGGAGGACAGATCATGCGCATTCTCCTTGTCGAGGACAATGCCAAACTGGCGGCCGGCATGGCCGCCGTTCTGAGTGCGGGCGGCTTTCAGGTCGACCGTGTCGCCGACGGCACCGACGCCGAGGCGGCGCTCGCCTCCACGCCTTTCGATCTGGTGGTGCTCGATCTCAGCCTTCCGGGCATGGACGGCCTTGATGTGTTGAAAAACCTGCGCGACCGTCGGCTCGACGTGCCGGTGCTGATCGTCACCGCGCGCGGCGACCTCAACGACCGGGTGCGCGGGCTCGATCTGGGCGCCGACGATTATCTGACCAAGCCGTTCGCCGTCGAGGAGCTGCGGGCGCGGGCGGCAGCGCTGATCCGGCGGGGCGCGGGGCGCGCGCGTCCGACCATCGAATTTGCCGGCCTGACGCTGGATGTCACGGCCAACACGCTGGTGCATGCCGGTGCGCCGATCGAGATTTCGCCGCGCGAACTGGCCGTACTGCGCGTCATGCTGATGTCGAAATCCGACGTGGTGCCCAAGGCGCAGATCGCCGAGTCGCTGTCCACCTTCGATCTGGACGTATCCGACAATGCGGTCGAGCAGACGATCAGCCGCCTGCGCAAGCGGCTTGGCGGCTTTGGCATCGCGATCCGCGCGGCACGCGGCATGGGCTACTTCCTGATGGCGCAAGAGCAGGGCGGTGCTGGCTGATGGGACCGCGCTATTCGCTGCGCCGGCGGCTGCTGATCATGCTTCTGGTGCCCCTTTGCACCATCGGGGTCGTAGCGCTGTTCGACGCCTATCGCACGGCGCGCGAGACCGCCAACCAGGTGTTCGACCGGGTGCTGTCGGGCTCTGCGCTGGCGATTGCCGAACGGGTGGTCATCAATGATGACGACCAGCTCGACGTCGACATTCCCTATGTGGCGCTGGAGATGCTGACCTCGTCGGCGCAGGACCGTGTCTTCTACCGTATCGACCATGCCGACGGCACGCTCGTCACCGGCTATCAGCGTCTGGCGGTGCCCGATGCGCGGGCCGAGGCCGGCGATCCGTTCGCTTTCGCCGACGGCGAATTTCGCGGCGAACCGATCCGCGTGGCGACCTATCGCGGCACGGCATCGACCGGCGAGCGGTCGGTCGCCTTCAGGGTCACCGTGGCCGAGACGACCAATGCCCGCCAGGCGCTGGCGCAGCGCATCCTGCTGCGCACCGCGCTGCGCCAGTTCCTCCTGATCTTCGCAGCCGCCATCATCGTCTGGGTCGCGGTAACGCGCTCGCTGCGCCCGCTCGGCCGGCTCGAACAGGCGATCGGCCGCCGCAGCCCCGAAGATTTGCGGCCGATCGAACACAATGTGCCTCAGGAGGTTGGCGGCCTGGTCGACCGGATCAACGGTTTCATGGCCCGTCTTGACGGGGCGCTGAGCGCATTGCGCCATTTCACCGGCAACGCCAGCCACCAGTTGCGCACGCCTCTCGCCATCGTCCGCACCCAATTGGGCATTGCCGCGCAGGCCGAAACGCTCGGCGAGGCCCGTCACGCCATCGCCGATTGCGATCAGGCCGTCGCCGACGCCGAGCGCACGCTGGCGCAATTGCTGCTTCTGGCGCGGGTGGACGAGACGACGTCGAAGGCCGCCGCGGGTCACTCGGTCGATCTGGACGCGGTGGCACGGGCGACCGCCGGGAGCTTCGTTCTGCCCGCCGCGCGTGCCGGCTTCGATCTGGCATACGAGGGCGGTGTGCCTGTCGGTTGTCGCGGCGATCCGGTACTGTTGCGCGAGATGATCAGCAATCTGATCGACAATGCGATCCGCCATGCCAAAGCCGGCGCCAGCATCGTCGTTGCGGTGCGCACCGATGGCGATACGGCAATCTTGTCGGTCGAGGACGATGGCTGCGGCATTCCCGCCGAGCTGCGCACCGCCGTCATGGAGCGTTACAGCACCACCGCGCCCCGGCCGGGCGGTGTCGGCGGTCTCGGCCTTGCCATCGTCAACGAGATCGCCGCGCTGTTCGAGGGCAGCGTGCGGCTGGCTTCCGGCGCGCGCGAACGCGGCACGCGGGTCGAAGTGCGGTTGCGCGCGGCCCAAATGCCTGCCTGATGCCAGGCCCGAACGACAAAGGGGCCGGCGCGCGCTGCGCCGGCCCCTCGGGTCTGGCTCCCCAGGCAAGATTCGAACTTGCGACCGATCGATTAACAGTCGAGCGCTCTACCGCTGAGCTACTGGGGAAAACTCGAATGTCGGCGGGCTATATCAAACGGACCGTGGTGTTGAAAAGGGGTAAATGTCGGTCGACGCCGACGCTCCCCTCCTTTTTTCGCTGCCGCCGCCTTGAAGTGGGCGGTGCGGGCGCTCACGTCAGGCACGCCCGGCGATCCGCCGCCCTCTCGGGTGCCTGCATGGCTGGCAGATGATGAACGGGACCCTCCGATGGACGAACACAACCGGTTGGCGTTGATGCACGAAACCGACACGGGCGGCAACGGTGAGGACGACGGGCTGAACCATCCGGGCGGCAGGAACGGTCGGGACGAGCGCCCGGTCTACCGTCTGTTCGGGCGCGAGTTTCCCAAACCCGGCTCGCGCGGCGCCCGTCTGACGCTCGGCACCGCGCTGAGCGTTCTGGGCGTGTTCGGCTTTCTGCCGATCCTCGGCTTCTGGATGATCCCGCTCGGCCTGTTCATCCTGTCGCACGAACTGCACCCGTTGCGACGCATCCGGCGGCGGTTTGCCGTGCGGCAGGGGCGCAAGCGTTCGGGCACGCCGCGCAACTGAAAGCGGACATGCGCGGCGCAAGGGTCCATGGCGCGGGCTGCGCTGGTCGAACGGAAGTGCGCGCCGCCCGGTGTCCTGGCCGCAGCAGTGGCAAATCGGCTGCCCGGTTTGACCGCGCCAGGCGGCCTCAATCGGCTTGTCTTGTATCGGTCTGGCTGCGCGCGGCGCGAAGACCAAGCGCGATCAGGTCGGGAATTGCATTGACGAGGCGCCGGCCGCGCTCCGGATCGCTCGCATTGCCTGCCCGGATGCGGGCCGCGACGCCTTCAAGGATGGTTGCCAGACGGAAGGCCGACAGGCTCACCCAGAAATCCAGGGCGTCGATCGACGCGACGCCAAGACGATTGCAGTAATGCTCGATGATCTCGGCTTCGTGCGGCAGGCCGAGCGCGTCCCGGTCATGTCCGGCAAGACCCTTGAACACGCTGTCGCGCGGCAGCTTGTGGTGCAGGAGCACATAGGCGATGTCGGCGAACGGATGGCCGATTGTCGACAATTCCCAGTCGAGAACGGCGCGGACATTGGCCGAACCGGGCGCATAGATCAGATTGTCGATGCGGTAGTCGCCATGAACGATCGAGGCGCGTCCGTCCTCTGCCGGCTGGTTCTCGTGCAGCCAGCCGATCAGTTCTTCCATGTGCGGATCAGTTTTTTCCGCGCTGGCCTGGTACTGCTTCGTCCATCGCGCGATCTGCCGGCCGGCGTAACCGGCGGGCCTTCCATAATCGGCCAGGCCGACCGCCGCCGGGTCGAGACTGTGCAGCCGCGCCAGCGTCTCGATCATGGCCAGGGTCGCCGGGCGGCGCAGGCCCGGTTCGAGATCGGGCAGGGCGGGATCCCAGTGCACGACGCCATCGACGAACCCCATCACATAGAACGCCGAGCCGATCACGGCGTCGTCCTCGCAAAGGTGCAGCGCCGGTGCCACCGGCACATCGGTTTCCGCAAGCGCCGCAATGACCCTGTACTCGCGATCCACCGCGTGCGCCGACGGCAGGATCTTGCCCGGCGGTTTGCGGCGCAGGACATAACGCCCCGAATCGGCTTCGATCAGAAATGTCGGATTGGATTGCCCGCCGGAGAACTTGGTAGCCTTTCGCAACCCGGACAAACCGATGATGCGTGGCGACAAATAGGCTTCGAGCGCTTCCAGATCGAGCGTGTTCATCGGTGGCGGTACGGCTTGAGTTCGGTCCGGGCGATCTGCCGCCTGTGAACCGCGTCCGGTCCGTCGGCGAACCGCAGCGTCCTGGCCGTGATCCACATCGAGGCCAGCGGCGTGTCCTGACTGATGCCCATTCCGCCATGCATCTGCATGGCCTCATCGAGCACCGCCGTCGCGACGCGTGGCGCGATCACCTTGATCTGGCTGACCCAGGGTGCGGCATCCTTCGCCGAGGCATTGTCCATCATCCACGCCGCTTTCAGGCACAAAAGACGGGCCTGCTCGATCTGCATCCGGCATTCGGCGATGATGTCGCCATTGGCGCCCAGTTCGGCCAATGGCCTGCCGAAGGCCGTGCGGGACAGTGCCCTGCGGCACATCATCTCCAAGGCCCGCTCGGCCTGGCCTATGGCACGCATGCAATGATGGATCCGGCCCGGCCCCAGTCGGCCCTGGGCAATGCGGAAGCCGTCACCTTCCGCCTGCAGGAGGTTTTCTGCCGGCACGCGGACATCGGTGAAGCGCAGATGCATGTGGCCGTGCGGCGCGTCGTCGTGACCGAAGACGTTCATCGGACGCAAAATCTCGACGCCGGGCGTATCGGCCGGCACGAGAATCTGGCTGTGCCTCCTGTGCCGCTCGCCATCGGGATCGGTCAGAACCATCACGATATAGATGGCGCATCGGGGGTCGCCGGCGCCCGAGGCCCACCATTTTTCGCCGTTCAGCACATAGGCGTCACCGTCGCGCACGCACGACATCGAAATGTTGGTCGCATCGGACGACGCCACGTCCGGTTCGGTCATCAGATAGGCGGAGCGGATCGTCCCTGCCATGAGCGGGTCGAGCCAACGGGCCTTCTGCGATTCGCTGCCGAACCGGTGCAGCACATCCATGTTTCCGGTATCCGGGGCCGAGCAGTTGAAGATTTCCGGCGCCAGTCGCGACCAGCCCATCTCCTCGGCCATATAGGCATATTCGACGGTCGTCAGGCCGTGCCCGCCCAGTGCCTTGGAGCGCCACAGGTTCCAAAGGCCCGCATCGCGCGCCTTGTCCTTCAGGCTCTCCCGAATGCTCGCCTGCCGCTCGGTGAAGCTGAAACGGTCGCCATCGCGCCCCACTTCCTGCTCGAACTCGTCGTCAAGCGGCATGATGTCGTTGCGCACCATGGCGCGCACCCGGTCGCGGACGGTTTCCGCCTCTGGCGATAAGCCCAGATCCATTGTCTTTTCTCCCTGCTCAGCGTCCGGCCGCAAACAGATCATCGGCCGATTCCACGCCGATCCCGCCATCGAGCGGCAGGATCGCGCCGGTTACATAGGCGCCGCCGCGTCCGGCCAGGAATAGAACGGCGCCGGCCAGGTCGCCGGGCTGTCCGAGCCGGCCGGCCGGCACGCCCGCCGCAACCGCCTGGCGTGTTTTGGCGTCGCCGGTTACGAATGCCGTCATCCGGCTTTCGAAGGGTCCCGGCGCCAGCGCATTGACCGTGATGTGGCGCGCCGCCAGTTCCTTGGCGAGGATGCGGGTCAGATGGTGAACGGCGGCTTTGGATGCGGCATAGGAATAGGCATGGCCGCCGATCGTGGCCGCGCCCATCACCGATCCCAGATTGATGACCCGCGCCGGGCTGTCGGCGCTGGCGGCACGCTCCAGCAATGGCGTGAGGTCACGGGTGAGGCTGAACAGCCCGGCCACATTCAGGCTCATCACCTTGTCCCAGGCCATGAAGGGGAACGCCTCGTAGCTTTCGCCCCAGCTTCGGCCGGCATTGTTGACGAGTATGTCGAGCCGGTCGGTTCGGTCGGCGACGCGGGCAGCCAGCGCCGTGACGCCGCTTTCGGTCGAGGCGTCGCCTGCGAAACCCTCGGCTTCACCGGGGCCGCCCTCGGCGTTGATCGCCGCGGCCGCTTCGACGCAGGCCTCTCCGTTGCGCGAGGCGATCATCACGCGCGCGCCGGCGCCCACGAAGGCCGAAGCGATCATCCGGCCGATGCCGCTGGAGCCGCCGGTGACCAGAACGGTCTTGCCATGTGCGCCGAAGAGATCCTCCAGCAAGGTCATCGCAACTGCCTCCCTGCCGCCCGGGGCATTGAAAAATGATGCCTTTACCAACAACATACCGAGCAGTATCTTGTCAATCGCGATTTTTCGGTCATGTTTGCGACAATCGCAAAGCCGGGGAGGAGACCAGATGCTTGAAGGCATGATGATGCAACGGGACCTGTCGATCCGGCAGGTGCTCGACTATGCGGCCGACGTTTACCCTGAAACGGGTGTCATATCGTCGACCGTGGAAGGAGACCGCCACCGGCAGACCTACGGCCAGACCCGAAAACGCGTGGCGCGTTTGGCCAAAGCTCTGCTGGAGATGGAGGTCGGCAGGGGCGACCGCGTCGCCACGCTTGCCTGGAACGGCTACCGGCACTTCGAGCTCTATTACGCGATAGCCGGCATCGGCTCTGTGTGCCACACGATCAATCCGCGTCTTTCGGCCGAACAGATCGCCTGGATCGTCAATCACGCCGACGACAAGGTCCTGTTCTTCGACCTGACCTTCGCGCCGCTGGTCGAAAGTCTCAGGCCAAAGCTGCCGCCGTCCATCAAACTGGTGCTGATGACGGACGAGGCGCACGTTCCGGACAACTCGCCCGAAGGCGCGCTGTGCTACGAGACGCTGCTGGAGGGGAAACCGGACCTGTTCGACTGGCCCGATCTGCCCGAAACCACGGCGTCGGGCTTGTGCTACACGTCGGGCACCACCGGCGATCCGAAGGGCGCGCTTTATTCCCACCGGTCGACGCTTCTGCACAGTTTCTCGGTGGTGCTCGGCGCACTGCAGTGTTTCGGCCGCGGGCACCGCGTTCTGCCGGTCGTCCCGCTGTTTCACGTCAATGCCTGGGGGTTGCCGTTCTCGGCGCCGTTGACCGGAACCGACCTGGTCATGCCGGGGCCGCATCTCGACGGCGCCTCGATCTTCGATCTGATGCAAAGCGAGGGCGTGACCTCGGCGTGGGGCGTGCCGACCGTCTGGAACGGATTGATCGCGGAGATGCGCAAGCGCGGCAGCAAGCCGGATGCGCTGTCCACCCTTTTGATCGGCGGCTCCGCCGTCAGCGAAGCGATGATCCGCGCGGCCGAAGAGGAGTTCGGTATCGAAGTGCTTCATGGCTGGGGCATGACCGAGATGAGCCCGGTCGGGACCGTGACCCGTCCCGAGCCCGGCCTGACCGCGGATGAGAACGTGGCCTTGAAGCTGCCGCAGGGCCGTCGCCTGTTCGGCGTGGACATGAAGATCGTCGACGAGGCCGGAGAACCGTTGCCCCACGATGGCGAGCGGTCGGGAGAGCTGTTCGTGCGCGGGCCGACGGTCATTTCCGGCTATTTCAATGCGCCCGAGGCCAGCCAGGCGGTCTTCGATGCCGATGGCTGGTTCAGCACCGGCGACATGGCCAGGATCGGCCCCAACACCGATCTGCTGATCGTCGACCGCACCAAGGACCTGATCAAGTCCGGCGGCGAGTGGATCTCGTCGATCGACCTCGAGAACACCGCTTGCGGATGCGCGGGCGTGGCCCAGGCGGCCGCTGTTGCGATACCGCATCCCAAATGGGATGAGCGGCCGCTGCTGGTGGTCGTGGCCGAGCAGGGAGCGGAAGTCCGCAAGCAGGATGTGCTGGCCCATATCGGCCAACGCATGGCGAAATGGCAGGTGCCGGACGATGTCATGTTCATGGATGCGCTTCCGATGACGGCCACCGGCAAGATTTCCAAGCTTGAGTTGCGGGCCATCTTGGCGAACTACCGTTTCCCCGACGAGCCGGAGACCTGAGGGCATAAGAATGAACCATCAGTCAGCCGATGCGGAGGTGGCAAGGCCACGGCGCCGTGTGTCGAACGTTGACGAAAGTCGGGCCGTCATCATTTCGGCTGCGGCGGAATGCTTCATGCGCAAGGGGCTCGACAAGGCGACGATCGACGACATCGCCGACGAGGTCGGCTCGACCAAGGGCCGCGTCTACCATCATTTCAGATCCAAGAACGCAATCTTCTTTGCCGTCTACCGGCGCGCGATGGAGCTTTGCTTCGAGGCGGTGGAACCTGTGTTCGCCAGCGATTCGCCCGCCGCTCAGAGGCTTGAGGGGATGGCTCATGCCCACGCCATGGTGATGATGGAGCATTTGCCGTTCCAGCGCGGCATTCGTTCCGGTGTGGAAATGTATCTGCACGGCTCGACCACCGCGGCCGAGCGCGAGACGCTGACCGAACTCATCGGCATAAGGGATGAGTATGAGCGTCTTTTCCGACGGGTGCTTGAAGACGGTGTTGCCGATGCGACGCTTGAGGTCGACGACGTTCCGATCGCCGGGCGGGCGATATTGGGCGCACTGAACGGGCTGACGGACTGGTACCGTCCGAGGACGGGTGAATCCGGTGCCGAGCGTGAGGCGATCGCCCGCAGCCTGACGCGAACAGTCCTCAACGGCGTCGTCCGCCGGTAAGGGTGGCAGCGGGGCCGCCCGTTCCGGCGAGCGTTACTCGCTGGCCGGCCGCTCGCGAACGCCGAGCGCCGCACGCACGCGTTTTGCGGCATCGAGCATCATGTCGAGGTGAGCCGGCCGGTCTCCGATGACCATCTGCGGTGTCAGTCCGGCCATCGACAGGGCACAGATGATCGAACCGTCCTCGGCAAGCACCGGCACGGCCAGTGCCGCAAGACCTTCGGCCACGTCATCGACAGCGAACTCCCACCCGCGCTTTCGGATCTCGGCGAGCCGGGCCCGGAAACCGGCCTTCTCGACGATCACGCTGTCATTGACCGGCGGCAGCGGCTGTTCGGCGAGTATGGCGTCGATGGTCTCCGGCGTCTGATAGGCCAGCAACAGCTTCGGCGCGCCGCCGCTGTTGAAGGGCAGGGTTCCGCCGACGGCCCACCAGCGCACTTCCATCCCCGTCATGTCATGGATTCGGTCCAGACACAGCGCCGAGCGGTCATGAAAAACCGACAGGAACATCGTCATGTGCAGTTCGTGCGCCAGCTCGGTCAGGACAGGCACGGCAACCGACCGCAGGTCGAAATGGTCGACGACGTTCGATGCCAGAACGCGAATGACCCTTCCGAGCCCGTAACGCTGGGTCACGGGGTCCTGAACCACGAACCCGCACCCGATCAGCGTAACCAGGATGCGTCGTGTGGTGCCTTTGTCCAGCCCCGTTGCCGCGGCGATCTCCGCCAGCGATTGCAAAGGCTTGTCCGTGAACGACTGCAAAATGCTGGCTGCACGGACAACGGCCCGTACGTTCATGGCCGAGGGATCGGCCGCTTTTCTTTGTGTCACCCTTCAACCCCATTCCTATTCTTGCGCGTTACGGCGCCTCTGTTGACCGGAGACCTTACGGCAAGGTCGCTGTCATCGTCATCCTCGCATAGCGTTTCATAGAATGAAATAGATTTTGGCTGTTGACACGATTTGATGAAGCTGTTTTGCTCAGGCCTGTCGTGACAACCGCCTTGGGAGGGGATTTGTGGCTGGCTGGAGCATCGCAGACGTGACGGTTGAGCGGATCGAGGAGTTTTCCTCGCCCGGCTTCCCGCCGCAGATGCAGTTTCCCGACTACACCCCGGCGATCTTCGACCGTCACCCCGAATTGCGGCAGATCGACCGGATCGACCCCGAGACCGGCAACACGTTCGCGTCCATCCATGCCTGGCTGGTTCGGGCGCACGGCGAGATCATTCTGGTCGACACGGCCAGCGGCAACGCCAAGAGCCGCACCGATCCGAAGTTTGCCCGTTTTCATATGCTCGACACCGATTTCATCGGCCGGCTTGCCGATGCCGGCGTGAAGCCCGAGGACGTCACCTGCGTGATCAACACGCACATGCATGTCGATCACTCGGGCTGGAACACCCGGTTCGAAGACGGGCGCTGGGTTCCGACGTTTCCCAACGCAACCTACGTTTTCGGAGCCGCCGAATACCGCAATTGGCAGCCGGGCGGCGTCACCGCGACCGCTCAGCCCGAGGGCGTTCCCGTCATCGAGGACAGCATCGAGCCGGTCGTCGACGCCGGCCTTGTCCGCTGGGTCGGCGATGGCGACGAACTGCTGCCCGGATTCACGTTTCACGCCGCTCCCGGCCATACCAGCGGCCAGCTTGTCCTGCGGGTGCATTCCGGCGGCCAATCCGGCTGGTTCACAGGCGACGTCATGCATCGCGCCATGCAGGTGTTCGAGCCGGATCTGAACTGTTTTCTGTGCGAGGACAACGATCAGGCGCCGCTCACGCGTGCCCGCCTCCTCGAGGTTCTGGCGTCCGAAGACGCTCTGATCTTTCCCGCTCATTTCGACCGGCCGCATGCCGGCCGCATCGCCCATCGAGGCGATGGCGGCTTCCGTTTCGAGCCGGTTTCGCCGTCCGACAAGAAGGGCCCAATCCAATGAACGAACATGTCGATATCGCCGGCGGGCGCCATCCGGGCGTCGCGGCGCTGCAGGACGCTCTGGGCGGCAAGGTCAGGGCCGATGACCAGACGAGGGACTTCTATGCCAATGACGTCTTCTGGCAGCCCGGCATTCGGCCGCTGGCCATCGTGTTTCCGTCATCGGCCGGCGATGCAGCGGCCGCTGTCCGCATCGCGGCCGACAATGGCATCGCCGTCGTGCCCCGCGGTGGCGGCATGTCCTACACCAAGGGTTACCTGCCTGCCGTCGAAGACGCCATCGTCATCGATGCCTGCGATCTCGACAGCGTCATTGAGGTCAACACCGATGACCTCTACGTCACGGTGGAGGCCGGATGCACCTGGGCCGACCTCGACAAGGCCTTGGAGGGAACCGGTCTGCGTACCGGCTATTGGGGACCGTTGTCCGGCATCAACGCGACGGTCGGCGGCGCCCTGTCACAGAACAGCGCCTTTTTCGGCTCCACGCTCAACGCCACCGTCGCCGAATCGGTGATCGGCCTGTCGGTCGTCTTGCCCGACGGCACGTTGGTGACCACCGGCTCGGGCGGCCGCCGGGACACCAAGCCGTTCACCCGTGAGGGCGGCCCGGACCTGACCGGCCTTTTCCTGGGCGATACCGGCGCGCTGGGTTTCAAGACCGCGGCGACCCTGCGTCTTTGGCCGAAGCCGCAAGCGGTCGGTTTTCTGTCGTTCGGCTTCCGGTCGATGGCGGACATGGCCGGCGCACAAGTGGCCATGGCCCGCGAGCGGCTGGTTTCGGAGGGGTTTGGCATCGACAGGACCAAGGCGTCCCATTCGGCCAGCGTCAACCGCATCTCGGACGGCTTGAAGGTGCTCGGCAACGTCGCCAAGACCGGCAAGACGCTGATGGGCGGCATCAAGGATGCCGCGGCGGTGGCCGCCGGAGGCACGTCGTTTCTCAAGAAGCATGAATTCACGCTGCATCTGGTGCTCGAGGCACGCAACGACGACGAACTCGCAGTCTCCATGGCGCGCGCGCGCGAAATATGCGCCGACGCCGGCACCGAGCTCGACCCGTCCGTGCCGCGCGTCATGCGGTCCAAGCCGTTCGGTCCGGTGCGCGGCATGCTCGGCTTGAACGGCGAGCGCTGGGTGCCGATCCACGCGGTCTTCCCGATGGGTGACTGGCGGAAAGTCGTTGAGGCCAACGACGCCTTCTTCGCCGAAAGGAAGCCGTTCATGGACGAGCACGGCATCGTCTATTCGGTGATGAGCCTGACCGTGGGCAACGAGTTTTTCATCGAGCCTGCCTTCTACTGGCATGACGAGATCACCCCGTTGCACGTCCAGAGCGTCGGCGAGGACATCACCAGGCCCTGGCTGGATCGTCCGGCAAATCCGGCCGCGCGCCAGGCCGTTGCCGAACTGCGGGACGCCACCCAGCAGCTCTACATCAGCCTGGGCGGTGTGAACTGGCAGGTCGCCCGCGATTATCCGTTCCGCTCGGTGCTGAACCCGCCGACATGGGATTTGCTGTCGGCGATCAAGCGGTCGGTCGACCCGAACGGCATCATGAACCCGGGCTCGCTGGGCCTGGCCGATCCGTCGCAATCAAACTGAACAACCGGCTGCGTTGGGAGAGCGGAAGTGGGCTTGACGATCACTGAAAAGATACTGGCACGCGCCGCGGGACTGGAGAGCGTGCGCGCGGGCGACGAGATCATGGCCAAGCCCGACTTCGTGCTGGCCTATGACTTCCCCGGCTACACCGACGTCTATTTCCGGCAGATGAAGGAAGAGTTCGGCATCGACAAGGTCGCCGAGCCGGAGCGCTACGGGATCTTCATCGACCACATGGTCCCGGTCGCGACGCCCAAGGAAGAAGAACTGCACAAGGGCACGCGCCAATGGTGCGCCGACAATGGCGTCGCGCTCTATGAACGAAAGGGTATCGGCCACCAGGTCGCCGCCGAGGTCGGCTATGCGACCCCCGGCGCCTTCGTCGTCCATTTTGACGGCCATATCAGCCAGCTCGGAACGTTCGGCACGCTGGCGATCGGCATGCGGCGCAATGTCCTTGAGGCCTTCGTGCGTGAAAAGGTGTCGATCAAGGTTCCCGAGACGGTGCGCGTCAACCTGCATGGCACGCTGAGGCCCGGCGTCATGGCGCGCGATGTGTTCCACCACATCGTGCGCGTCCTGGGACCCTCCTCTTGCCGGTTTCAGGTGCTCGAACTCGGCGGCGACGGGCTCGACGGGCTGACAACCGAAGGCATTCAGTCGATCACCTGTCTGGCCATGTTCACCGGCGCGCTGACCGCGATCGTCAACCCCGAGGGCGAGCGGCTCGACTACGCGCTGGAACGCGCCAAGAAGCAGCTCGAACCCGTTCGCAGCGATCCCGATGCGAACTACTCCGCTGTCCACGAGATCGAACTCGGTGATCTGGAGCCGATCATCGTTGTGCCGCCGACGCCGGCCAACACGCGCAACCTGTCGGAATTTGTCGGGCTGGACGTCCAGTCCGGCTATCTGGGCTCGTGTGCATCCGGTCGCCTCGAAGACATCGAGGTCGCGGCGAAGATCCTCAAGGGCCGTCAGGTTCGCCAGGGGTTCATGCTGCACGTCATTCCCACCAGCCACGAGATCATGGCCGAAGCCGGACGCCGCGGTTACATCTCGACGCTCGCCGAAGCCGGCGCCTACGTCTCAACGTCAAGCTGCGACTTCTGCTACGGCAGGATCGCCACCATGACCGAAGGGCAGCGCGCCGTCTCGACGGGGACGCTGAACGTCAAGGGCCGCATGGGCAGCCCCGATTCCGAAATCTATCTGTGCAACGCCGCCACCGTCGCCGCCTCGGCGATCGAGGGGCGCATTGCCGACCCGCGCAAGTACATGTGAGGCGACCATGGCGTTGAGGAACCTGCATGGCCGCGTTGCCTTCGTCTTCGACGAGGACGATTTCGATGTCGATCAGATCGTCGGCGTCAAGAACATCAAGATCCAGGATCTGGACGAACTCGCCGCGCTCGCCATGACGTCCTACGACCCGGACTTCGCCGCCCGGGTCCGGCCAGGCGATCTGATCGTCGGCGGTCACAATTTCGGTTACGGCCATCCGCACTATCCGCCGATGAAGGCGCTGCGGCATCTGGGGATCGCCGGCGTGATCGCGGAATCGTTTTCGCCCGGCTACTGGCGTGGCGAGATATCGATGGGATTTCCCCAGGTCGGTTGCCCCGGCATCCGCTCATTCGTCGACCGCTGGGACGAGATTGAAGTCGACTGGCGCGCCGTGCGCATTCGCAACATCACCCAGGGAACCGAAACCGGGTTCGAGCCGCTTGCGCACGCCGACGTCGCCATGCTCGAGGCCGGCGGACTGCTTGGATACCTCAAGCGAGAGGCGGAGGAAAACGCGTCATGAACGTCATCAATACGCCAGGCGCGGCACCAACGGATTGGGCCGACCGGGTCAGATCGCATAAGACGGTTTGGGCGGCCGGCGCATACGACGCCATGTCAGCGCGCCTCATCGAGGAAGCCGGCTTCGATGCCGTGATGACATCGGGCTTCGGTATTTCGGCTTCTTTCCTCGGCGAACCGGATGCCGAACTCTACACGATGACGGAAAACCTGACCGTCGTGCGCAATGTCGCCGGCGCGATCGATGTGCCGCTTGTTGCCGATATCGACACCGGCTACGGCAACGCCATCAACGTCATGCGCACCGTTCGCGAGTTTGAGGCCGCCGGCGCAAGCGCGGTCATTCTGGAGGATCAGCTCGCGCCCAAGCGCTGTCCGATCTGCGTGGGCGGTGTCGAGGTGATTTCCAGCGAGGAGGCCGAGGCCAAGATCGCCGCCGCCGCGGCCGCGCGGCGCAACCCCGATACGCTGATCGTCGCGCGCACCGACGTCGTCGACCCGGCCGAGGCGATCGCCCGCGGCAAGGCCTATGTAGCCGCCGGCGCCGACATCATTCAGCCTATCTCCAAGTGCTTCAGCTCGATCGACGGCCTGCGGGCCATGCGGGAAGGCTGCGGCGTACCCTTGTCGTTGCAGCTTCTGGGCTGGCTGGAAAAGGACCTGTCGCCAGACGAGGTCGCCGAGGTCGCGGGACTTGCCACATTTCCGCTTGTGCCGCTGATGACCGCCGCCAAGGCGTTGCGCGAGAACCTCGAAGTGCTTGCCCGTGACCGAAGCGCCGCCGCGCTGCCCCGCCCGGTCGTTGCGCACAATGATTTCATCGATTTCATCGGCTTTCCGCAGATCGAGGAACTGCAGATGAAGTATCTCAAAGACAGACCATAACCACTTGATTTACAAGGGAGGAAACCCATGAGACTCCAATCGATCCTTGCCGCCACGACGGCCGCATTCATCGCCGCCGGAACGATGGCCGTTCAGGCCCAGGAGGAGCCCGTCCGCATTGCCGCAATCGCGCCGTTGTCGGGGCCGGGCGCGTTCGACGGCCAACTCGCCGTCGAGGGCATGGAAGCCATGGTCGCCATCGTCAACGAAAATGGCGGTGTGCTGGATGGACGGATGCTCGAACTTGTCACCTATGATGACAAGGGAAGCCCCGAAGAAGGCGTCAGCGCGGCCAAGCGCGCCATCGAACAGGACGATGTCGATGTCATCGTCGGGGGATGGTTCTCGTCGGTGGCCCTGACGATGAAGGAGGTCACGCGGGATCGTATTCTGACCATCATGACCACATCCCAGCATCCCGACACGACGCGCGAAGGTCATGACTGGCTGTTTCGTCTCAATGCAACATCGACCATGATGTCCGGCGCCTATTCGCAATTCATCTGCGACCGGATGGACCTGGAGAGCATCGCCTTCATCACCATCAATGACGACTATGGCCGTCTTGAAGTCGAGAACTATGAAAAGCTGCTCAGCGAATGCGGCATCGAGGTGCTCGGCAATGAGTACTACAACAAGGACGACGCCGATTTCACCACCGCGCTGACCAAGTTGCGTGCCGCCAATCCCGATGCGATCTACGTATCGGCGATCAATACGGCGCAGGGCGCGACCATCTACCGGCAGATCCGCCAGGTCGGCTATCGCGGCACGACCATTGCGTCCGCCGGCAACATGAACCCCAAGCTGGTCGAGCTTTCGGGCCCGGCACTGGAGGGCGTGTACTCGGTTTCGCTGTTTGCCCCCGACAGCCAGGACCCCGAGCTTCTCGCATGGGTCGCCAAATATGAAGAGATGTTCGACAACGAACCCTCCTTCATCGGCTCGATCGGCGCGCAATCCATCGAAGTCCTCGCCGAAGCGATCGATGCGGCCGGGACGGTCCGCGACTATGGCGAACTGGCCGAGACGATCCGCGGCAACGAATGGGACACGCTTTTGGGCAACGTGACATTCGATGATATCGGCCAGGCAGAGCAGAACATCTACCTGATCCAGATTCAGGACGGCAAGATCGCCTCGGTGAACTGACGTTCCTCCCGGCGGGTCCGCGGCATCGCCGCGGGCCCGCATCCATCCATTTGCCGCAGACGGCCATAACCAACAGGAAGATCGGTAACGCCCATGGAGATGGAGCTTGTCCTTCTCACGCAGCAGATCATGAACGGGCTGGTCAACGGGATGACATATGTCCTCATCGCGACCGGCCTGACCCTGGTCTTCGGCGTTTTGCACATCATCAATTTCGCGCATGGCGAGTTCTACATGCTCGGCGCCTTCTTCACCTTCTTTGCCGCAAAGCTTTTGGGTCTCGACTACATATCGGCCGGCATCGTCGCCACGCTGGGTGTGGCGGTGCTCGGCATACTGGCGAACCGCTTCTTCTTCTGGCCGTTGCGCAAGGAGCATGAATTCACTGTCCTGCTCTCGAGCCTTGGCCTTGCGCTTCTGCTGACCAATGGCGGTGAACTGATCTTCGGCGCCGATCCGAAATATGTCGCAAGCCCGTTCGCGGACGGCATCGTTCCCCTGGGGCCGGTGATTGTCACCCAGCAACGCATGCTCATCTTCGCCGTCGGCGCGCTCGTTCTGGTGCTGCTCTACCTGTTCATCCAGAAAACCCGCATGGGCAAGATGATGCGCGCCACGGCGCAAAATCCGGAAGGCGCGGCGCTGACCGGCGTCGACATCCGGCGTGTCTACACCGTCACCTTCATGGTCGCCTGCGGACTGGCCGCCCTTGCCGGAGCACTCGTTGGACCCACGGCGATGATCTTTCCCACGGTTGGCACCTGGGCCGTTCTCAAAGGGTTCATCGTCGTCGTCCTGGGCGGTCTTGGCAGCATACCAGGCGCCTTGATCGGCGGGCTGATCCTCGGCGTCGTCGAGGCGCTGGCCGGCGGTTACATCTCGATGGGCTTCGCGCAGGCGATCGGCTTTTCCATCATCATCGTTGTGCTGCTCTGGCGGCCCAACGGCCTGTTCGGCGCCGCGCGGAGGGCCTGACCATGATGGCGCGTTTTCTTCCCATCCTCGCCGTGGCGGCGGCGCTCGTTCTGCCGCTGGCCACGTCCAACACCTATTTCCACCATCTGCTGGTTCTGTGGATGCTGTATTCGCTGCTGGCGCTCAGCCTCAACATCATCGTCGGCTATATCGGCGAACTGAGCTTCGGCCATGCCGCCTTCTTCGGAATCGGCGCCTATACGGCCGCCATTCTGGGGATGAACTTCGGTTTCCCCGGCTTTCCGGGCCTGCTGATGGCCGGCATCGTCGCCGGCGCGTTCGGCTTCGTCATCGGCTATGTCGCGTTGCGCATCGAGGGCCCGCAATTCGTCATTCTCACGCTCGGGTTCGGCTCGATCATCTTCACGACGACCAACTACTGGGTCGACCTGACGCGCGGCCCGATGGGGATCTCCAACATCGCGCCGCTGGGCGTCGGCGCGGGTTTCGAGCTGTCCTCGGCGCTCGACTATTACTATCTTTCGCTGCTGCTCGTGGTGGCCTTTGCCTACGCATGCCATGCGCTCATGCTGAGCCGCACAGGCAGGGCCTTCATCGCCGTACGCGAGAATGCCCAGCTTGCCGCTTCGCTGGGCGTCGATGTCTTCCGCACCAAGCTGCTGGCATTTGTCGTCGCCACCGCCGTTGCCGGCGTTGCCGGCGCGATCTTCGCCCACTACCTGACGGTCATCACGCCGGAAGTGATGAGTCTGAACTACATGGTCGCGATCCTGATCATGGTGATCGTTGGCGGGCGCGGCACCATCGCCGGGCCCATCCTCGGCGCACTCATCTATGTGGGGCTGCTGGAACTCCTGCGCGCGACGGGTGCATTGCGGATGGTCATTTTCGCAGCGCTGCTGACGGTTTCGGTGATCTTCCTTCCCGGCGGGCTTGTCAGTCTGTGGCGCCGCTTTGCGGACAGGTCCACCGTGCGGACAGCACGCCAGGCACAGGTGGAGGCGGGCGAATGACGATCCTTTCTGTCAACACGCTGACCAAGAAGTTCGGTGGCCTGACCGCCGTTTCCGATGTCGATTTCGAGGTCCAGCCGGGCGAAATCCTGGGCATAATCGGTCCCAATGGGGCCGGCAAGACGACCCTGTTCAACATGCTGGCCGGCTCGATGCAGCCCACATCCGGAACCGTCCACCTCAAGGGGCAGAACATCACCGGAATGCGCGCCGACCGGATTGCCAGGCTGGGCGTCGCACGAACGTTCCAGATCACCAGCCTTTTTCCGGCGCTGTCGGCCCATGACAATGTCCGGGCCGCGACCTATCGCACCAAGAAGACCGGCTGGATGGCGTCGATCCTCAGGACCGCCACCTATCGCGCCGAGGAAGCCGATGTCGACCGGGACGCGATGGCGGCGTTGCACTTCTGCGATCTGGCCGGCCACGCGGACGACAACGCCGAATCGCTGTCCTATGGCGATCAACGCCGGCTGGAAATCGCCATCGCCCTGGCCGCCAAACCGGCCCTTCTTCTGCTGGACGAGCCGGCCGCCGGCATGAACCCCGAGGAGGGACAGCGGCTGGTGAACATGATCCGCAAGATCCGCGACAATGGAACGTCTGTCCTGCTCGTTGAGCATCACATGCGCGTCGTCATGGGCGTCTGCGACCGTGTGGTCGTGCTCGATCATGGTGAGAAGATTGCCGAAGGCACGCCCGCCGCGGTGGTCGACAATCCGGACGTGATCCGCGTCTATCTGGGACGGGAGGCGGTCAGTGCTTGAACTGCGCGACATCAATGTGAGCTATGGCCGCAGGGCGGTCATCCACGATCTCTGCATTACGGTTCCCGATGGCAAAGTGGTCACGCTGGTTGGCTCGAACGGTGCCGGCAAGACGACCGTCCTGAAAACCATATCCGGGCTTGTCCGGCCGACGTCGGGCACGATCATGTTCGATGGCAAGCCCATCGAACGCATGGAGCCGCACGACATCATCTCGACAGGTGTTGTTCAGATTCCCGAAGGGCGACTGCTGTTCAAGGACATGAGCGTGGCCGAGCATATCGAGCTGGGCGGCATCCGTGCCCACAGCGGCGGCCGCACCGAGGCCGAGCGTCTTGCCTGGGTCTACGAGCTTTTTCCGATCCTTCGGGAACGCCGCGAGCAGAAGGCGGGTACGCTGTCGGGCGGCCAGCAGCAGATGCTTGCGATCGCGCGCGGCATCATGGCCAATCCGCGCTGCCTGATGCTCGACGAGCCCTCGCTCGGTCTCGCGCCGATCATGGTCGATCAATTGGCCGATGCGATCCGGGCACTCAACCAGAACGGCATCACCATTTTGTTGGTCGAACAGCGCGTGGACCTGGCGCTCCGCCTTGCCGACCGCGGATATGTTCTCGAAACCGGCCGGATCGTGATCGAGGACGCGGCGGACAGCCTGCTCGAGAACCCGCGCGTCAAGGAGGCCTACCTTGGCGCGTGAGCCCGGTCTCCGGCCGCATTACGTGACGACATCGCGCGGCCAGATAAGGCTTTGGCTCAACGGCGAGGGGCCCAATCTTGTCGTATTGCCCGGCTTGGTCCGGTCGGCGCAATCGGTCGCCAAAACCCTTGCTCACTGCATTCCGGGCTGGCGCGTGATTGCCGTCGAGATGCCCGGCACCGGCTATTCGTCCGGCGTTGCGCCGCGAACCGTCGAGGACATGGCCGAAAGCGTGGCGGAGGCGTTGGCCTGGCTCGGCGACGAACCCTGCGTCATTGCCGGCCATGATCTTGCCGCACCGGTCTGTGCCCGGCTGCTGAGCCTGGGACAGTTCGATGCGCGCGCCGGCTTCGCCATCGACCGTTGGTCGGCCAGCGGCTGGAAGCGGTCGGCCGTGATGCCGCCGGACCTGTCGCTGCGCGGCGACGGCACGCATCTGATCGCGCTTTGGTCCTTCATCCGGGACCGGCATTTGCTCGTGCCGGACAATCCGTCATTGCCTGCCGCCGACGGCGGACCGGTTCCCGCCGTCGAGGAACTGTCCGACGCGTTCATCGGCGCAGCCCAGCACCTGGAAGGTTATGCGGCGGCGTGGGCCATGTGTGCCGATGCGGTCGAGGAGGCGGACAACCTTGCCGATGTTCGCGACGCGGCCGGCCTTGCCGGAGCGTTGCAAGCACTGCAACTGCCAGACGGCGTGGCGCTCCCGCCGCCGGCCGAGGCGTTGCCGGCACCGTCCATCTGGTATGACTATGTCGAGACGGCGCGCGGCCGCATTCACCTGCGCCGGGCCGGAGCCGAAGGCGACCCGCTCCTGGTCATCCCCACCGGAGGCGGTTCATCGGCGCAGTTCGCACCGGTCATCACCGGGCTTGCGCAAGGCCGGCGGGTTTTTGCCGTCGACTATCCCGGCAACGGGCTTTCAGCCCCGCCCGCCGGCGAGGTGAGCACGGCCACGCTGGCACAAGACATGCTGGCCCTTCTCGATGCGATGGGGATCGACCAGGCGGACGTCTGGGGCTCGCATACCGGATCGCTGGTGGCACTCGAAATGGCGGTGATCGCGCCCGAAAGGGTCGGGCGCATCGTGATGGAAGGGCCGGTCTTCATCGCGCCCGATTTCCAGACCGACCTGTTGACGAACTATTTTCTCGATTTCACGCCGGACAAATGGGGGCAGCACCTGCTGGCCATCTGGAACTGGCGCCGCGACATGTTCATGTATTGGCCCTGGTACAATGTCGAGCGTTCCGCCGCCAGGAAGCTTGGTGTTCCGGCCGCCGGCGACTTGCATCTTTACGCGCTCGGCATTGTCGAAAGCGGTCCGACTTACGACCGGGCGTACCGGACTGCGTTCAGTTACGATACCCGTGCCAGACTGCCCGAACTCTCCCGCCCGGCTCTTGTCTGCGCCGGGCCGAACGACCAGCTCAAGAATGGATTGACCGAAGCGCGGCCGGTCGCGCCGGCTGGTCTGGTGAGCTACGCCGAGACGCCGACGACGGTCTGGTGGCCCGATCCGGATCCAGACGAGGCGCGACAGACGCTCGCCGTCTACGATCGGTTCCTTCGGGAAGGAGCAGCCGATAACATGGAGCCCGGCGCTTCCTGACCGCGCGTTGAGGGACAGGCAGACTGTTCTGAATGCCGGTTGACCCGCGCACCGAAAACCCATATCGCAGCAACGCGATAGGCGCGTTGGCCGGCCTCGTGGCGGAGTGGTTACGCAGAGGACTGCAAATCCTTGTACCCCGGTTCGATTCCGGGCGAGGCCTCCATCCCTTCCGTGCGCGGCGAACCGTGCCCCTGGGCCGGTGATCCGGCAGGCGGTTGGCGTTCACGCGCGCAATGCCTGAAACGGGACGATTGAGATGGGCCAGGATTTCACCGAACTGCGACGCGCGATGGTCGACAGCCAGGTCCGGCCGAGCGATGTGACCGACATTGCGATCATCGAGGCGATGCTGACCGTGCCGCGCGAGGCCTTCGTGCCGGCCCGTCAGCGCCCGTTCGCCTATATCGACGACGATATCGAGCTCAATGAGGGCGCCGACGTGCCGCGCTACATGATGGACCCGGCGCCGTTCGCCCGGCTCGTCCAGCTTGCCGATCCGCGGCCGTCGGACCTGGTCCTCGATGTCGGCTGCGGCCTTGGCTATTCATCGGCGATCCTGTCGCGCCTCAGCGGCGCGGTGATTGCGCTTGAAAGCGACGAGGCACTCGCCGCCCGGGCCACCGAAACGCTCGGCGACAACGGTTTTGACAGCGTTGCCGTCGTACCCGGCCCGCTCAATGAAGGGCTTGTCGGCGAGGGACCCTACGATGTGATCTTCATGGCCGGCGCGGTCGATTTCGTTCCTTCCGCGCTGCTCGACCAGCTCAAGCCGGGCGGCCGTCTGGTCGTCGTCGAAGGCCATGGTCCGACCGGCTTCGCGGTGCTGCACATTCGCGACGATGAGGGCGTCCTGTCGCATCGACGGGCTTTCAATGTCTCGGCCAAGCCCTTGCCGGGCTTTGCCAAGGAGCCCGAATTCGCCTTCTGAGCGATTGGGTGACGCGGGCGTTGCCGATCAGCAACAGGGCCCCCAAAAGCCGGAACGTTATATTTTGTTAACTTGCCGGGTCCCGGCCGGCACTTCTAATTGGATGCCGAGTATTTATGTTCGCCAGAGCGGACGTGGGTGGGCCGAGCGCGAACAGGAGACGTTCATGCGTCGAGTTTGGATTACGGGTATGGTGGCGTTGTCCGTTTTGGCGGTGCCCGTGTCCGGTTGGGCGGCCGATACCATCCATGGCGCGCTCGCCAAGGCGTATGAGAACAATGCGCAGCTCAATTCGGCGCGTGCCGGCCTGAGGGCCACCGATGAGGGTGTTCCGCTGGCCAAGTCGGGCATGCGTCCCCGCGTCACGGGCACGTCCGGCATCGTCTATTCGTCGGATTCGCGCGGCGGACCGGCAACCGGTCGCGGCCAGTCGCAGGTCAGCTTCGGCATCGAGATCAATCAGGCGATCTTCGACGGCTTCCAGACCCGCAACAATGTCCAGGCGGCGGAAGCCGGCGTGCGCGCCGAGCGGCAGAACCTGCGCAACACAGAGCAGAACGTGCTGTTCGACACCGCCCAGGCCTATATGGATGTCGTCCAGAACCGCCAGATCGCGTCTCTCAGGGCCCGCAACCTGGAGTTCCTGCAGGAGCAGCTTCGCGCAGCCCGCGCGCGTTTCGAGGTTGGCGAGGGCACGCGCACCGATGTCGCCCAGGCCGAGGCGAGCCTTGCCGGCGCCCGCGCGCAATTGACCGCCGCGCGCGCAGCGGTCGGCTCCAGCGAAGCGGTTTATCGTCAGCTGACCGGGGTCAATCCCGGCGCGCTGTCGCCGGCCCAGCCGCTGTCGCGCCTGCTGCCGGGATCGCTCGATGGCGCCTATTCGACCGCCTTTGCCCATCATCCGGCGATCAAGGTGCGCGATGCGCTGGTCGATTCCAGCCTCTTCAGCGTCAAGGCCGCCGAAGGCGCCTTCCTGCCGCAGATCGGTGTGAGCGCGTCTCTCTCGCAGGCCACGACTTCGACGAGCCGGGGCAGCACCTCCGGAACCGCCGCCTCGATCGGCGCGCAGCTCACCGTACCCATCTATCAGGGGGGGCAGGCGAGCGCGACCGTGCGTCAGCGCAAGGAACAGCTTGGACAGGCCCGGATCGACATCGACGTGGCGCGCGATCAGGTCCGCGCCGCGGTCGCCTCGGCCTGGACCCAGCTCGAGGCCTCGCGCGCCTCGCTCAGCGCCAACCAGGAATCGGTGCGCGCTTCGCAACTGGCGCTCAACGGCGTCATCGAAGAGCGCAATGTCGGCCAGCGCACGACGCTCGACGTGCTGAACGCCCAGGCGACCGTGCTCGACGCGCAGGTCGCGCAGATCCAGGCGCAGCGCAACCTCGTCGTGTCATCCTATGCGCTGGCGTCCGCCGTCGGCCGCCTGACCGCGTCCCGCCTCGGCCTGAACGTGCGCCAGCACGATCCCGAAGAGCATTACAACGCCGTCAAGGATCTCTGGTACGGCTTGCGCACCCCCGACGGCCGCTGATCGGCGGCTGCGCATTCCTGTGAATGCCGGCGCAATCGCGTGCCCCGGGATTCTCATTGCCGGGACGGTTGGCTAATGTCGGCCCAGTGATTCGCAAATGCGCAGCGGGACGATGAACGACATGGGCCAACCCAATCCCACCAACGACCAGCCTTCGATGGACGACATTCTCTCGTCGATCCGCCGGATCATCGAGCGCAGCGACACACAGGATGCCGCTCAACGGCCGGCACCGGACCCGGCGGCCTCGACGGCAGCTGTGCCGGACGCCGCCGCCGAAGTGCCGGACGAGGAGACGGGTGCCGGACGGCCGCCGATGAGCCGCTCGGATCTGGATGATTTTGCCGAGGCGCTGGACGCCCGTGCGCCCGGAACGTTCGACGGCCGCGAGAGCGTCGTCGATACGGCAGCCGGCGACGTCAACGTTACCCCGGCCAGAGCCAACGGCAAATATGAGGCGCGCTTCTCAGAAGATGACAGCCGCGCCTTCGCCGAGGTGGCAAGCGTGCTGTCGGCCACAGCCGGTGAATTGCGCTCGGCCGGCCAGCCCGGGCCGGCGGCGGCTCCGGTCATGGTCGAGGTGCAACCGGACGAACCGCCGGCGGCGGGTGTCGTCGATGCGCGCACCGAAAGCGTGGCGGACGCAAGGGCGCTCGAACCGCTGATTTCCAGCGAGGTCAGCCGATCGGTGGAAACCTCTTTCAGCGCGCTGTCGGAGACGCTCAAGGCCCAGGCTGGCCGCGATCTCGAAGCGATGACCGAACAGATGTTGCGTCCGATGCTGGCCGAATGGCTGGATGACAATCTGCCCTCGATGGTCGAGCGGCTGGTGCGCGCCGAAATCGAACGCATCGCGCGTGGCGACCCGCGCCAGGGCTGAGCCAGCCTCCCGCCGAGCGCTTTGTTGACAGGGCCGGGCGCATCCGGTTTACAGCGGCGGGGTTTTCCCCGGCGCCAACGGAACCTTTCTCATGCTGGACAAGACATTTGACGCCTCGCGCGTCGAGCCGCGCATTGCCGAAACGTGGGACGCGGCCAACGCCTTTGCCGCCGGTGCCGGTGCGCGCGATGGCGCCGATCCCTATTGCATCGTCATTCCGCCGCCGAACGTCACCGGCTCGCTGCACATGGGCCATGCGCTCAACAACACGCTGCAGGACGTCCTGATCCGTCACCAACGCATGCTGGGCAACAATGTGCTGTGGCAGCCGGGCATGGACCATGCCGGCATCGCCACGCAAATGGTCGTCGAGCGCCAGCTTGCCGAGAGCGGCGAGAACATGACGCGGCGCGAGATGGGCCGCGAGAAGTTTGTCGAACGCGTCTGGCAGTGGAAGGACGAATCCGGCGGGCAGATCTTCAACCAGCTCAAACGGCTTGGCGCTTCCTGCGACTGGTCGCGCGAGCGTTTCACCATGGATGACGGCTTGTCGGAGGCGGTGCTCGAAGTCTTCGTGCGCCTCTACAAGGAAGGGCTGATCTATCGCGGCAAGCGGCTGGTCAACTGGGACCCGAAATTCGAGACCGCGATCTCCGACCTCGAAGTCGAGAACATCGAGGTCGACGGCCATATGTGGCACTTCAAATATCCGCTCGCGGATGGCGCGACCTATGAATATGTCGAAAAGGACGCGGACGGCAACGAGACGCTTCGCGAGACGCGCGACTATATCTCCATCGCCACGACCCGCCCCGAGACGATGCTGGGCGACGGCGCCGTCGCGGTGCATCCGTCCGACGAGCGCTATGCGCCGATCGTCGGCAAACTGTGCGAGATCCCGGTCGGCCCGAAAGAACATCGCCGCCTGATCCCGATCATCACCGACGACTATCCCGACCCCGACTTCGGTTCCGGTGCGGTGAAGATCACCGGCGCCCACGATTTCAACGACTATGACGTGGCAAAGCGCGGCTCCATCCCGATGTACCGGCTGATGGACACGAAAGCCGCCATGCGCGACGACGGCGCGCCCTATGCCGAGGCGGCGGCCATTGCCCAGGCCGTGGCGCGCGGCGAGCGCACGCTCGACGAGGCGGAAGCGGACGCGATCAACCTGGTGCCCGACGATCTGCGCGGGCTCGACCGGTTCGAGGCGCGTCAGCGCGTGATCGACCAGATCACCGGCGAGGGCCTCGCCGTGATGACCACCGACGAGGAGGGCAATGCGATCCCCTTCGTCGAGGCCAAGCGCATCATGCAGCCCTTCGGAGACCGCTCCCACGTGGTCATCGAGCCGATGCTGACCGACCAGTGGTTCGCCGACGCCAAGACGCTGGCCGAGCCTGCCATCGCCTCGGTGCGCGAGGGGCGGACCGAGTTCGTCCCCCGCAACTGGGAGAAGACCTATTTCGACTGGATGGAGAACATCCAGCCCTGGTGCGTGTCGCGCCAGCTCTGGTGGGGGCACCGCATTCCGGCCTGGTACGGGCCGGACGGAACCGTCTTCGTCGAACGCTCGCAGGACGAGGCAGAAGCCGAGGCGCGCGCCCATTACGGCGACGATGTCGATCTGAGGCGCGATCCCGACGTTCTCGACACCTGGTTCTCCTCGGCGCTGTGGCCGTTCTCGACGCTTGGCTGGCCGGACAAGACCGAGGCGCTCGACACCTGGTATCCGACCTCGGTGCTGGTCACCGGCTTCGACATCATCTTCTTCTGGGTCGCCCGGATGATGATGATGGGCCTGCACTTCATGAAGGATGATGAGGGCAGGGGGATCGAACCCTTCCACACCGTCTACGTGCATGCGCTGGTGCGCGACAAGCACGGCGCCAAGATGTCGAAGTCCAAAGGCAACGTCATCGATCCGCTGGAGCTGATCGACGACTATGGCGCGGACGCGCTGCGCTTCACGCTGGCCATCATGGCCGCCCAGGGGCGCGACGTGAAGCTCGATCCGGCGCGCATTGCCGGCTACCGCAATTTCGGCACGAAACTCTGGAACGCCACGCGCTTTGCGCAGATGAACGGCGTCGCCCACGATGCCGGCTTCCGGCCTGCCGACACCAAGCTGACCATCAACCGCTGGATCCTGACCGAGCTTGGCCGGACCATAGGCGAAGTCTCCGACGGGATCGCGACCTACCGCTTCAACGAAGCCGCCGGCGCGCTCTACAAGTTCGTCTGGAACACGTTCTGCGACTGGTATCTCGAATTGCTCAAGCCGGTCTTTACCGGAGAGGACGAGGACGCCAAGGCCGAGGCGCGCGCCTGCGCCGCGTTTGCGCTCGACGAGATCTACAAGCTGCTGCACCCGTTCATGCCGTTCATGACCGAGGAGTTGTGGGCGCTGACCGGCACGCGCGACGGGCTCCTGTGCCACGCCGCCTGGCCGGAGCCGGCGCTTGAAGACGCGGGCGCCGCCGACGAGATCAACTGGCTGGTTGACCTGGTCTCGGGCATCCGCTCGGTGCGTGCCGAGATGAACGTGCCGCCATCGGCCAAGGCACCGCTTGCCGTCGTCGGCGCAAACCAGACCACGTGCGCAAGGCTGCTCCGCCACGATCCGGCGATCAAGCAGCTTGCCAGGGCCGAGGACATTGTCATCGAGAGCGAAGCCCCCAAGGGCGCCGCCCAGATCGTCGTGCGCGAGGCCACCGTCTGCCTGCCGCTCGGCGGGCTGATCGACATCGAGGCCGAGAAGGCGCGGCTGCAAAAGGCGATCGCCAAGGCGCGCGACGAGATCGCGCGTCTGGACAAGAAGCTGGCGAACGAAAAGTTCGTCGCCAACGCCAAGCCCGAAGTGGTCGAGGCCGAGCGCGACAAACTCGCCGAAGCGAAGCCGGCGCTTGAAAAGCTCGAGGCGGCGCTGGCGCGAATCACCGACATCTGAACCGCCGCGGCGGCGCATTTACGGGCACGTAAGGGTCACTTCGCGAAAAAGGGCAAGATTGTGACGCTTTTGCAACAGTGACCGCAATGCAGGCTTGAACAGCCGCCGAGACCGCGTTTTGCTTGGAAATTCTGCGCTTTTTCGCCATCGGCGCCGGCATCGCCGCAGTTCCGCGCGACGATTTACCCGACAACGGCCGGCTTGGACTTCCGCGCAGACCGGCCGCGGCCGCCCGCTCCGCAATTGTGCTTGATCTGTCCGGCGCGTTTCGGTCAGAACGGGCAAAACACATAAGTTGGAGGGATCCCATGGTTGGGGCAGTCAAGGTTTTTCTTGCCGGTGTTGCGGGCACGGCGCTCATGGTCGCATCGGCCCAGGCCGGCGGCTTTTCGCGCGGCACGGCCGACACGGACATCCTCTTTGAAGAGGGCAATTTCAACATGCGCGCCGGCGCGACGATCGTCTCGCCGCAGCGCGGCTATTCGACGATCAATGGTGTCGCCGCGGCCGACGGCAACTACACCAACAGCTATGTCGTGCCGACCGGCGCGGTGAAGCTGAACCTGACCGACTATGCACGCTGCGCCGGCACCTACACCCAGCCCTATGGCGGCAGCTCGTCCTACGGCCCGCAGGCCATCGCCGCTGGCCTTGCCGATGGCAGCGGCCTTGTCAGCCGGCAGTTCACCACCGACGAATTCGGTCTGACCTGTGCGGCCATGTTCGACAATGTCGGCTCGTTCGGCGAAATGGGCTCCGGCCGCCTGTCGCTGATCGGCGGCGTGTTCATCGAGAACTTCAACTTCGTCGAGACCGTCCAGTTCCAGGGCGCCGTGATCACCGCCGGACTTCTGGCCGCTGGCCAGCCCGCGCTCGTCGCCGGCGCCGTCGGCGGCACGCTCAACGGCACGCAGGGCGCGCTGTCCTTCAATGGCGGATACAATCCGGGCTATCGCATCGGCCTTGCCTATGAGGTTCCCGAAATCGCCGCGCGCGTCCAGCTTCTTTACCGCAGCCAGGTGAATCACACCCCGGCCGGTACCTTCGTCACCGCAGCCGACGCGCTGGCCGGCGGATCCGGCGTCACCCGTGCCGCCGGCACGCTGCCCCAATCGCTCGAACTGCGCGCCCAGACGGGCGTTGCGCCCGGCACGCTGGTCTTCGGCTCGGTCAAATGGACCGACTGGAGCGTGCTGCAGCGGCTCAACTACACCGTCACGGGCGGCCCGCTTCCCGGCGTGCGCAACCTCGAATTCTTCTGGAAGGACGGCTGGACCGTCACCGGCGGCGTCGGCCGCGAGTTCAACGACTGGCTGTCCGGTTCGGTCAGCCTGACCTGGGATCAGGGCGTGTCGACCACCGAGGACGTGTTCACCGATACGTGGACGCTGGCGACCGGCGTCCAGATCAAGGGCGAACGGGCCTCGCTGTCGCTCGGCGGCGCGATCAGCCATCTGGCCGGCGGCGCGGTTGCCGCCGAAGCGGCGGTCGGTGCGGGCGGCCCGGGCGACACCTTCGCCTACACGGTCGGCAGCGACTGGTCGTTTGCGATCGGCGGGCGCTTCGCCGTCAACTGGTAAGTACCGGCCCGGGGGACGGGCCGCCTGACCGAACGATCGGCCCCGCGCTCCGGCGCGGGGCTTTTTCGTTGGCGTGCCGCCCCGCTGCGCTCTACGTGCGCATTGGCCCCCAGCGCAGGGCGCACGTGGGCGTCAGCCCGCGCAAGACCTTGCGCCAGGCTTTTCGGGCGAAGACCGCAAGGCCGACTGGCCGTCCGAGCCTTTGCGAGGCCCATGCGGAGGCGTTCTCCGGCAGGAGAACTGCCGTGAGCTATAGAAACGCGAACAACGGGCGATCCGGTGATCGCCATCGTGCACAAGAACAAATGCGGTCGCCGGACCGCCCGTTCGACGGGCTTGCGGTGATCGTCATGCGCAGCGCCGGCCCGGAAGATGGCTCTTTCGGGGCTGCTGTCCGGAGATGTTGTGGCACCTTCATCTGCCGCGCGGCATGACCGCCGCACCGAATCTCGGCCATCTCCGGTCAGCCGCATCCGCCCTGGCGCCGGCGGGTCATCGCCGGAACCGCGCATGCGACACGCTCCGCACCTTCATTCCGCCCTGCCGTGGGGGTTCAGCACCCAGCGGCGGAACCGCTTCCGCTACCCGACAGGCCGTCGCCGCCTTCGCGACCCGGCGGGTACACCGGGCCTGTTCCGCAAAGGCGATGGCGGCAAGGATAGGGGAGGTTGAAAGCGGTTGGATAAGTTTTTCGGGGCGGGTCGGGATCTGTGTGATCTTCTGCGCGGTCACATCTCCATTTTTCATCTTGCCCCCACCCTTCATCCCTCCCCCATGAATGTGGGAGGGAGGACCTCGACGCCCCGGCACACGCCATATGCCTTGAGCCAGGCTCTAAGCCCGGTGCGACGCACATTGCTGGTGTCCTCCCTCCCACGCTTGCGGGGGAGGGATGAAGGGTGGGGGGCAGCTTGCCTCCCCGCGCCATCATCTTCCGCTGATGGCGGAGATTGACGGAGACGGCGGCCTTTGCGCCCAACCTCCCCCTTGAGCGGAGTCCGAAGGACGGGGAGCGACGCGTGGCGCGAGCCCGAGGCGAATGGCGTGCAAAGCGCGACAGAGCCGGGCGGTGGCAATGATTGCCTGCGGTGCTTCATTGCCACCCCCACCCGATCAGCTTCCCTTCGGATCAAGTCCGAAGGTCGCTTCTCGTGCCTCCCCTCAAGGGGGAGGCGGGGTGCCTAAACGTTGGCCTCGGGGATGATCGATTGCGGTGCGGGAAAGGGCATGCGGTCTTCGGTCAGCCCGCTGGGGTGGAAGCGCACTCACCGCCGTCATTCCGGGGCTTGACCCCGGAATCCATTCCTGAGGCTTTGCACCAGGCGGGCACGACAAACCCAGCCGTCATCCTTGGGCTTGCCCCAAGGTTCCCTTCTGTTCCGGTAATGGAGCCCACCGGCGCCGCAGAACCCGCTCGTTCGTGGTCTCCGGGCACCCGCCACCCGCATCACGGAATGGATCCTCGGCTCGGAGGCCGAGGATGACGGACGAGGCGATGGCCTTGGCGGCTAAACCTCGACCTCGGCAACCATCGTTTGCGGAGCGGGAATGGGCAGACCGTCCTCGCTCAATCCATCAACGTGAAAACGGATGGCTGCGGCGATTTCGGCGCCGGCCTCGTCCGCCGTCGTGCCAGTCGCTACGCAGCCGGGTAGGTCGGGCACATAGGCCGAGAAGTTGTCTGCCGCTTGTTCGATGACGATGGCGTAGTGCATAGCAAAAGAATTCCGGCGACTAACCACTAAGTACCAGTTGACGAGTCCGGTCGCATGGCAGAACGCATGGCAAGATCTACAACGGTTGCGGATGGGGACTGGCTCGATGAACTTGACCTTGTATACCCAGAGTCTTGTGGCGAGAATATGCAAGAAGCTGCGTGTGTAAGCACGATGTCCTGTGAGCCGGCTGATCCGCTTGCGTTCACGAGAGCTTGAAAGGTCTGAAGTGCGTTCTGTCTGTGGCGGTTCACAGTCTCGTTATGACGGTGAGCAAGGAAATTTCTTGCCGACAGCAAAAGCATGTAACCCAAAACTGCAAACAGCAGGATTTTACTCGCCGTGAACGTGATCGATTCGGCAAGCGTTGCAGGCGCCAAAAAGGGTATCTTGTGCAGAAAGAAAGTTGCAATCGAATAGGCAATGATAGCGATCGCCCACCAAATCGTTTGTCTTTTCCATTTCTCAGCGGAATCAATGTGGCCGTCGGCCTCAGTTTTGAAATAGTGGGCTTGTTGAGAAACGCCCTGCTCTGCCGCTGCCGTTCTTACCTCTTCGAGGGTCGCATCTGCTTGTTCTTTGGCTTCTTCGAGTTCCGTCAAGAGCGAATTGGTTTTGTCTGTAATGGCCTGAAGGGTAGCGCGTCCCTGTTGTTCCAGCCTATTGAAGTCGACTGTCCGCGCGACTGAATAGGAGATAAACGGATGAATTTGCTTAAAAACCCCGTCGTATTGGCTTTCCAGTTGATTTATCATTTGCTCCCGCCGCGAAAGGGCCTCCGGAGCAGTGTCATCGAATTTAAGTATTTCCTCAAATCTGTTGTATAGTTGATCCGCCTCTTTCTTAATTTGATTCAGTTGAGCATCGGGGTATTCATCAAGAGCTTCCATTGGAAGCTTCTTGAATAGCGATATTATTCTATTGGCGGGCTCGACCGCTCCATCGAAAACGAAATTGACCCCCAATTCTCCGTGGCGTGGTAGCTTGCTCGTATCGAATTGCTGGATTCTTTCCAGCGAGTTTCGTGTTTCATCCAATACTGTCATGTCAATTTGCCGATCTGCTCACTTCAACGCCAGACCGCGCGCCCTTTCAGACGCGCGGCTGTTTGCGCTTGGCCTTCCAAATCAAAGTAACACTTTGATTTGATGTCAACTACACCCGCTCGTGGCCCCGCACGTGTCGCACTTCAGGCACGTGCCGTTGCGCACCATGGTGAAGTTCGAGCATTCGCCGCACATGTCGCCGGTATAGCCCTGCATCACCGCCTTCATGCGCCGTTCGGCGGCGATCTGCCTGGCATCGTCCGCGTCGGGCTTCTTGGCGGTGTCGGGCGACAGGCCGGTGGCCGCGGCGGCGGCGGCCTGCGCGGCCGCCTGGCGGTCGGCCTGGGCGTCGGTGGAGGCCTCGGCCTCGGTCTCCGCCTTGAAGGTCTCGGCGCGCTCGGCATAGTCGCGGTGGAAGGCCGACACCTCCTGCTGCTGTTCGAGCACCGGCTTTTGGGCGGTGGCGAGCGCCGTGCCGCCGGCACCGGGCGAAATCGCCGTCACATTGCTCGTGCCCGCGCCCGCCGGCGCGTTCTTGGGCGCATTGCCCGAGACGACCGACAGCTTGTGGCCGCGGGTCCAGCCGGTGGAGACGGGCTGGGTGGTGCCGCCCTCGATGCCCTTGCCGAGCGGGGTGGAGGAGAATTCCGACTGGTCGACATGGGCCAGATCGTGCCGGCCCAGATAGGAGATCGCCAGTTCGCGGAACACATAGTCGAGGATCGACGTGGCGTTCTTGATCGCATCGTTCCCCTGCACCATGCCGGCGGGCTCGAACTTGGTGAAGACGAAGGCGTCGACATATTCCTCGAGCGGCACGCCATATTGCAGGCCGAGCGACACGGAAATCGCAAAATTGTTGATCAGCGCGCGCAGGGTCGAGCCTTCCTTGTTCATGTCCAGGAAGATTTCGCCCAGCCGGCCATCGTCATATTCGCCGGTGCGCAGGAACACGGTGTGGCCGCCGATCTTGGCCTTCTGGGTGTAGCCCTTGCGGCGCGTCGGCAGCTTTTCCTGCTCGCGCACCCGCTCGATCACCTTTTCGACGATCTTCTCGGTGACCTGCACGGCGCGGGCGGCGGCGGGCGCCTCGACCAGCGCGTCGACCGCATCGTCCTCGTCCTCATCGTCCTCGATGATCGCCGAATTGAGCGGTTGCGACAGCTTCGAGCCGTCGCGATAGAGCGCGTTGGCTTTCAAAGCCAGCTTCCAGGACAGCATGTAGGCGTTCTTGCAGTCCTCGACGGTCGCCGCATTGGGCATGTTGATCGTCTTGGAGATCGCGCCCGAGATGAAGGGCTGGGCGGCGGCCATCATGCGGATGTGGCTGTCGACGGAGAGGTACCGCTTGCCGATCTTGCCGCACGGGTTGGCGCAGTCGAAAACGGGCAGGTGCTCGTCTTTGAGGTGCGGCGCACCCTCCAGCGTCATCGCGCCGCAAATGTGGATGTTGGCGGCCTCGATGTCCTTTTTCGAAAAGCCCAGCGCCGGCAGCATCTCGAAACTGAAATCGTCGAGCTGCTCGTCGGTCAGGCCCAGTGCGTCGCGGCAGAAATCCTCGCCCAGCGTGAACTTGTTGAAGGCGAACTTGATGTCGAAGGCCGAGGCCAGCGCACCGTTCACCGCTTCGATCTTCTCGTCGGTGAAGCCCTTCGATTTCAGGGACGAGGGGTTGACCGCCGGCGCTTGGTTCAGATTGCCATGGCCCACCGCATAGGCCTCGATCTCGGCGATCTCGGCTTCCGAATAGCCAAGCGTGCGCAGCGCGGCGGGCACGGCGCGGTTGATGATCTTGAAATAGCCGCCGCCGGCCAGCTTCTTGAACTTGACGAGCGCGAAGTCCGGCTCGATGCCGGTCGTGTCGCAATCCATGACCAGGCCGATCGTGCCGGTCGGCGCGATGACGGTCGCCTGCGCGTTGCGGTAGCCGTTCTTTTCGCCCAGCGCGATCGCCCGGTCCCAGGCGGCGCGGGCGCGGTCGATCAGCGTGGCATCGGGGCAGTCGCCTGCCTTCAGCGCCACCGGATTGACGGCCAGATCCTCATAGCCCTGCGTTTCGCCATAGGCGGCGCGGCGATGGTTGCGCATCACGCGCAGCATGTTCTTGGCGTTCGGCTTGTAGCCGGGGAAGGGGCCGAGTTCGCCCGCCATTTCCGCCGAGGTCGCATAGGAAACGCCGGTCATGATCGCGGTCAGCGCGCCGGCAATGGCCCGGCCCTCGTCGGAATCATACGGAATGCCCGAGCTCATCAGGAGGCCGCCAATGTTGGCATAGCCGAGACCCAGCGTCCGGTACTTGTAGGACAGTTCGGCGATCTGCCTGGACGGGAACTGCGCCATCATGACGGAAATTTCCAGAACGACCGTCCACAGCCGCACCGTGTGTTCATAGGCGGCAACGTCGATCTTCTTGGTGTCGCGGTCGGCGAACTGCATCAGGTTGAGCGAGGCCAGATTGCAGGCCGTGTCGTCCAGGAACATGTACTCCGAGCAGGGGTTGGAGCCGCGAATGCGCCCGCCCGCCGGGCAGGTGTGCCAGTCGTTCATGGTCGTGTTGTAGTGCAGGCCCGGATCGGCCGACGCCCATGCGGCATAGCCGATCTTCTCCCACAGATCGCGCGCCTTGACCGTCTCGGCGACCTTGCCGTCGATGCGGTTGATCAGGTTCCAGTCGCCATCGCTTTCGACCGTGCGCAGGAACTCGTCCGACAGCGAGACCGAATTGTTGGAGTTCTGGCCCGAGACGGTCAGATAGGCGTCCGAATCCCAATCGGTGTCGTAGGTCTTGAATTCGAGGTCCGTATAGCCCTGCCGCGCGAACTGGATGACGCGCTGAATGTAGTTTTCCGGCACCAGCGCCTTCTTGGCGGCTTTGACTTCGCGCTTCAGCGCCGGGTTCTTGTTGGGATCGAAGCAGTCGCTGTCATTGTCGGCCTCGCAATTGACGCAGGCCTTCATGATCGCGCCCATATGCCTGGCGACGGTCTTCGAGCCGGTGACGAGCGCGGCGACCTTCTGCTCCTCGCTCACCTTCCAGTCGATATATTTTTCGATGTCCGGATGGTCGATGTCGACGACCACCATTTTGGCCGCGCGGCGCGTCGTGCCGCCCGACTTGATGGCGCCCGCGGCCCGGTCGCCGATCTTCAAAAAGCTCATCAGGCCCGACGACTTGCCGCCGCCCGACAGTTTTTCGCCTTCGCCGCGCAGGTGGCTGAAATTGGTGCCGGTGCCCGACCCATATTTGAACAGGCGCGCCTCGCGCACCCAAAGGTCCATGATCCCGCCTTCGTTGACCAGATCGTCGCCGACCGACTGGATGAAGCAGGCATGGGGCTGCGGATGCTCGTAGGCCGACTTCGACTTGGTCAGCTTGCCGGTGAACGGGTCGACATAATGGTGGCCTTGGCCGGGGCCGTCGATGCCATAGGCCCAGTGCAGGCCGGTGTTGAACCATTGCGGCGAGTTGGGCGCCACGCGCTGGGTGGCCAGCATGTAGCACAATTCGTCCATGAAGGCGCGGGCATCGACTTCCGTGTCGAAATAGCCGCCCTTCCAGCCCCAATAGGTCCATGTGCCGGCGAGCCGCGTGAACACCTGGCGGGCGTCGGTTTCCGGGCCGTAGCGCTCGTCCTCGGGCAGGTCCGCCAGCGCCGCCTCATCGGCGACCGAGCGCCACAGGAAGGAGGGAACGGAGTTCTCCTCGACCTTTTTCAGGCGCGCGGGCACGCCGGCCTTGCGGAAATATTTCTGCGCCAGGATATCGGCGGCCACCTGGCTGAACTGGTCGGGCACGTCGATGTTCTCGAGCCTGAAGACCACCGAACCGTCCGGGTTCCTGATCTCGCTCGTCGCCTTGCGGAAGGCGATGTCCGCATAGGGTGACTGACCGTCCTTGGTGTAGTGCCGCTCAATGTGCATGTCGTCCCTCGTGCCCTCTATATATAGTGTCTTTTCCACAGGCCGTCACGCGGCCCGCATGATCGCAAATCGCTGCCGTCCGCCGGATCGGCTCCGGCGGCCGCATCGGCCTTGTTTCCCTTGGGTTTTCACCGTCGGGCCAAAGGCCATGTCAACCAGAAGAAATGTTCGACGTCCTGCCCGCGCGTGGCGCCGCCTGCGTCGCGACGGCTACCTTATCTTGTGGTTAGTTGGGCCGCAAACGCTAAATATTGTGTTAACAGCCATTTTTTCCCCTCGACCGAATCCCGCACCGATCTGTCCGGCGCACACGAAAACCCCCGCGCGGGTGCGACGGATGGCCGTCACTGCCGCGCCTGAAACGCCAACATGAACGCTGAAAAACCCAAGCGGTTCTGGCCCGCCGGACGTGCTCCCAATGTCGCACGAACGTCATAAAAGGCGACTCGTATCCGATGGTCAAGGGCTAGATTCAGGCAAAAGCGAAAACACAACATATAGCGGTCGTGCGCGCTGAATATCGGGGACAAGTCAGACTTTGTTAACCGGTTCGGAGTCGGGTTTGCCGCGATTCTCCGCCGTCCCGGCAGACGCCGAATGGGCCGCCGGTCAGGCCGCCATTTTCTTCCAGCCGGTGGCAAATGCGTCCAGAAGCACCTTCAGCTCGGCTTCTTCGACCATGCCGGCGGCGTCCGCGGCGGGCACCCATTTGCGCTCGCGCTCGTCCCGTTCGGGCCAGTCCTTGGCCTGACGGGTGACCGCCAGCGCGAACACATGGGTCCGGCAGGCGATCGCCTGACCGTCATCCTCGAGCTTGTCGTAATCGTAGGTGCCGACCGGCTCGCCGGTCACGTTGCCCTCGATGCCGGCTTCTTCCCAGGCTTCACGCGCGGCGGCCTCGCCCATCGATTCGCCGGTTTCGATCCATCCCTTGGGCAGGATCCAGCGACCGGTGCCGCGGCTGGTGATCAGCAGCACCTCGGCCTTCTTCTTGCCGGCCTTGCGCCAGACAAGCGCCGCGACCTGTTCGGCGCGCATGGGATCGGGCTCAGGCGCGGCGCCGATGGCCCGCCTGAGCTGGTTCAATATCCGTGAGAGCGTGCCGTTTTCGGCCATGATGTCCTTTCGGGCGCAGCGTCCCGGTCCGCGATTCGCCTCGATGATATCGCCTATTTTGCCAGATGTGCCTGCCCCGGTACCGATTCAACTGTGAATAGCCGGGATAAGGACGCAAAAGTCAGCGCGGGCGCGCGCGAATGGCGAGCACAACCGCCAGCGCGAACACGAACGCACCGCCAATGAACCACAGTCCCGGCACATTGACGATCGGATCGACCGACGAGACGTGCGCCAGCACCAGAGAGGCGAACAATGGCCCGATGACGATCGCCATCGCGTTGATCGCCTGCAGCGTGCCCTGAAGCTGGCCCTGCCGGTCGCCATCGACGCTTTTCGAGCAGATCGCCGTCAGCGCCGGCGCGCCCAACCCGTTGCCGATCACATAGAGCGCGATCAGCGGATAGACCATCCAGCCCGTGGTGGCGATGCCGTAGAGCGCCAGGGAAAGGCAGGACACCGCAAAGCCCGTGATCACCGTCGGCCAGTCTCCGATCCGGCGCACGACCGGCCCGACCAGAAACCCCTGTACGATGACATACATCACGCCGACAAAGGCCAGCGACCATGCCGCTTCGCGCAGGCCCCATCCAAAGCGGAATTCCGTGTAGAGCACCCATGTGCCCTCGAGCCCGCGCTGCGCGGTGGCGGTGATCAAAAGCGCGATCAGGAGCGGCGTCAGTGCCGGGAACCGCGCGATCTTGCGCAGGGAGCCGAGGGGATTGGCCTCGCGCCAGTCCGGCCGCGTGCGCCGGCGGTCTTCATCGAGCGACTCGGGCAGGAAGAAGAAGGCGAACACCAGGTTCAGCGCGCCCAGGCACGCCGCCGCGTAGAAGGGCAGGCGGATGTCGATTTCGCCCAGAATGCCGCCGAGCAGCGGCCCCAGGATGAAGCCGGCGCCGAACGCCGCGCCGATCAGCCCGAAGATGCGGGCCCGTTCCTCGGGTTCGGAAATGTCGGTGACATAGGCGTTTGCAGTGGTCACCGTCGCGCCGAAAATGCCGCCGACCAGCCGGGCGAAGGCAAGCCAGACAAGCGTCGGGGCGAGGGCGGCGAAGATGTAGTCGACCGTCAGCCCGGCGAGCATGACCAGCATGACCGGCCGCCGGCCGAATTTGTCGGAGATCATGCCGATCAGCGGCGAGAACAGGAACTGCGCCAGCGCGTAGATGGTGCCGATGATCGCATAGGCGGCGGCGGCATCGGAAACCGTGCCGGACCCCATTGTCTGGATGAGCTTGGGCAGGATCGGCCAGGCCAGCCCGACGCCGATCATGTTGATGACGACGGTCATCAGGATCACCGCAAGCGCCCGGCGTCTGGCCGCGGCCGTCAGGACGGGCTTGGGCGCGGGAGCATCCATGCGGGTGCTGTCAGCCCTTGCCTGCGCCGGCGATCGGTTCCTGATAGGTGAAGCCCATGTCCCAGGGGAAGAATATCCAGGTGTCCTGGCTCACTTCGGTGATGAATGTATCGACCTGGGGCATGCCCTTGGGCTTGGCATAGACGGTGGCGAAATGCGCCTTGGGAATCATCGAGCGCACCAGTTCGGCGGTTTTGCCCGTGTCGGTCAGGTCGTCGATGATCAGCACGCCTTGGCCTTCGTCCGTGAGCAGGTCCGCGCTGATTTTCTTGAGCACATTGATCTGACCCTGCGTGTCATAATCGTGATAGGAGGCGACACAGACCGTCTCGATCACCCGGATTTCCAGTTCGCGGCTGACGATGGCCGCGGGCACGAGCCCGCCGCGCGTGATGGTGACGATCGCCTTCCATTCCTTGCTCACCGACGCGACGCGCCAGGCAAGCGCGCGCGCGTCGCGATGGAACTGGTCCCAGGAAACGGGAAAGGATTTGTCGGGCAGGGCCATGGCGCGCTCCGTGCGGGTGGTTTGGTGGGCGGCAAAAAAGATGGGGTGCGATAGCCGCGCACAGCCGCAATGGCAAGCGCCGGTTGCGGGCCGCGCCCTATTCGCCCCGTGCCAGCGCGTCCAGCATGCCGCGAACATCGGCAAGCGCGGTATCCAGCACGGAGGGGTCGGCGGCGCGCACCACGATCTCGGCCCAGTGCCGTCCGTCCTCATAGCGCGGATAGGAGCCGATGATCGCATCGGGATGCTCGGCCTGGATCGCGCCGAGCGGCGCGCCGATCACCCCTTCGCCGAACGGGCACTCGATGCTGTCCGAAAGGAGCTTGCGGCCCGTGCGCAGGCTCGGCAGCACGTTGTCGAGCATGGCCTGGAAGATTGCCGGCACGCCCGCCAGCACATGCACGTTGCCGATCAGAAAGCCCGGCGCCGTGGTGACCGGATTGTCGATCAGGACAGCCCCCTCGGGCACCCGCGCCATGCGCCGGCGCGCCGCCGTGAACTCCTGTCCGCGCCTGGCGTAATGATCGGTCAGCATCGCCAAGGCGGCCGGATCGGGCTCGACCGGCAAGCCGAACGCGGCGCCGACCGCATCGGCGGTGATGTCGTCATGGGTCGGCCCGATGCCGCCCGAGGTGAACACATAGGTGTATCGCGCGCGCAGCACGTTCACCGCCTCGATGATCGCAGCCTTGTCGTCGCCGACCACGCGGATTTCGCGCAGATCGATGCCGACGCCGGTCAGAACCCGCGCCAGATGGTGCGCGTTGGCCTCGCGCGTGCGCCCCGAAAGGATCTCGTCGCCGATGACGATCATGGCGGCGGTGACGATTGTGTCGCTCATCGTAGCAGGTCCGGCTTTCCATTGGCGTTCTACAGCGCGCGGTCCCCGCCATCAATCGCGCCGTGATGGTGAACGCTGTGTCGCGCGATTGGCGGCTTTCGCGGGCGCGGGTCTTGGGCTTGTGTGCGCCGCAAATGCAACCCGATGGAGACCATCCGATGACCAAGGTTCTGGTGCTGTACTATTCGAGCTGGGGACACATGGAGGCCATGGCGCAGGCGGCGGCCGAAGGCGCGAAGGCCGCCGGCGCCGATGTCGCCGTCAAGCGCGTGCCCGAACTCGTGCCCGAGGACGTCGCAAAGGCCGCGCACTACAAGCTCGACCAGGACGCGCCGGTCGCCGAGCCGCTGGAGCTCGCCGATTACGACGCGATCATATTCGGCGTCTCGACGCGCTACGGCATGATGGCCGCGCAGCTGAAGAACTTCCTCGACCAGACCGGGCCGCTGTGGATGGAAGGAAAGCTGATCAACAAGGTGGCCTCGGTCATGTCATCGACCGCCACGCAGCATGGCGGCGCCGAACTGGCGATCCTGACGACGCAGGCCGCTCTGCAGCATCACGGCATGATCATCGTGCCGCTGTCCTATGCCTATCAGGACCAGATGGGCAATGATGTGGTGCGCGGCGGCTCGCCCTACGGCATGACGACGACGTCCAATGGCGACGGTTCGCGCATGCCCTCCGACCAGGAACTCGAAGGCGCCCGCTTCCAGGGACAGCGCGTCGCCGAGATTGCCGCCAAGCTCGCCGGCTGACCGGCCGCGACCGATCCTGCCGTAAACGGAGACACGCGGCCGCGCCCGGGCCCCACGGTCGCCAGGCCATGGACAAACCGGGCGCGGTACGGCAGACCGGCGGCACGCGGCTCCCGCGCGAGCAACCCGAACCGGTACGGCAGGTCATGACATATCAGCAACGGCTCGACTTCGCGCTCGAGGTCGCCCGTGCGGCGGGCGATTTCGCCGCCGGGCATTTCCGGTCCATCGATTCGCTTTCCATCGAAAGCAAGGGGCACCAGGATCTGGTCTCCAACGCCGACAAGGAAACCGAGACGCTGGTGCGCGACGCGATCGAGGCGCGCTGGCCCGATGACGGCATTGTCGGCGAGGAGCATGGCCGAAAGCATGGCACGAGCGGCTTCGACTGGGTGATCGATCCGATCGACGGCACCGCCAATTTCGTGCGCGGTATTCCGCAATGGTGCGTGGCGATCGCCTGCACCGAACATGGCCTGCCGGTCGTCGGCGTCATCAACGAGCCGTCTTCGGGCGAGATGTTCCATGCCGTGCGCGGCGGAGGCGCCTTCGTCAATGGCAAGCCGATGCAGGTGGCTCAGGCCTTCGGACTGTCCGACGGATCGGTCGGCGCCGGCGTTTCGGGCCGCACGGACAGGGCGGTGGCCGTCGCCATGGTCGATCATATCCTCGGGGAGGGCGGCATGTTCTTCCGCAACGCTTCGGGCGCGCTGAGCCTTGCCTATGTCGCCGCCGGACGCCTTCTTGGCTTCATCGAGGATCACATGAATTCATGGGACTGCCTGGCCGGGCTTTTGATGATCGAGGAGGCGGGCGGCACGATCAACGATCTGGACGCCGAAACCGCGCTCGACCACGGCACCAAGGTGATTGCCGGCGGGCCCAACGTCTATCCGCAGTTGGCCGGGATGGCGGACGAATTGTTCGGGGCCTGAAGGTCCCGTACGCGTTACCCGATCAGCCCGTACTGGCGCGCCTTGTTGCGCAGGAATGGAAGGCCGTTCTCCATCACCTCGGCTTCGCCCGAGGCGACGGGACGCCACACCGACAGGCCGTGCGCGATCTCCGGCGGCATGTTGATGAAGCTCTCCATGGCGAGCCCGCCATCGAAGCCGATCGCGCGCAGCGCCCCAAACACCTCGTCCCAGGCGATGTTGCCGGCGCCGGGCGTGCCGCGATCCGATTCCGACAGATGGATGTAGCGCAGATGCTCGCGCGCATCGAGAACGCCCTGCGCGATGCCCTTTTCCTCGATATGCATGTGGTAGGTGTCCAGATGCACGAACATGTTGTCGGCGCCGATCCGCTCGATCATCGCAACGCCTTGCCAGCCAGTGTTGATCAGATGGGTCTCGTAGCGGTTGACCGGCTCGATGCCGAACAGGAGGCCGAGCGATTTCGCATGCCGCGCCGCCGCTTCCAGCGCGCGGGCCACATTGTCCAGTTCGGTTTCGCTCGGCGGCTGACCCGATCGTTCGCCGATGCCGCCATAGACGACGCCGCTGAGCGCCTCGCAGCCCATGGCGGCGGTCTTGTCGAGCGCGACGGTCAGGAACTCGATCGCCTTGTCGGGCTGGCGCGAGGGCCAGCATTCTTCGGGCAGTCCGAGCGAGCAGACCGCGCGCATCTCCGCCGCTTCGAGTACCTGCCGGCTGTGCGCCGCATCGACGGCGGGCGGATCGAGCAGGGCGATCTCCAGAAAGTCCATGCCGTAATCGCGCGCCTTCTGCACCGCCAATTCGCAGCCGTGCCTGTCCCAACTCATCGTCCACATGGAGGTGTGAACCCCAAATCCCCGCATGGATGCCTCCGTTCAGCCCATCGCCAAAAGCTTGCCCGCCAGATGTTCGTCCACGAACAGCCGGTCGGCGAACCCGGCCCGCAAGATCGCCAGCGTCGCCTCGGCCTTGGAAAGCCCGCCCGCCGTGATCGCGACGTCCGTCTTGCGCATGTCCTCGACGCCGATGCACGGCGTGCAGCGGTTCAGACCGGTCTCCGCCAACGTGCCATCGGGCATGAAGAAATTGCCGCAACAGTCTCCAACGACTCCGCATTTCTTCAGTTCGGCGATCTGTTCGCCGCTCAGAACCCCTGTGTCGAAAAGGATCGCGCCGTCGCGGCATTCGCCGACGCTCATGATCATCCGGTCTGCCCGGCGTGCCGCATCGAGCGCCTCGCGCACCAGCCTTTGCGCCATGATCATCTGACAGGCCTGTTCGCTGTCGGCGACGAACGGTGCGGGCATCAAAAGCGCCTGGCCGCCCGTCTGCGCGGCGAGCCGCACGCACACCTCGGCCGGCGCGGTGCTCGTTGCATGGGTCACCGATCCCATCAGCGACACGAAAGTCAGATCGCGATTTGTCAGGCCGACCAGATTGTCGGCCATCGACGACAGGGTACGTCCCCAGCCGACCCCGATCGTCTGCGGCGCGTCGCCCTTTCCGACGCGCGCCAGGTAGGAAGCGGCCATGATGCCGACCGCAAGGCGGCAATAATCATCGTCATCGCGCGCCACCGGCACCGGCGCGACCAGCACCTCGCGCAGGCCGAACCGTTCGGTCAGCCGGTCGGCCAGCGCCAGCGTCCGGCTCGTCCGGTGTTCGATCGATATGCGCACCATGCCCTGTTCGCGCGCGTCGGCCAGCATGCGCAGCACCTTGAAGCGGGAGATGCCGAGCCGTTCGCTGACCTCCTGCTGGCTGAGCCTGCCGACATGATAGAGCCAGGCGGCCTGGACGATGTCGTCGTCATGCCGGCTTCCGGCGACCATGTGCTTTGCCTCCTCCCCGCCGCGGCGTGCGATGATGTCGGGACGTGAGGCACGGACATCAATATGCGCTTGACCGCGATCTTGGCGCCCTTATAGTCACATAGGTGCACTCGTTGCACAAGTGTTGCACAATCGCACACGCGCGCATTTTCCCGAGGCGCGCCAACCGGTTGAACGCTTGCTGCACGGGTTGGGAGGACCTTGTCGCGCCCGTCAGGGCGTTTCGGCCGGCGCTGTCTTCGGAGGAGGGCGCTGTGCCCAAATGCGGCAAGGTTCGATCCGGTGCGGAACATCCGCACCGGTCACGGTTCTTGAAACCCGTCCGCGTTTGGACGGCAAAGGGAGGAAAACGATGAAGACCAGAATCACCCTCATGGCGGCGGCATTGCTGGCCGGTTCCGCGCTCACGGCGACGACCGCCACCGCGGACGAAACGTCGATCGCCACGGTGGTCAAGATCGCCGGCATCCAGTGGTTCAACCGCATGGAAGAGGGCGTCAACCAGTTCGCAGAGGACAATGGCGTCAACGCCTTCCAGGTCGGCCCGGCCCAGGCCGATCCGCAGCAGCAGGCGGCGCTGATCGAGGACATGATTGCGCAGGGCGTCGACGCGCTCGCCGTCGTGCCGATGTCGCCCGAGGCGCTCGAGCCCGTGCTCGGCCGCGCCATGGAGCAGGGCATCACCGTCATCACCCATGAGGCGGCTGCCCAGCAGAACACCAACTATGACATCGAAGCGTTCCGGAACGAGGATTTCGGCGCCAACCTGATGGAGCAGCTGGCCACCTGCATGGGCGGTGAGGGCGAATATGCCGTCTTCGTCGGCTCGCTGACCTCGCAGACGCACAATCAGTGGGTCGATGGCGCGATCGCCCATCAGGAAGCCAACTACCCGAACATGACGCTGGTCGGCGACAAGAACGAGACCTTCGACGACGCCCAGAACGCCTACCAGAAGGCGCAGGAAGTGCTGCGCGCCTTCCCCAATGTCAAAGGCATGCAGGGCTCCGCCTCGACGGACGTGGCCGGTATCGGCCTGGCCATCGAGGAACGCGGCATGGAGGACGACACCTGCGTGTTCGGCACTTCGCTGCCCTCCATCGCCGGCCAGTATCTGGAAACCGGCGCGGTCGACGGCATCGGCTTCTGGGACCCGTCCGTGGCCGGCTATGCGATGAACAAGCTCGCCATGATGGTGATGAACGGCGAGGAAGTGACCGACGGCATGGATCTGGGCCTTGAGGGCTATGAGAGCGTCGCGCTCGAAGGCAAGGTCATTTACGGCCAGGCCTGGGTTAATGTGAACAAGGACAACATGGCCGACTATCCGTTCTGATAGAACGGCCTCCCGGGGGAGCGGCGCGTCCAGTCCGCGCCGCTCCTTTTCTTTCATCTCCGATTTTGCTTGAAGTCATTGCATGGCAGCGGCAACCCACGGCGCCCTGGTCGACATGAGGGGCGTGACAAAACGCTACGGCGGCGTCACCGCGCTCGACGGTGTCGACTTCACCGTCAATGCGGGTGAGGCGGTGTGCCTTGCCGGCGAGAACGGGTCGGGCAAGTCGACGCTGATCAAGATCCTGTCGGGCGTCGAACAGCCGACCGCCGGCACGATCTCGATCAACGGCACAAAACGCACCAATCTGAACCCGCGCGTTTCGGCTGCTGCCGGCGTGATGGTGATCTTCCAGGACTTCTCGCTGTTTCCGAACATGTCGGTCGCAGAAAACATCGCCTTTTCGACCCAGCTCGGCGAGAACCGCAGACTGTTTGACCGCGGCCATGCGCGCAGGCTGGCCCAATCGGTGCTCGAGCGCATCGGCGTCGATATCGCGCTCGATGCGCGGGTGGAAAGCCTGCCCGTCGCGCACAAGCAACTCGTCGCCATCTGCCGGGCTTTGGCCTCCGAGGCGCGCCTGATCATTATGGACGAGCCGACCACCGCGCTGACCGAGCGCGAGGTTCGGTCGCTGCTCGCCATCATACGCAGGCTCAAGGAGGAGGGCGTCGCGGTCCTCTTCGTCAGCCACAAGCTGGCCGAGGTGCTCGAGGTCTGCGAAAAAGTGTTCGTTTTGCGCAACGGCAAGAAAGTCGCCGAAGGGCCGGCGACCGAATTCGATGCCGCTTCGCTGACGCGCCACATGACCGGCCGCGACGTGCCCGAAGCGCCGCCGAGCGCGGTCACCGAAGGCTCGAAAACGCTTCTGGAAGTCGAACACCTTTCCAAGGACGGCGCGTTCGACGATGTCAGCTTCGCCCTCAAGGCGGGCGAGGTGCTGGGCGTCTCCGGCCTTCTGGGCAGCGGGCGCACATCGCTTGCCAAGGCGCTGTTCGGGCTTGTCGCGCCCGACAGCGGCGCCATCCGGCTCGACGGTGAGGCGTTCGCGCTCGGCGATCCGATCGCCGCCGCATCCGCCGGTATCGGCTATGTTCCGGAAGACCGGTTGACCGAGGGCCTGTTCCTGACCCAGTCGATCGCCCGCAACATCGCCGTCGGCCGGCTCGACGCGCACGAAAGGCGCGGCTTTCTCGATCTTGGCGCGCTGATGGCCGAGGCCAATGACTGGCTGACGCGGCTGAAAGTCAAGGCGCCCGACCCGCAGGCGCCGGTGCGCTCGCTTTCGGGCGGCAACCAGCAGCGTGTCGCGCTGGCCCGCTGGCTGTCGCGGGCGCCGCGCGTGCTGGTGCTCAACGGGCCGAGCGTCGGCGTCGATGTCGGCTCGAAGGCCGACATTCACGACATCATTCGCGATCTGGCCCGCTCGGGCATCGGCGTCATCGTCATTTCCGACGATTTGCCCGAACTTCTGGCCACGTGCCACCGCATCCTCGTCATGAAGGCGGGCAGGATGGTCGACGAGATCGCCGGAAACTCGGTCACCGAAGACGAACTGGCGCACAGGTTGGCATCATGAGCGGTCTGCTGCCCGAGGGGTTCTGGACGCGCAACGAGACGCTGGTGGCGATCGTCATCGTCCTTTTCTGCGTCCTCGCCACCGCGTCCGATCCGCTGTTCTTTTCGGCGACGACGCTGACCGACCTTCTGCGCGCATCCATCGTGCTCGGCATTCTCGCCGTCGCCGCCATGCTGGTGCTGGTCTCCGGCGGCATCGATGTCAGCTTCACCGCGATTGCGGTCTTTGCCATGTATGCGACGACGGTCCTGACGCTGGCGCTGATGCCGGACCTGCCCTGGTATCTGATCTTCGGCATTTCGATCGGCATCGGCGCGTGCCTTGGCGCGATCAACGGCATCTTCATCGCCGGGTTCGGACTGCCGACGCTGATCGTCACGCTTGGCACGCTGTCGGTGTTTCGCGGGTTCCTGCTGACCTTCGTCGGCTCGCAGCGCATTTCCGCCTTGCCGCCGGAGATGCGCGAATTCTCGCGCATGATGATCACCCGTGGCACCACCGAAGCGGGCAACTTCTACGCCTTGCCCTGGGCGTTCGCCGCGCTGGTCTTCGTCGTCGTGCTGACCTGGTTCATCCTGCACAAGACGATGCTCGGCCGCTCGATCTTCGCCATCGGCGGGTCGGTGGAAAGCGCAAGGCGCATCGGCATCAATGTCCGCGCGACGCAGTTCTTCGTCTATGTCTATGTCGGCGCGCTGGCCGGCCTTGCCGGCATCATCCATGGCGCGATGGGCCGCATGGCCGACCCGTTCTCGCTGGTCGGGCTCGAACTGTCGGTCATCGCCGCGGTCGTTCTCGGCGGCGCGCGGCTGATCGGCGGCTACGGCACCATCACCGGCACGCTTCTGGGCGTCGCGCTGATCGTTCTGGTCCAGAACAGCCTGATCGTCGTCGGCATCCCGTCGACATGGCAGTCGGTGACGATCGGTCTTCTGATCCTTCTGGGCACCGGGCTTCCCGCCTGGCAGGCCAAGCGCGCCGCCGCGCGGGCCGCATGAGGTAATCCGATGTCAGCTTCCAACGCCCGAACCTCCATGACCGCCACGCCCGAGTTCCGCCTCGCGGTGATCGCCATCGTCGTTTTTGCGATGATGTCGATCCTGTCGCCGGACCGGTTCCTGTCGGCCCAGAACCTGACCTCGATGGCCTTTCAGTTCCCCGAATTCGCGATTCTGGCGCTGGCGATGACCATCACCATGATGACCGGCGGGATCGATCTGTCCGTCGTCGGCGTCGCCAATCTTTCAGCCGTCGTCGCCGCGCTCATCCTGACCCAGTTCGCGAGCCCCGACATGGATGTCCAGCAGTCGCTGGTCTGGCTGGTGATCGCCATCGCCGCCGCGCTGACAGTGGGTGCCGCCGCGGGCCTGATGAACGGCGTCCTTGTCGCCTGGTTCGGCCTGCCGCCAATCCTGGCGACGCTCGGCTCGGGTCTCGTCTTCACCGGCTTTGCCGTCGCGATGACCGGCGGCAGCGCGGTCATGGGCTTTCCCGATGTGGTCGCCTGGCTCGGAAACGAGCGTCTGGTCGGCATTCCGGTGCCGCTGATCGTCTTTGCGCTTCTGGCGCTTGGGCTGCACATCGTCCTGACGCGGACCAGCTTCGGCCTGAAGGCCACCATGTATGGCGCCAACCCGCTCGCCGCCTTCTTCGCCGCCATCGACATCAACAGGCTGCTGATCCGCGTCTATGTCACCGCCGGCATGTTCTCGGCGGTGGCCGGTCTGGTGATCATGAGCCGCGCCAATTCGGCCAAGGCGGACTATGGTTCGAGCTATCTGCTGCTGGCCGTGCTCATCGCCGTTCTGGGCGGCGTGAACCCCTATGGCGGCTATGGCCGCGTGATCGGCGTCGTCCTGGCGGTGCTGTCCATGCAGTTCCTGTCGAGCGGGCTCAACATGCTCCAGGTCTCCAACTTTGCCCGCGAACTGATCTGGGGCGCGCTGCTGATTTTCGTGATGGTCGTCAACACGCGGCAGGGGCCCGGACTGGCGTCCTTTTTCAGAAAGACCAAGCCCACGGGCTGACCGGGAGGAACCGATGAAGAAGATCCTGAACGATCCCAACGCCTATGTCGACGAGATGCTGGCGGGCCTTGTGGCCGCCCATCCCGAGCACTACCGGCTGCATGGCGACAGCGGCAAGGTGATCGCCCGCGCCAAGGACGGCAAGAAGGGCAAGGTCGGCATCGTCACCGGCGGCGGTTCGGGCCATCTGCCGGTCTTCACCGGCTATGTCGGCACCGGGCTTCTGGACGCCTGCGCGATTGGCGACGTGTTCGCTTCGCCCAGCGCCGAGCAGATGGCCGATGCAATCCGCGCCGCCGACCAGGGCGCCGGCGTCCTGCGCCTTTACGGCAATTATGGCGGCGACGTGATGAACTTCGACATGGCCGGCGATCTGGTCGAGTTCGAGGACATCACATGCACGACCGTGCTTCTGGCCGACGATGTCGCCTCGGCGCCGCCCGAGGAAGCCGAAAAGCGCCGCGGTGTGGCCGGCATGGTCTATGCCTTCAAGATGGCAGGCGCCGCCGCCGAGGAGGGAAGGGACCTCGACGCCGTCACCGCCGTTGCGCAAAAGGCCGCCGATGCGTGCCGCTCGATCGGCGCCGCGCTCAGCCCGTGCACCGTGCCGCAGGCGGGCAAGCCGACCTTCGAGATCGGCGACGACGAGATGGAAATGGGCATGGGCATCCATGGCGAGCCCGGCGTCTGGCGCGGCAAGCTGCGAACGGCGGACGAGATCGCCGGCGAGATGATGGATCGCCTTCTGGAAGACATGCCGCTCGAAAAGGGCGACCGCGTCTCGGTGATGGTCAACTCGCTGGGCGCCACGCCGCCCGAGGAGCTCTATATCCTTTACCGCATCGTCAAGCAGCGGCTGGAAGGCGAGGGCGCCCAGATCGTCATGCCGCTGGTCGGCCGCTATGCCACCTCGATGGAGATGGCCGGCGTCTCCTTCACCCTGTGCAAGCTGGACGATGAACTCGAAAAGCTGTTGAACGCGCCCTGCGACTGCGCCTTCTGGAGGGTCGGATGAGCATCGACCGCGCCGCTCTGATCGCCGGTATCGACCGGCTGGCGGCGGCCATGGAGCGCGATTTCGACCTGCTCAACACCGCCGACGGCGCACTCGGCGACGGCGATCTGGGCGTTACGATGACGCGCGGCATGCGGCTGGTCGCCGAAAAGGCGCCCGATCTGCCCGACGATCTCGGCATGGCGCTTCTGCAATGCGCCCAGGCCTTCACCAAATCGTCCGGCTCGTCCTACGGCACGCTTCTGGCGACAGGGCTGATGGCGATCGCCAAGGCGGTCAAGGGAGAGACGGAGCTAAGCGCCGGACGGGTTTCCGAACTGGTGGCCGCCGCCCGCGACCAGATGCAGGCGCGCGGCAAGGCCGAACTGGGCGGCAAGACGGTACTCGACAGTCTCGATGCGGTGGCGTCGGCGACCGAAGGCCTCGGCGATCCGGAAGCGGTGGCGGACGCGGCGGCGCGCGCCGCCGACGAGGCGCTCGATGCGTTTCGCGACAAGAAGGCCACCGTCGGCCGCGCCCGCATCTTCGGCGACAAGAGCATCGGCATGGACGATCCGGGCATGCTCGCCATGAACCGCATCGTCAAGGCGCTGGCCGACCGGCAGGATTGAACCCGCCGGCCCGCAAACCGCGTCAGATCAGCGGGTCGCGCCCGCCATAATGCCGGTCGGGATAATCGGCATGCAGCGCCTGGTCGGCTTCGGTGAACCGGCCGCGCGCAAAATTGTGCTGGTGCCAATAGGGATAGATCAGCGGCAGCCGGCTGGCATCGTTGAGCGTCTGCAGTTCGTCTTCGGTGAGGACCAGGTCGACCGCGCCGAAATTGTCGGTGAACTGGCCGGCATTGCGCCCGCCGACGACGAGCGACGAGATGGCCGGCCGGCTGAGCAGCCATGCGAGCGCCACCTGCGCGCCGGACACGCCGCGTTTTTCGCCAATGCCGACAAGCGCGTCGACGATCCGCCACAGCCGTTCCTCGTCGCGGATCGGCGGCTCGTTCCAGCCCGCCGCCTGGCGCGAGCCTTCCGGCGCGTCCGTGCCGCGCCGGTGCTTGCCGGTCAGAAGACCCGCCGCCAGCGGGCTCCAGACCAGAACGCCAAGGCCCTGGTCGACAGACAGCGGCAGCAGCTCATATTCGGCCTCGCGCGCTTCGAGCGTGTAATGGATCTGCTGGGTCGCGAAACGCGCCCCGCCGGCGCGGTCGGCGGCGGCCAGCGATTTCATCACATGCCATGCCGAATAGTTCGAGCAGCCCGGATAGCGGATCTTGCCCTGCTGCACGAGCGTGTCGAGCGCCGCCATCGTCTCTTCGACCGGCGTCGTGCCGTCCCATTCGTGGATGTAGTAGATGTCGATATGGTCGCGCCGCAACCGTTTCAATGAACGCTCGCATTCGCGGATCAGGTGAAAGCGCGAGGCGCCCTCATCGTTCGGCCCGTCGCCGATCCGCATCCGCGCCTTGGAGGTGACCAGAAGATCGTCCTTGTCGGCCCGGCCGTCGAGCACGTCGCCCAAAATCTCCTCGGACGTGCCGGTCGAATACATGTTGGCCGTATCGAACAGGTTGACGCCATTGTCGGCGCACAGCGCCACCAGTTCGCGCGCCTCGGCGACACCCTGCTTGCCAACCATCGCGAACGGGCCTTCGCCGCCGAAGGTGAACGTGCCCATGGTGATGGCCGAGACCTTCAGGCCCGTCCGACCCAGCGTCCTGTACTGCATTTTTTTCCTCCCGCACTGTCCCTCTTGGCCGATGCGGCAGAAGAGCCGCACGCCGGTCTGCGCGCCCTTGTCCATTTGTGCACCATGGCGCCGGTGAGGCCAAGGCTTCGGCAACGATTTATGCTGATTTTTCCGGGGGTTCGCGCATGCGCGCCGGGCCGGCGGGGGCTGGGCGCACGGGCAGATGGCATGAACGAGCTTCAAACTCGAACGCTTCCAAGGCCACAAGCGTGGCCCGGGCTTTCGCCCGCCCTCGCGGAGCCGCCGAGCGAAGCAAGGCTGGCGTGAGCGAAAAGATGGTGCCCCCTGCCGGACTCGAACCGGCACGGCCGAAGGCCGAGGGATTTTAAGTCCCTTGCGTCTACCAGTTCCGCCAAGGGGGCACGGCGAAAGACCTAGACCGTTTTGCCGGCCGATGGAACGGGTGGGGCGCCATCGTTCCGCCGGCAACGGGCCGAACGAAAACGGGCCGCGCAATGCACGGCCCGTTGTCATCATCGAACGGTTTGCGCCGGTCAGCTCAGCGGCACGAGCTGGATTTCGACGCGCCGGTTCTGCGCGCGGCCCGCTTCGGTCGCATTGTCGGCCACCGGCCGCGTTTCGCCAAAGCCCGTGACCACCATGCGCTGGCCGTTGACGCCGCGGCCGGTCAGATAGTTGGCGACCGACTGGGCGCGCCGCTGCGACAGGCCCAGATTGTAGCTCTCGTCGCCGGTCGAATCCGTGTGGCCGTAAACGTCGATCAGCGTCTGGTTGTAGCGGTTGAGAACGATCGCCACGGAATCGAGCGTCGCGAAGAAGGCCGGGACAACCTGGTCCTGATCGACCGCGAAGGTGATGTTGGAGGGCATGTTCAAGATGATGTTGTTGCCGACGCGCGTCACCGACACGCCGGTGCCCTGAAGCTGGGCGGCCAGTTCGGCCTGCTGGCGGTCCATATAGTTGCCGACCGCGCCGCCGGCCAATGCGCCGATGCCCGCGCCGATCAGCGCGTTGCGGCGGTCGTCGCCGCCGGCCAGAACGCCAAGGCCCGCGCCGGCCAGCGCGCCGGCGCCGGCGCCGATCGCCGTGCGGCTGGTCTGCTGCTGACCCGTGAACGGATCGGTGGTCGTGCAGGCGGCGGTGAACATCAGCGTTGCCGCCAGCGCGGCAAATGTCTTGGTCTTCATGGAAACCCGTCCTTTCCGGTCAATCCCGTCCCGCAAGGCGCATGGCGGTAAAAAACGGCCAAAATGCGTTGCGGAGCCGGTGTGTTGCGGCACTATGGCAGAGCATGTTTGCGGTGCAAGCGGTCGGCATGTTTATTCCGGCGCGCCCAGATGCCGGCGGGCGACATAGAGCGCCAGCACGGCGGCGTTGGAGACGTTGAGCGAGCGGATGGCGCCGGGCATGTCGAGGCGCGCCAGATCGCTCACCGTGGCGCGGGTTTTTTCCCGCAATCCCTTGCCCTCGGCGCCCAGCACGAGCGCGATCCGGTCCCCCGCGACGGTCTGTTCGAGCGGCTTCGGCCCGTCCGAATCGAGCCCGATCGTCTGGAAGCCGCGATTGTTGAGTTCGCCAATCGCGTTGGCGAGATTGCGCGCATGGATGATCGGCAGGTGTTCGAGCGCGCCGGAGGCGGCCTTCGCCAGAACACCGGACTCTGCCGGACTGTGCCGCGCCGTCGTCACCAGCGCGTCGGCCGCCATCGCCACGCCCGAGCGCATCAGCGCGCCGACATTGTGCGGATCGGTGACCTGGTCGAGCACGATGACGAGCTTTGCCGTGCCCAGATCCTCGAGCGTTTTCGGCGCCAGCGCGTCCGCTTCGATGGCAATGCCCTGATGCACCGCATCGGGACCGGTGAACGCGTCGATCGCCGGCGGACGGACGATCTCGACCGGAAAGGGCAGGGCGCCGATATCGCCGACCGCAAGCCGGGCGAGCGCGTTCTCGGTCGCCAGCATCCGGTGCACTTTGCGCTCGTCATTTTCGAGCGCGGCGCGCACCGTGTGAAGGCCATAGAGGGCCACACGTCCCTCGGGCAAGGCTACCGGGTCGCCGCCTTCGCCGCGCGCCCGCTTGCGGTCGCGGTGATCGCGCCTGAGCCGGGCGTAATGAGCATCCTTGGGGGTCGGGGGCATTTTCCGGGAAGGGGACTTGGGCTGGTCGGACATGGCGCACATATAGACACAAGGGCGTTCAAAGCGAACGCCCAATTGCCCTGCGGCGGAATTTGCCGCCTTATGGCCGTTCGGCGCGCGGCGCGTGTTGACAGCGCCTGTGGCGCGCATCATAAGGCGCGTCGTCGCGGCGCTGTCGCGGCAATGCCCGGCACCCGCCGCCATGGAGGAGTGTCCGAGTGGTTAAAGGAGACGGACTGTAAATCCGTTGGCTATGCCTACGCTGGTTCGAATCCAGCCTCCTCCACCATCGGCGTGCCGGAAGGGCGGACCTGTTCCGCCCAGTGCGGGTATAGCTCAATGGTAGAGCAGCAGCCTTCCAAGCTGAATATGCGGGTTCGATTCCCGCTACCCGCTCCAGTCTTCCGACATCGCTGACTTCCCGTCGGACAGCCGGGCAAGCGCGCGCGCCGTCTCAAACCAGATCATCAATCGAGACGTTCAAAGCTTCGGCCAGCTTCTTGAGTGTCGCCACCGAGCCCTTGCTTCGGCCCGCTTCGATGTCGGCGATCTGCACGCGGTTGACGCCGGAGGCTCTGGACAGCGATGACTGGTTGAAGCCCCGCCATTGCCGGTAAACGCTGAGCGGACTTTCACCGTCGATCAGCCGCTTCATCAACTCGTGCGGCAGGCCCTCTTGCGGGTCGGCCAGATGGTCGGCCACGGCCTGCATGTCTTCATGGTCGTCACGCGCCGCGATCAGCGCCTCATACTCGGCGCGCGGGATGGTGACGGTATCTTTCATATCATCCATGATGGTCCTCATGTGTAGGCCGATCCGCGCGGCGCGATCCTGATCACGTCGATCACCTCGCCGTCGATCATGACCACGCGCCAGTGACCGACCCGCAGCCGGATCGCATCGGTGCCCTTGAGAGCCTTGACATTGTTGGCCTGGGCGGCCGGGTCGATGGCATAAGCTTCGATCTTGCCGACGATACGCTTTGCCGTGTTGGCCGGCATTTTGCGCAGCGCCTTGCGGGCGGCCGACTGGTAGGTGATCGGCTTCATGCCCATTATGTAGCAGTAAACTACACTATAGTCAAAAACGACAGTGTGTTCCGGCGCCATCCGGCGGAAATCACCGCGTCAGCTGGAATGGTGCGACGTACCCGCTACTCGCTCCAGATCTTTTCGATTCAAATTGAGGTTGTTGCAGGTATTTCTTCGCCTTTTGCGCGAAGTTGGGGCATCACGCGCGCCGGCTCGTCGCCATCCATGCCCAGATGCATGAAGTCGACGAAGGCGCGCGCCGCTTCGTCCAGTTCCGCGTCGGCCGCCCAGGCAAGGCCCACATCCATGCTCGGCACCTGGTCGGCCAGCGCCACCACCTCCACCCGCCGCCCGTCCAGCGACCAGGGCCGGTAGACCATGTCCGACAGGACCGTGACGCCCATGCCGTTTGCCACCATCGAGCGCACCGCCTCCACCGAAGACGTGCGGAAGATGGTCCTGGGGCGGTAGCGCGTGCGGTTCCAGTAGCGCTGCGCGGTGTTGGACGCCTCGTCCACCGTCAGCATGATGTAGGGCTCCTCGGCCACATCCTGAAGCGAGATGGACGGGTTCATCAGAAGCGGGTGCTGCGCGGGCAGCCACAGGCGCCGCCGCGAGCGCAGCAGCGTGTCATAGGCGATCCCCTCCTGGTTGACGATGTTGGAGGTCAGCATCACGGCGAGGTCGAACTGGCCGGTCACCAGCCCTTCCTCGATCTCGCCGCGCGGCGTCTCGGTCATCTTGATGTCGATGTTGGGAAAGTTGCGGGCAAAGCGCGCAACGAAGGGCGGCGCGTAATAGCCGGCCACGGTGTAGGTCGTCGCAAGGCGCAGCGTGCCGGTGACATTGTCGCGCATGCGCGTCGGCAGCCGCACCGCCTCGTCGACGGCGGCTGAAATGTGCACCGCATGTTCGAGAAACAAATTGCCTTCATAGGTCAGCGTCACGCCGGAAGAATGGCGCTCGAACAGGGAGGCGCCGATAATCTCCTCGAGCTGTTTGATGGCCGCCGTCACCGCAGATTGCGACACGTTCAGATCCTTGGCCGCGCGCGAGACCTGGCCGGCATTGGCGACGGCGATGAAATAGCGGATTTGACGCAGAGATGGTTCGATCAATTTTTTCGATTTCCAATATCGATTGATGCGATGATCTATGCCCACCATGTGAGCACGCCTTGCCCTTACAGGAGGCAAGGTTCATCGGGATCATGTCCGCTGATATGCTTAAAATCAAGATAAAACAAGGATTTCATACGAAACCTGATGACGCGAAGCGGTTTTGCTGCGCTTGCTAAGATCGCTGCACAGCAACAAAGCAGGCATCGAAAAATCAGATTTCGGATAGCCGACATTCGTATTTTACAATGCCCCGTGCCGCCCCCTAACGTTTCGGGACCGTCCGGCCTCACCCGGTTTGACGGCCATAGCGGCCCTGCGCCGCCCATCTGACAAACGAAGTGGAGGCGTTTGATGAGCACCAAACTCACAGCCCTATTGTGTTCGGCAGCGATTGCCGTCGCCGCGACCGGCGTTGCGTCGGCCGAAGACTGGTACCCCTATTCCGTCGAAAGCTGGGACCCGCCGTTCGACATGGCGAGCCCGCGCTCCAGCCTTGACTACACGCCGCTCGAGGCGGCTTCCCAGCCCTGGGAGATCTGCGTCTCGTTCCCGCACATGAAAGATGCCTACTGGCTCGGCGTGAACTACGGCGTCTCCGAGGAGGCCAAGCGCCTGGGCGTCAAGATGCAGCTCGTTGAAGCGGGCGGCTATACCGAACTGAACACGCAGATCTCGCAGATCGAGGATTGCGTGGCGGCCGGCGCCGACGCCGTGGTGATCGGCGCGATCTCGTTTGACGGGCTCAACAACATCGTCAGCGAAGTGCGCTCCCGCGACATTCCGGTGATCGACGTCATCAACGGCATGTCCTCGCCCGAACTGTCGGCCAAATCGCTGGTGTCGTTCGGCGAAATGGGTGCCAAGGCCGGTGCGTTCCTCGCCGAACAGCATCCCGAGGGCAGCGACGCGGTCAAGGCGGCCTGGTTCCCCGGTCCCGCCGGCGCGGGCTGGGTCGAAGCGGGCAACACCGGCTTCACCGGCGCCATCGAGGGCAGCGCCATCGAACTGGTCGAGACCAAATATGGCGACACCGGCAAGGAAGCCCAGGCCAAACTGGTCGAGGACACGCTGGAGGCCCATCCGGACCTCAACTATATCGTCGGAACGGCGGTGACGGCCGAGGCGGCGGTGCCGATCCTGCGCGCGCGTGGTCTCACCGACCAGATCAAGATCGTGTCCTATTATTACACGCCGGGCGTCGACCAGGGCATCCGCCGTGGCCAGATCCTGGCGGCACCGACAGACTCGACCGTGATCCAGGGCCGCATCGCCATCGACCAGGCCGTGCGCATCCTCGAAGGCGAGGACTATGAGAAACATGTCGGTCCGGCGCTCTATGTGGTGACCCAGGACAGCCATGCCGACTTCGATCCGTCCTCGACGCTGGCACCCGACGGTTTCCGTCCGGTCTTCCGCGTCGAATAAGCGGGCAATCGGGGCAACGCCGTGATGAATACCTCCCTGCATCACGACGAGGGCGCGCATGCTCAAGGTGCGCGCCCGCTCATCCAGACGCGCGCCGTCACCAAGGACTATCCGGGCGTCAGGGCGCTCGACGGTGTCGATTTCGAGTTGCGCCCCGGCGAGGTGCATGTGCTGTTCGGCGAGAACGGTGCGGGCAAGTCGACGCTGATCTCGATCCTTGCCGGTGCCAACCAGCCCTCGTCGGGCACGATTCTCGTGCGCGGCGAGGAGACCCATCTGGGCTCGGTGCACGAGGCGCGCGAACTGGGCATTTCGGCGGTCTTTCAGGAATTCTCCCTGATCCCGCAAATGACGGTGGCCGAGAACCTGTTCCTGGGCGCCGAACATGCGCGCTACGGCTTTCTCGACAACAAGCGCCTGCGCCGCGAGGCCGAAACCATCCTCGATGAGCTGGGCTTTCACATCGCGCCCGACCAGACGGTCGATCATCTGACCCGCGCCGAACAGCAGATGGTCGAGATCGCCAAGGCGTTCCGCGACGAACTGTCGGTGCTGATCCTCGACGAGCCGACCGCGTCGCTGACCAATCACGAGACCGACCAGCTGTTCAAGCTGATCGGCGAATTGACCGCGCGCGGTGTCGGCATCGTCTACATCACCCACCGCATGGCCGAAATCCGCCGCATCGGCGACCGCATCACCGTGCTGCGCGACGGCCGCTACATCGATACGGTCGACGCCAAGACCACCTCCGAGGACGAACTCGTCCGCCTGATGACCGGCCGCATGGTCGGCGCCATCTTCCCCAAGATCAGCTTTTCGCCGGGCGAGGAAGTGCTGCGTGTCGACAGACTGACGACGCCGGACGATGCGGTCCGCGACGTCTCGCTGACGGTCCGCGCCGGCGAGATCGTCGGATTTGCCGGCCTCGTCGGCTCGGGCAAGTCGGAGACCATGCAGGCCTGTTTCGGCGCCCGGCCGGCCAGCGCCGGGACCGTGACCTACAAGGGCCAGCCGATCGGCGGCTCGTCGCCGGGCGCCAACATTCGCCGCGGCTTTCTCTACCTGCCGGCCGACCGCCGCACCGAGGGGCTGATGATGATGCGCTCGGTGCGCGAGAACATGTCGCTCGCCGCGCTGGACGCAAAGCAGGTGCGCAACGGACCGTTTCTGAGTCGCGCCGGCGAGGTGGCGATGGTCAGCGAACTGGCCGACCGGCTCAACCTGTCGCCCAACCGCATCGAGCGTGCCGTCGACCATTTTTCCGGCGGCAACCAGCAAAAGGCGATGCTGGCCCGCTCGCTGACGCGCGATTTCGACCTGATCGTCTTCGACGAGCCGACCGTCGGCGTCGATGTCGGCACGCGCGCCTCGATCTATGAATTCATCGCCGGACTGGCGGGGCAGGGGGTCGCGGTCGTGCTGATCTCGTCCGACCTTCCGGAAATCCTGCACATGTCGAACCGCGCCTATGTGTTCTATCGCGGCGCCGTTCAGGCCGAACTGCCGGCCAGCGAACTGACGGAGGAAAACGTCTTGTCCCACTTCTTCGAGCGGGAGGCCGCGTGATGGCCGACAGTGCCACGACGACCGCGCCACGCCGCAGCGCCTCGGACATGCTCAAGCGCCTGTTCGTGCGGCTGGGCATCCTGCCGTTCCTGCTGGTGATCGCCATTGTCGTCTTCACGCTGATGTCCGACAATTTCCTGACCGGACGCAATTTGATGAACGTGCTGCGCCAGTCGGTCTATCTGATGATCGTCTCGCTCGGCCAGATGCTGGCGCTTTTGACCGGCGGGTTCGACCTGTCGGTCGGCACGATCCTCGCCATCAGTTCGGTCGTCGGCGCGATGACGATGGCGTCCGTTTACGCTATGGCGCCCGACATGGTGTGGCTGGCGATCCTTCTGGGGTGCCTGGGCGGTGTCACCGCCGGCACGCTGATCGGTGTGGTCAACGGCGTCGGCGTTGCCTTCTTCAACGTCTCGCCCTTCATGATGTCGCTCGGCATGGCCTCGGTCGGCTTCGGCATCGCGCTCTATCTGACGGGCGGCGTTCCGGTCTATGGCATGCCCGTGGCGTTCGGCGACGTGTTCGGCTTCGGCACGCTTTTGGGCATTCCCGCGCCGGTCTGGGTCGCGGCCGGGCTCGTGGTCGCGCTTTACGTCTTTCTCTACCAGACGCCCTATGGCCGCTACTTCTACGCGGTCGGCGGCAACCTGAAGGCGGCGTCCCTGTCAGGCATCAACACCAAGGCGACGCTGTTCTTCACCTATGTGCTGTGCGCCGCCTTCGCCGCCATCGCGGGCATGCTGCTGACGGCGCGCCTCGACACGGGCGAAGCCAATATCGGCGCCTCGATGCCGCTTGAATCGATCGCGGCCTGCGTGATCGCCGGCGTCAGCCTGCGCGGCGGGGTGGGGCGTCTTGAAAACGTCGTGCTGGGCGCGCTGTTCATCGGCCTTGTGCAGAACGGCATGAACCTTGCCCGCATCGAATCCTATCTGCAGACCGTGGTGCTCGGCGCGCTGCTGATCCTGGCGGTCATCGCCGACCAGATCCGCCTGCGCTACGTCGCCTCGCTGAAAGACTGACCGGGGGAGACCGATGAGCGTCGATATCAATTGCGACATGGGCGAGAGCTTCGGCCTCTACAAGATGGGCGACGATGAAGGCATCATGCCGTTCATCACCCAGGCCAACGTCGCCTGCGGCTTCCATGGCTCCGATCCCAACCACATGCGCTCGACCGTCGAGCTTGCCAAGCGCCACGATGTGCGCGTCGGCGCCCATGTCTCGCTGCCCGATCTGCCCGGCTTCGGCCGGCGCGAGATGAAGATCGAGCGCGACGAGATGTCCAACATCATCATCTACCAGATCGGCGCCCTGAACGGCTTTTTGCGTGTCGCTGGCATGGAGCTGAGCCACATCAAGCCGCATGGCGCGCTCTATGGCATGGCCGCGCGCGAGCGGCACATCGCCGAGGCCGTGGCCGACGCCGCGCAGGCCTTCGGCGTGCCGATCCTCGGCCTGGCCGGCACGCTGCATGAGGAGGTGTTCGGCGAGCGGGGCCTTGAGTTCCAGGCCGAGTTCTTCGCCGATCTCGACTATGCCGATGACGGACGCCTGATCATCACCCGCGAGCACGAGGCGGTCGAGCCGTCCGTCGCCGCCGAGCGGGCCATCAACGCGGTGCGCGACGGCGTCAACGTCACCGTCGGCGGCAAGCGACTGCCGGTGCGCGCCGAGACGATCTGTGTCCATTCCGACACGCCCAACGCGGTGGCCATCGCCAAGGCCGTCCGCGACGCGCTATCAACCCTCAAGGCGGCCTGACCGCGAAAATCCAGGGAGACATCCATGGCCAAACATGAAATCCGCTCACCGATCCCCGGCACCTTCTACCGCAAGCCGGCGCCCGACCAGCCCTCGTTCAAGGAAGTCGGCGACACGGTTGCCAAGGGCGACACGATCGGGCTGGTCGAGGTGATGAAGACGTTCCACGAGGTGAAAGCCGACGCCGATGGCACGATCACGGCTTTCGTGCTCGACAATGAAGAGCCGGTGATGGCCGGCCAGCCGCTCGCGGAGCTCGACTGACCGATGCCGATCAAAAGGCTTCTCATCGCCAACAGGGGCGAGATCGCGGTGCGGATCATCCGCGCGGCGCGTGAACTGGGCATCGAGACGGTGCAGGTGCACAGCGCCGCCGATGCCGACAGCCGCGCCGTGCAGCTTGCCGACCGGGCGATCGATATCGGCCCGCCCCAGGCGGCCAAGTCCTATCTCAATGTCGATGCGATCCTCGAGGCCGCCAGATCGGCGGGCGCCGACGCGATCCATCCCGGCTATGGCTTCCTCGCGGAAAACGCCGACTTCGCCGATGCGGTCGTCGCCGCCGGCATGGCCTTTGTCGGACCCTCCGGCGACACGATCCGGCTGATGGGCGACAAGGCCGCCGCGCGCCGGCAGGCGCAACAGGCCGGCGTGCCGACCGTGCCCGGCAGCGATGGCGTGATCGGCGACATGGACGCTGCCAAGGCGCTGGCCGTCGATCTCGGCTTCCCGGTCATGATCAAGGCGGCCGCCGGCGGCGGCGGGCGCGGCATCCGCATCGCCCACAGCGCCGACGAGTTCGCAACGCTCGCCCCGCAGGCCTCGTCCGAGGCGCTCGCCGCGTTCGGCGATGGCGGCATCTATGTCGAAAAGGTCATCGAGCGGGCCCGGCATATCGAGGTGCAGGTGCTCGGCGACGGGACCGATGTCGTCCATTGCTATGAGCGCGAATGCTCGCTGCAGCGCCGGCGCCAGAAGGTCTGGGAGGAGGCGCCGTCGGTCGCCCTCAAGCCCGAGGTGCGCGAAGGGCTGTGCACGTCCGCCGTCGCGCTTGCCAAATCGGTCGGCTATTCGGGCGCCGGCACGATCGAATATCTCTATGACGATGCGACGGGCGACTATTACTTCATCGAGATGAACACGCGCATCCAGGTCGAGCACCCGGTCACCGAGATGATCTGCGGCGTCGATCTGGTCGCCGAGATGATCCGCATCGCGGGCGGCGAAAAGCTGCGGCTGGCGCAGGACGATCTGCGCGCCAGCGGGCATGCCATCGAGGTGCGGCTGAACGCCGAGGACCCGGCCAACAATTTCATGCCGTTCCCCGGCCAGATCGCCGAACTGACGCTGCCGGACGGACCCGGCGTGCGGTTCGACCACATGCTCTATCGCGGCTACCAGATCCCGCCCTTCTACGATTCGCTGCTCGGCAAGCTGATCGTCTGGGGCGAGGATCGCGAGCACGCCATGGCCCGGCTCGGCCGGGCGCTGGGCGAATTGTCGGTGACCGGTCTTCCGACCACCGCGCCCCTGTTTCAGGCGTTGCTCGCCAGCGACGACGTTCGTGCCAGTGCGGTGCACACGCGCTGGCTGGAGCCTTGGCTCGAGGAAAACCAACATATGATCATGGACAGGGGAGGCGCTGCAGCATGAGTTGCCGTTACACATTTGGCGGGGATGAGCACATCTTCGTCGAGGTCGATGAGGCCATGTCGCTGGAGGCGTTCTTTACCAGCCTCTCCATGACCAACGCGGTCCGCGAGGCGAAGATCAAGGGCGTGACGGAAATCTGTCCGGCCAACGCCTCCTTCCAGATCAAGTTCAATCCGGACGAGATCCATCCCGACGACATGATGGCCGAACTCAAGCGGCTCGAGGCAACCGCCGAGAGCGCCGAGGCCAAGCTCGACACGCGGATCGTCGAAATCCCGGTCTATTATCAGGACCCCTGGACGCACGAGACGCTGATGCGTTTTCGCGAGCGCCATCAGGACCCCAACGCGTCCGACATCGAATATGCCGCGCGCATCAATGGCTATGACAGCGTCGAGGACTTCATCAAGGCGCATTCGGGCGCGCCCTGGTTCGTCTCGATGGTCGGCTTCGTCTCCGGCCTGCCGTTCCTCTACCAGATGGTCGACCGGCAGCGGCAGATCCAGGTGCCGAAATACCTGCGGCCCCGCACCGACACGCCCAAACTGACGGTCGGCTATGGCGGCTCGTTCTCCTGCATCTACTCGGTGCGCGGCGCGGGCGGCTACCAGATGTTCGGGATCACGCCGATGCCGATCTTCGATCCCCAGCAGCAGGTGTCGTACCTGAAGGACTTCATGGTGTTCTTCAAGCCCGGCGACATCGTCAAATGGAAGCCGATCAGCCGCGAGGAATACGACGCCGACGTCGCGGCCGTCGAAGCCGGCACCTTCATGCCGCGCATGGCCGAGGTCACCTTCTCGCTCGACGATTTCAACGCCGATATCGACGGCACCAACGCCAAGCTGATGGAGGCCCTAAATGCCGGTTAACGTCATCTCCGCGGGCATCGCCACCACCATCCAGGACCTTGGCCGGCCCGGCTATTATCATCTCGGCATCCCGATGGGCGGCGCGATGGACCGTCTCGCCCTGCGCGCGGCCAATATGCTGGTCGGCAATGACGAAGGCGCCGCCGCGCTCGAAGCGGTCTTTGTCGGGCCCGAGCTCGAATTCACCCAGGACGCCATCGTCGCCGTAACCGGCGCCGAACTGCCGCCCAAGCTCGACGGCCAGATCCAGCCGACGTGGACCGGCTTTGCGGTGAAGGCCGGACAGACGCTCTCGTTCGACTTCCTGAAGAACGGCGCGCGCGCCTACATCGCCATCTCCGGCGGCATCGATACGCCGCCGGCGCTCGGCAGCCGCTCGACTTATGCGATCGGCGCGCTCGGCGGTGTCGAGGGCAGGGGCATCCAGCCCGGCGACGCCCTGCCGCTTGGCGCGCAGCCTGTGGGCGCCAGCGCCGGCAAGTCGGTGCCCGACGAGATGCGCCGCATGCCGGGCAAGCCGGCCGAACTGCGCGTCCTGCCGGGGCTTTACTGGCACCGCATCACCGAGGCGGCGCAGAAAGGCTTTTTCGAGGACACCTGGAAGGTCGCCAATGAGGCCGACCGGATGGGTTACCGCTTTCAGGGCGGGCGCGTGCTCGAATTCGTCGAGCGCGAGCAGCCGTTTGGCGCCGGTGCCGATCCGTCCAACATCACCGATGCCTGCTATCCCTACGGTTCGGTTCAGGTGCCGAGCGGCACCGAGCCGATCGTGCTGCACCGCGATGCGGTCTCCGGCGGCGGCTATTTCATGATCGGCACGGTGATTTCCGCCGACATGGACCTGATCGGCCAGCTTCAGCCGCACACGCCGACCCGCTTCATCAAGGTCGACATGGACACCGCGCTGGCGGCGCGCAGGGAACGGGCCGAAACGCTCGATGCCATCCGTCAGACGCTGGCCTGAGAGGACACGCGCCATAACAACAAGACCAGCATTGAAATGACCTTGTGCCGCCGGTCCCGTGCCGGCGGCCCTTTTTTGTCTGGGGAGACGATCCATGTGTTCAGATGCCGCTCAAGGCACCGCCATCGGCACGGTGCTGATCGACAATGACCGGACCCGCGTCACCGAGTGGCGGTTCCGCGAAAAGGGCGCCAACACCGGCTGGCACACCCATGCTTATGACTATGTCGTGGTGCCGATGTTCACCGGCAAGCTCGAACTGCACGAGCCCGGCGGCACGCGGCGTCTGGCCGACCTGACCGAGGGTGTGCCTTACTTCCGCGAGGCCGGCGTCGAGCATGACGTCATCAACGCCAACGATGCCGAGATCGCCTTCATCGAGGTGGAGTTCGTGCGTTAGCGCCCGTCAGAGTTTGGCCAGACGTTCCAGCGCGCGCTTCAGCAGCGCCTGTTCCTCGGCGCTGAACGGCGCCAGCAACTGCGCATCATAGGTGCCCGCCACCGCGCACAGATCGGCATAGACCGTCCGCCCGGCGCGGGTCAGCGACAGCATTTCGTGGCGCCGATCCGCCTCGACCTTCTTGCGCGTCAGGTAACGCTTTTGCTCAAGCGCGGCGACGGCCCGGCTGATCTTGGTCTTGTGCATCTTGGCGCGCGTGCCGATCGCGTTGGCGGTCATCGCGCCATACCGGCCCAGATGGAACAGCACCCGCCATTCGGTGCGCAGCATGCCGTAGCGCTGCTTGTAATGGTGCTGGAAGGCAAGGCTGGATTCCTCCGCCGCCTGGTTCAGGAGGTATGGCAGGAAGGAGCGGATGTCGAAATCGGGCTGGTCGGTCATACCTCCAGATTGGCGCTTGTTAGTTACAAATTCAACTATTAGGGCTGGCCGCAGACGACAGGGAGGCAGTCATGAACCGCCAGACATCGACCCGCACCATGCAGCAGGGCGCAACGCCCGTGGGCACCCTTGAGGGCTACATGCCCGGTTTCGGCAACGATTTCGAGACCGAGGCGCTGCCCGGCGCGCTGCCGCAAGGCATGAACTCGCCGCAGAAATGCAATTACGGCCTTTACGGCGAGCAGCTGACCGGCACGGCATTCACCGCGCCCAGCCACCAGAACGAGCGGACCTGGTGCTATCGCATCCGCCCGTCGGTCAAACACTCGCACCGCTACGAAAAGATCGATCTGCCCTATTGGAAATCGGCGCCGAACATCGATCCCGATGTGATCAGCCTTGGCCAGTATCGCTGGAATCCGGTGCCGCACAGCGGCGAAGCGCTGACATTCGTCAGCGGCATGCGGACCATGACGACGGCCGGCGACGTCAACACCCAGGTCGGCATGGCAACGCACATCTATCTCGCCACCCAATCGATGGTGGACGACTATTTCTTCTCGGCCGATTCCGAACTCCTTGTCGTGCCGCAGGAGGGCCGGCTGCGCTTTTGCACCGAGCTTGGCATCATAGACATCGAGCCCAAGGAGATCGCCATCATCCCGCGCGGCCTTGTCTACCGCGTCGAGGTGCTGGAAGGACCGGCGCGCGGCTTTGTCTGCGAAAATTACGGTCAGAAGTTCGAACTGCCGGGCAGGGGGCCGATCGGCGCCAATTGCATGGCCAACCGGCGCGACTTCAAGACGCCGATTGCCGCGTTCGAGGATCGGGAAGTGCCGTCGACGCTGACCGTGAAATGGTGCGGCCAGTTCCACCGCACCCAGATCGGCCAGTCGCCGCTCGATGTCGTGGCCTGGCACGGCAATTACGCTCCCTGCAAATACGATCTGCGCAACTATTGTCCGGTCGGGGCAATCCTGTTCGACCACCCCGATCCGTCGATCTTCACGGTCCTGACGGCGCCGTCCGGCCAGCCGGGCACCGCCAACATCGATTTCGTCCTGTTCCGCGAACGCTGGATGGTGATGGAAGATACCTTCCGCCCGCCCTGGTATCACAAGAACATCATGAGCGAGCTGATGGGCAACATTTACGGCCAGTATGACGCCAAGCCCGAGGGCTTCGTGCCGGGCGGCGTGTCGCTTCACAACATGATGCTGCCGCACGGGCCGGACAAGAACGCCTTTGAAGGCGCGTCCAATGCCGACCTGAAGCCCGAAAAGCTCGACAACACGATGAGCTTCATGTTCGAGACGCGCTTCCCGCAGCATCTGACGGCCTTCGCCGCCAAGGAAGCGCCCCTGCAGGACGACTATATCGACTGCTGGACCGACCTTGAAAAGAAATTCGACGGCACGCCGGGCAAGAAGTAGGCTGCTGCCGTCATGATCGATATCATCAAGACTCTTTCTGTCGATCCGGTCGGCGGTTATCGGCTTCAGGTGCGCTTTTCGAACGGCCGGGAAGGCATCTGCGATCTTTCCGGAATGGTCGGGCAGGACAGGCCGATGCTGAAGCCGCTCGCCGATCCGGAGTTCTTCGCCCGCGCCTTTGTCCAGACGGGTACGATCGCATGGCCGAACGGCTTCGACATCGACGCCATCGCGCTGCATGACGAGATGCTGAAATCAGGCCAGTTGGAGCCGGCGCTCGGCGGCGCATGAGATTAAACAAAAAAGTTGGGACACCATGAAACTTGCCACCATCAAGGACGGCACGCGGGACGGGCGCCTCGTCGTCGTCTCGGACGATCTGACGCAATGCTCCGATGTCGGCCACATCGCCCGCACACTGCAGGCCGCGCTCGACGATTGGGCAACGGTTGCGCCGCGGCTTGAGCGGGTCGCCGAAGGCATTGCCGGCGGCTGGCAGCCGGTGCAGCGCTTCCACGAGCATGAATGCGAAAGTCCGTTGCCGCGCGCTTACCAATGGGCGGACGGCTCGGCCTACGTCAATCATGTCGAACTGGTCCGCAAGGCGCGGGGCGCCGAGATGCCGGACAGCTTCTGGCACGATCCGCTCATGTATCAGGGCGGCTCTGACGCCTTTATCGGCCCGCGCGCGCCGATCCGTTTTCCGAGCGACGCCACCGAGTGGGGCATCGACATGGAAGGCGAGGTGGCGGTGATCACCGGCGACGTGCCGATGGGTGCGAGCCGGGACGAGGCGCTCGACGCCATTCGCCTTGTCATGCTGGTCAACGACGTGTCGCTGCGCGGCCTGATCCCCGGCGAACTGGCCAAGGGCTTCGGCTTCTTCCAGTCCAAGCCCGCCAGCGCCTTTTCGCCCTGCGCCGTCACGCCCGATCAGTTGGGCGACGCCTTCAAGGACGGAAAGCTGCATTTGCCGCTCGAGGTCGACCTGAACGGCCAGCCTTTCGGCCGGGCGGAAGCGGGGGAAGACATGGTTTTCGACTTCGGCACGCTGATCGCCCACGCCGCCAAGACACGGGCGCTCGCCGCCGGCACGATCATCGGCTCGGGCACGGTCTCCAACAAGGACCCGGACGGCTCGCCCGGCCGGCCCGTCTCGGACGGCGGCAAGGGCTATTCCTGCATCGCCGAAATCCGGATGATCGAGACGATCAATGACGGCGCGCCCAGGACACCGTTCATGGGCAATGGCGACACGGTGCGCATCGACATGAAGGATGCGTCCGGCCACTCCATCTTCGGCGCCATCGACCAGACCGTGGAGCTTGGCTGATGACCGGCCCCGGCGCGGCCTTGGCGGAAATGAGCGACGGCACGGCGATAGCCGCCGGTTTCTCGCTGACACCGCCGCCGCCCGGCTTCATCGACGATCCGTTCCCGGTCTATCGGGCGCTGCGTGAGAACGCGCCGGTCAAGCGGATCGGCGACAATGCCTGGTTCCTGACCCGCCACGCCGATCTGGCGCGTGTCTACAAGGACACGACGCTCTTTTCATCCGACAAGAAGGCCGAGTTTGCGCCCAAGTTCGGCGACGGCTATCTGTTCCGCCACCACACGACGAGTCTCGTCTTCAACGATCCGCCGCTGCATACGCGCGTCCGCCGCATCCTGGCCGGTGCGCTCACCCCGCGCGCCGTTCAGGCGCTGGAACCGGATGTCATCGCGCTGGTCGACCGGTTGCTCGATGAGATGGAGAAGACGGGCGGCACCGTCGACCTGATCGAGGATTTCGCCGCCGCGATCCCGGTTGAAGTCATCGGCAATCTGCTCGACGTCCCCCATGACGAGCGCGGCCCCTTGCGCGACTGGTCGTTGGCGATCCTGGGCGCGCTGGAGCCGGCGCTCACGCAAGAGCAGCTTCAAGCCGGCGAAGACGCCGTGCGCGATTTCCTCGCCTATCTGGAAACGCTGGTCGCGCGGCGCCGCGCCAATCCCGGCGACCCCGATCGCGACATGCTGACCCGGCTTCTGGCCGGAGAACCCGATGGCGGGCGCCTCAGCGAAGAGGAACTGCTGCAGAACTGCGTCTTCATCCTCAATGCCGGCCATGAAACCACAACCAACCTGATCGGCAACGCGCTGGAACTGCTCGACCGGTTTCCCGACGAGCGGGCGCGGCTGCTGGCGGACCCGGGCCTTGTGCCGTCGGCGGTCGAGGAAGCGCTGCGTTTTGAAAGCTCCAACCAGCTCGGCAACCGGCGCACCGCTGTGCCCGTCGAGATCGGTGGGGTTCAACTGCCCGAAGGCAGCAGCCTGACGCTGTGCATCGGCGCCGCCAACCGCGATCCCGCCGTGTTTGACGATCCGGAGCGCTTCGATATCGGCCGCAAGCCCAACCGGCACTTTGCGTTCGCCTCCGGGCCGCATCAGTGCATCGGCATGGCCGTGGCGCGCCTTGAAGGCCGCATCGCCATCGAACGTTTCCTGTCGCGCTTCCCGCGCTATCGGCTCGAAGGGACGCCCGTCCGCTCGCAGCGCATCCGCTTTCGCGGCTTCACCTCCATTCCCGCACGCCTTGAAAGGTAGACCATGACCAAGCAATTCGCCTCCGCCGGCGACATGACCGAAAAAGAAATCTCCTTCTCCGAGATCGGCCGCGACCTGTGGGCCTTCACCGCCGAGGGCGATCCGAATTCGGGCATCATCATCGGCGACGAGAGCGTCATGGTGATCGAGGCGCAGGCGACGCCGCAGCTGGCCCGCAAGGTGATCGAGCGCGTCCGCGCCGTCACCGACAAGCCGATCAGCCATCTGGTGTTGACCCATTATCACGCCGTGCGCGTGCTCGGCGCCTCGGCCTACGAAGCGCCGCAGGTGATCATGTCGGACACCGCCCGCGCCATGGTTGCCGAGCGCGGCGCCGAGGATTGGGCCAGCGAATTCGAGCGCTTTCCGCGCCTGTTCGACGGCCATGGCGAGATCACCGGCCTGACCTGGCCGACGACGACCTTTTCGGACCGGATGACGGTCTATCTGGGCAATCGCCGCGTCGATCTGATGAAGCTGGGCCGCGCCCACACCGCCGGCGACATCGTCGTCCATGTGCCCGATGAGAACGTCATGTTCACCGGCGACATCGTCGAATATCACTCGGCCTGCTATTGCGGCGACGGCCACTTCAACGACTGGCCGCAAACCCTTGAGAAGATTCGCGCTTTCGATCTGGCCGCCATTGCGCCAGGCCGGGGCGACGCGCTTGTCGGCACCGACATGGTCAATGCCGCGCTGACCAACACCGCCGACTTCGTGCGCTCCACATACGATCCCGTCGCAAAGGTCGCCGCGCGCGGCGGATCGCTCAAGGAGGCCTGGGACGCCTGCCGTGCCGCCTGCGATCCGAAGTTCGCCGATTACGCGATCTATGAGCACTGCCTGCCGTTCAACGTCGCCCGTGCTTTTGACGAAGCGCAGGGCATCGACACGCCGCGCATCTGGACGGCTGCGCGCGACAAGGACATGTGGAACGCCCTGCAGGGCTGATCCGGGCAGGGAACAGCAACCATGAACAAGATTTTCGAGGTCCCGCTCTATCCCTATGCGCGTGTCGCCGATCAGGATGCGGATGCGCCCGTGCGCCACGCCGTGATCGTCATCGGCGCGGGCCCGGTCGGCCTGGCGGCGGCGATCGATCTGGCACAGGCCGGCCATCAGGTCGTCGTGCTCGACGACAATGACAAGGTGAGCTGGGGCAGCCGCGCGGTCTGCTATGCCAAGCGGCCGCTCGAAATCCTCGACCGGCTCGGCTGCGGCCAACCGATGGTTGACAAGGGGGTGGTCTGGAATCGTGGCCGGGTCTTCTATGACGAACGCGAGGTCTATGATTTCGATCTGCTGCCCGAAGAGGGCCACCGCCGGCCGGCCTTCATCAATCTGCAGCAATATTATTTCGAACAGAATCTGGTCAGTCGGGCACGGGCGCTCGAGGCCGAGGGCGCGCCGATCGAACTGCGCGGCGGCAACAGGGTCGTATCGGTCGATGCGGCCGATGACGGCGTGACGCTGACGGTCGAGACGCCCGATGGCCCCTATACCGTGCAGGCCGACTGGGTGATCGCCTGCGACGGCGCGGCGTCCCCCATCCGCGCCATGATGGGGCTCGATTTTGTCGGCCGTGTCTTCGAGGACAATTTCCTGATCGCCGACGTCGTGATGGAGGCGGGCTTTCCCACAGAGCGCTGGTTCTGGTTCGATCCGCCCTTCAACCGCGGCCAGTCCGCGCTGTTGCACAAGCAGCCCGACAATGTGTGGCGTATCGACCTGCAGCTTGGCTGGGACATCGACAAGGATGAGGAGAAAAAGCCCGAAAACGTGATCCCGCGCCTGAAGGCGATGCTCGGCGAGGACGCGCAGTTCGAACTCGAATGGGTGTCGATCTACACCTTCCAGTGCCGGCGCATGGAAAAGTTCCGCCATGGCCGGGTGCTGTTTGCGGGCGATGCGGCGCACCAAGTGTCTCCGTTCGGCGCGCGCGGCGCCAATTCCGGCCTTCAGGACACCGACAATCTGTGCTGGAAGCTGGGCCTTGTCATGGACGGCAAGGCGCCTGAAAGCCTGCTCGACAGCTATGATGAGGAGCGCATTCAGGGCGCTGACGAGAACATTCTCAATTCCACCCGCTCGACCGATTTCATCACCCCGAAATCGGAGATCAGCCGCATCTTCCGCAACGCGGTGCTGGACCTGTCGGAACACTACGCCTTTGCCCGGCCGCTGGTGAATTCAGGCCGGCTGTCGGTGCCCTGCGTCTATGATGGTTCGCCGCTGAACGGCGGTGATATGCTCGAAGGTGGCCCCGTCCGGTCGCGACCCGGCGCGCCATGCCCTGACGCACCGCTCGGCAACGGCTTTCTGCTGGACAGGCTCGGCGGCGGCTTCACGCTGCTGACGATCGATGCGGACGCGCCGGAAACCGTCGAAACGAGCGGCATTGCGGCGTCACGCCTCCCGCTTTCAGATGCGGACGATCCGTCCGGGGCGCTGGCCGAGCGCTATCTGGGGTCGGCGCCCGGTGCGGTCTATCTGATTCGACCGGACCAGCATGTTGCTGCGCGCTGGCCGTCCTACGACGAGGCGGCGGTCAAGGCGGCGATCGAACGCGCCACGGGGAGAGCATGACGATGGCTGACCTGAACACCACGCCCGCCATCGACGCGCCGGACGATCTTTATGCCGAGCTTCTGGCGATGCATGAGGGCCTGTCGAAGGAACAAAGCGACGCGGTCAATGCGCGGCTGATCCTGATCCTGATGAACCAGATCGCCGACCGAAACGTGCTGCGTCAGGCCATGGCTACCGCTCGGGCGCCAAGTTCAAAGGCCCAGTAAAGATCGATGATTGGGGAGGCTTCGCGCAAATCTGTCATGAAGAATTCTTGTTAGCTACCCCAGTGGATGAAATCGAAGGGCAGCCGCAACACTGGCTATGTGTCGACTCACGACGCTAGCCATTTTAGCACAAAACGAACTGCCCCGGGATTTCCGGAACCCCCGATTCCCGAGTGGAATGGGACATCATGAGCAAGACGACGAAACAGTGTTTTCCAGGAGTTCGCGAGAGCCGTTCGCATGGCTTTGGACAATTTGCACCTGGCGAAAAGCTTACAGAAAAGCCGATGGTCCGCGATTATGTCGATTTCCGCAAAGATCGGCTGTGCGCCGCTGACGTTGAACGAATGGGTCAAGAGCGTCGAAATCGATCGAGGCGAACGGGCCCGCGTCGCGACCTAAACGCCAACTGATTCATGAGCCTTGAAGACTCGACCGAAAAGTTGGAGGCTTGGCGTAGAGACTACAACGAGCAACGGCCACACGGTGCAATCGGAAACAATGTACCGGCAGCGCTCACGAAATCGGCACACGCAACCAGTCCGCCTTGCTGATCGAGGTCGAAAACTCTATCGCCCGCCGAGGGTACATCGGGTAGCGCTTCAGAAGGGCGGTAACTCTGACAACGGCCGAGGGCGCGTTGGGTAGCACATCACGATCTAAACAACGTGCTATTGACGCCTATCGTCAGCCCAAGCTAGATAACGGCGATCCTGCAAAGATCACCAAGTCCAGCTTCGTTTTGCGACTTACACAACTGCGCCCGACGGAGCAGCACTATAATCTCAGCCCCCACGGTATTGTGAGGCCGAACTCAAGAGGACCGTGGGGCGAAGTTGGCTGAATGGTCAGTGCGCCTACCTTTAACGATGCTGTCAAATCGTGCGCTTAACCGAGGTTTTTTGATCGCTCTCTACGGAGCTCTCGGCGTTGGTGGGTCGGCGTTTTC